AAGTTTTGACATCTTTCCAATATCTTGTTTTGTAATTTCCAATGCTCATTTCTTTGTTGATTCCAAAGTTTTTAACTTTTTGATAGTGTTATAAAAATGTTTATTTATAAAGTTAATTTATAATTCTTTGCTTTATGGTAAAAAGAGTTGCAATTGATTTTTTGCACATTCAACCTGTTTCTAGACACCTTGCTAAACTGATGCACTAATTCAACTAGTCAAACTTTATTGGGTTGGTGAGATCCTCAAGTACACTGGTGAATAGAAGGGGTGACGGTAACAGCCTCGTCACATTTATATTTTAATTTTAGAGGAAAGTCTTTCAATGTTTACTATGGATATGAGGTTGGGTTTTGGTAGCTGTTCTTTGTCATATGAAGGAAGTTCTGCACTTCTAGTTTACAAATTGCTGCAGAGTGGGAATATTTTGCAGAAAGGAGAGAGAAAGGAAGTAGAAAACCAGTTAGGTGCAGGTGGATGCAGGAGAGGAAATTCCCAGGTTCTCCATTTCCTTAATGGACTTTATTTGATAACTGATAACTTCATAAAATTTCAGAACAGTAAAGAACATTAAAACTTGCTAGGGTTCTCTTTCTCTGGGCATCTCAAATGGTGTTCTTTTAGTATTAATAGATTTTTTATGATAATGGTGGTGAAACTCATTTGGAAAAATCAGAATACAGTTATCACCCTTTGGAGAATGACAATGAACTTCAGCCTATTAAAGGTTTTGAGAATCCAGCAGCAAAGGTGGTCATTTAAATTAATGTAGTGCTTATCCTCCTGTCTTCAAGGTGCATGACACCAAAAATGAGATTCAGAATAAATGTCACAGGTCCTCTTTTTGCTTATATGGAATGTAATGATACTCATTTGTAACAAAACCCATTATGTGTGTCAGCAGACTGGTGTCCCTGAGGTTGTAATTAAGACTTTCTCTCCCCCCCAAACCCCCCTCCCCGTATGTTTAAAACCCTGTGGGAGATCAAATAGGGATCAATGCACTACCTTAATTGTGGTTAAAGCCAGACTGGAGGAAGTTGTTTGACCTTAGTCCAAATACTTGACTGTGAATCAGATGGACCCACCCTCCCGGTTGCAGAGAGCAGGAACACTGCCTTGGAGATTTACTTCTACTGCTGTGGGAGCAAAAAGTAGAGCACAAACAAATGGTCAGTGGGAAGTTAGACCCAAAGCTTTGGGCCCCAACCTCAGCCAAAGAGGAATGTCAACAGTGGACATAGTCTGCCAAATAATAATAAAGGCGTATATAAGAATAGGAAGGTCTAGGGAGTAAAGATAAGCATAAATCCTAAAGAGGGTGGCAGTTTGAAGACACATGTATGTTGGGACATAGGGGGAGAGAGGTGATTGTTGTGAATGTCACCATGCTGCACGTGTCTTTTTTTTTTTTTAAAAGATTTATTTATTTATTTATACAAGCACTGAGTACAGTCAGAAGCGTGGGAGGGTGAGAGAATTCACCAGAGCCAGAGCAGGGAACAGAATAGGCAGACCAATGAAATACACTGCTGAGGGGAGCAGCGGGCACGGCAGGAGAGGTCTGTTGTGCCAAGTGGGACCCTCGCCCACAGCTGGGGAATGAACCGGCACTGCAGAGGCTGTGGGCAGCTTCGCAGCCCAGCACTCAACCACTGCGCCACCAGGGGAGGCCCTGTACGTGTCTATTTTTGAGTTAGAGGTTGTTGTTTTTTTTTTTGTCTTTAGGAGAACAGAAACCAGGTCTCTGATTAGCCTGCCTATAAAAAGGATGGAAAAAGAAAAATGAAGATTTTTCTCAGGGTCTCAGGCAAGAGAAAGTTTGGAGGGAGGAGAACCCCACAGCCCTAACTATACTAAGTCACTAGCATCATCTGCCAATATTTGTTTTTCAGTTTTCCTTGCAATTGAATCAATCTAGTAGAGCCCAGAGGAATGTGTGACTGGCCTTAAGCACAGAGGAGCAGGAGCAGTGTAGGGACGGGGCTAGGGTCATGAGTAGTAGGCACTGTTGGTGTGTTGCAGGGGGGGTGAGAAGCCTGAGAGGAAAAAGCCTCCACATCTTGGGACTGTCCTACCACAGCACACTGCCAGCACCCGCCCTTGAACACTTGGCAAAGATCTTTCAAGGGCTGTCAGAGGTTGGCTTAACCCAGGCTGGCTCTACATGAAGTGGCTCTGAATTATTCCTGAGTCATCCTTGAGTCAGAGAAACCACAGGAGATGGATTCATTAGCATCCCTGGAGCATTTAGCACTCTCTAGACTCAGCTGATTCTTTCAGGTGAAATCTCAATATTCTCAATGACTGGAGAGTCGGTGACATTTGAATCTCATAATGGCTAATGCGACTGGAATATACAAGAAGAGGACCTTCCAGAGAAGTGTTAATTTATGACTCTGAGGTGGGAGCTTCCAAATCACATGAGTCAGAGCAAACTGGTTCCCATGAGATCGGGACTCAATGACCAATCCATTCAGCCTGCTATCTGGGGCACTTTGGACCCATAGGGAACTAATCCTTCTCTTTTACACTAAAGGACTCTGTTCCTCCAAATTTGGGCTGATCCTAAGCATGCGGTAGAGAGGGCAAACGACTCTGTGAGCTAACTGCTGGAATGAAGGTCGACTAGAAGCGGAAGGGGGTAGACCACCAAGCCCAGCCTTCCCAAATATATTCCCCAAAGAATCTGGATTTCCTAAATTTCTTTGTTACTTCTAGCTAAATGCGAACTTTTAACTTTCCTCTGAACATATAATAATAAAAAATTCTCTTGGAGAGGACAACTCACTGGCCATGTTTGCTCAGCCCTGGGGACTGGCAACCCAGCAGCACTTGAGAGTCGCCTGGAACTTTACAAACCACTGCACCTGGCCCCATGGCTGATCAGTGGCATCAGACTCTCTGGTATGGGATCTGGCCATAGTGTAGGGGACAGTTTTTGAAAGTGTCCCCATGTCAACCAAAATGGAGCAAGTTGTGACAGGAAGATCGCGAGGAAGGATTAGGTTTCCAAGTCCCACTAGGCAGCATGTCACCTGGATTTATGTGCTCCTCATCTTCTATCCAACCCACATTCCTGCTGTTTTTGTGCTTGGTAGTTTTATTATAAGGCAGCCCCGATATTGAACGGGTTGCCTGGCTATGGCTCCTCACCTGCGTGCTTACAAGGGACTTATGAATACTCCACTACAGGCACACACAAAAGGTTAATAAAAGGTTTATTTACAAGGGAAAAGGAAATAAGGAAAATGTACAACTCAGGGAGAAAATAGGGAAATAAAGTCTTTAATGCGTCCTACCCAATCCCCCGACCTGGAAACCCAAAAAGCACTCTCCGAGCTGGCCAGACGCTGCGAGCTGGCGGAAAGCCAAAATGGGGGACCCCTCCAAAGCCCACGTGTCTGGCTTTATACCAACCTAGCTGCTGAACCCCACCCTCAGGTCCCAGCCACCTTCCCTTTGGTGGTGATGGGATTTGGAGTTCCCAGTGTCTTTGGCTTTGGCCTGGGGTGGGGGTGGAGTCCACAAAGCCTGTGTGGAATTAGCTTTAGGACAGCCTTTTCCCCCTAACAGTTTGCCTTTAATGACTATATCCCAATCTTACATGTAGGGTGAGCACATAGTATTTCCCAGCAAGCAGTTAGGAATCTAGCCAAGGCTCTTTACAACACCAAAATGGTGGTAAACTGGGTTTTGTTTTATTTTAAAGATAGATCTGATTACATGCAAATTCATTCTTTTGATAAAGGAATTTTATTCAATACAATTTATTTTTTAAACTTTATGAGGTTTTTTTTTCATCTAAAAATATAGCAGTTTAAGAGTTTTTATATAAACAAATTACTGCATTGGTCAAAGTCTTTATTTTCATACTTATTTTCAAAGTCTTTTTGCCCCCCTAGGGGTTCTGACTGTGGGCTTGGAGGGGGAGGTGCACAGTCAACCTGCCTCCGGACCCCTAAGGGGGAGGAAGAGCCTGCTGGTCACACCCATTGACACAATTAAATAATCGTTTGGCCCCGGGGCCTGGGCTGCTTCTATTCTCCACTAACAGAAGAAACGATGTGATTTCAGTAAGGGAATCTGGTGACATACCCAGAAAACCACTTGGAAACCCTTTTTCCCAATCCTGTCTCCACTGGACCCAAGGAGGTGACTTTAATGTAGCTGTTTGTAGCGCTGGGAGTTCAGCGCGAGGCCTTCGAGGCCATGTCCCTACCATGCCTGAGAGAAAAACAGACTTAATGCTGTTGCCACCTCCCGAGAAGTGGACCGGCAGCTCAGACAAGTCCTGGGGCGCGCCTCTGGGACACAGCTAGGAGGCGGGGTAGACGGCCCAGCCCCCGGAGCCCCTCCCTGTGTTACAGGGCAGAGAGAGGAGCAGCCCAAACCCCTCAAACCTGCCTAATCTAAATGGGTTCTGCCATCTGCCACATCAACACAAAACATATGAGACTTTAATGGGAAGGAACTTTAATACAACTAGGAAACAATACAGGAAAGGCAAAGAGTCTGGTTTCTAAATGAAGCACCCAAAGTTACCCGTCCCCTCGTGGGTAAAACTCCATCCATATGGGATCGGCCCAGAGCAAGGCCCCAAAAACTGCCACAAGTCTAAAGCATCTTCCAGTGGGGACCCACAGAAAAGGGTCAGAAACAACCAGACAAGCCCGGAAGGAAAAGAGCAAAATCAGAATCAAGATAAAAGCTGCCACTGTCTCCTCCCCACGGGTCTCCCCCACATCTGTGTCGCCCAGTCCACGACCAAAAGGCAAGCGCAGTTTCTTCACGTGTCTCTAGGCTCCATGCGCCTCCTCCAGGTCTCCTGGCTCCATGCTGCTTCCTTCCTCAGTCTCTTCTGCAGCTTCTCCTCTTCCTGCTCAGCTCCACCCTCCCTTGGGTGGGACAGGAAACCTGGAACCTCCCCCTTTCCTGGGGACCCCCCTGTTACACCTGGGCCAGGCGTGTGTCCCAGCCTCTCCGGCAGGCTCTGCGTGGAGGTGGACGTCGGCGTCGCTGGGGGCAGGTGCGGGATCGCGGCCACACGTGCGCTGTCTAATGCCCTTGTTGTTTGGATACAGATACCGGAGTCACGGCAGCTTTAACCCCGAGGAGACTAGGTTAGTATGGGGGTTTCTGCATCTCTCTTGACTTAGATTGGGTTAGCCTAGCGAGGAGGCTGAATAGATCTTAACCCGGAGAGCCCAGCCCCTTTGGGGAAGCAGGAGGAGGGTTCGGGTTCTGAACCCATGGCAAACTGGTGTGGGGTGGGCATGCAGGCAGATGCCCTGGAGACCTGGCATGTCAGACTCAGTCCTGGACCCTAGGCCTGATGTACGGCTGGAAGCAGGAGTCCCCTCTAAAATTTGGTAATAAAAGCATTGCTTCCTGGTGCGTTGTGGGGTTCCTAAGAAATAGTGTGTGTATAAAAATGGAATCTTGGCACAAAGTGTCAGCTTATGTCGAACAATGTGAAACTCACTGAAAGGAAATACTGTAGCTCACTCCTTGTCATCAACAGTGGCTATTTGGAAGCATGCTTGTCGCTTTACAAGTGTGTTTTCACATCATGCTGTGAGTGGGATGTCCTTAGAGACCCGTGTGAATGAACAAGGTGCATCTGAGCTAAATCTAGAGCTAATAAGTGCCCCTCCAACCCCCCAAATTCTAGAGGAAATAAGTCGGTTTGGGCCAGTTCCCAAGCTGAATCTTGTATTGCTTCTTTTTTTAAAATTTAATTTAATTTAATATTATTTTTTTTGTGTTTTTTACATCATTGTTCATTCTTAAACAATATTTGCTTCCCCCCACCCCTCAGGGGTAGTCCCCATAGAGTTTCCTTCACCAATGCACCTGTGCACCATCACCTCAGTCCCCTGTGCTCCTTCCTCCCTCTGATCCCTCTCCCTCAAAAAAAAAAAAAAAAAAAAAAAAAAAACAAGCAACAACAAATGTTGGCGAGGATGTGGTGAAAAAGGAACTCTCCTACATTGCTGGTGGGAGTGCAAACTGGTCTAACCACTATGGAAAGCTGTCTGGAGATTCCTCAGTCTACTAAAAATGGAGCTACCACACAACCCAGCAATTCCACTCCTAGGGATCTACCCAAAGGACACAGAAACATTGATTGTGGCAGGTGCTGACATTTATTAGCAGCAACATCCTATTTGCAGATGAAAGTGACTGAGTCTTTTTGAGTGGGCTGTTCTGAGTCCTGTAATTCTGGATTCTTTCAGGAGGGGCCGAAGCATCTAGAATGTTCCTGTTGTCTTAGAGCAGACTGGAGCCCTTTCCTGGGGCCTTCCACTCATGGCTAATGAAACAATAATAGTAGCTGACTTTCTGGGCCCTATGGGCCATGTATTAGCGGAGTTGTGCACTTGTGGCTTGACCTCAAAAACATCCCAGGGCCACTTGACCTCAGAAATGGGGAGTCCTGCCCTGGAGAAGGTGTTCGCTCAGCTCAGGGGCCCTGGCAGGCTCAGGATGCTCACTGGCTGGAGCCTGGCTCTGAAGTCAGAGAGGGCTGGGTCTAGGGTGATCTTAGAAACATCATCTGCCTTCTCTGGGCCCCGGATCTGCACTGGGAAGGGGGTATGAAATGGTTGCTGACCTGATGAAACGATGCCATAGTTTTGAGTGCCTGGCACAGGTAAGTGAGGAGAGATGGAGAAATACCCACTAGTGCGCTGGGTAATGTTTGCACTAGGCCTCATTTAAGTGTAGCTCTGGGAGGACATCATGGTTTCTGTTCAGGTGGCATTTTCATGCTTTCTGCAGAAGTAGAGCTTGTGGGGCCATTGTGACATTTGACTTTAGACAGCCACCCTGGTGGATGAGGAGGCTGTTAGGCTTCCAGGACAACTCAGTGTGTGTGCATGTGTGTGTGTGTGTGTGTGTGTGTGTGTTTTCTCCTAGCATGTCTGAATGACTCGAAGTTACTATTAGTGTGTTATTTAATTTTTAATCTTCTTTTCAGAAAAGGGGTGTTTGGACTGAAACTGAAGAAGAGGAAGAAGAATAAAGGAGAAAAAGGATTGATCCTAACCAACAAGGCTGCCCGAGGTGAGACTTGGGGTGGTTGGGCGGTGCTGAACGTTTTCCAGGGCCCTCACAAAGTGGCTTCTCCGTGGCTGACTGTGGAGCTCACTCTTCGTGGGAGTGAGGTGAGTGTGTTGCTTGCTGGGTCACACAGTGACCCAGCCAATCACAGTGCTTCTCTAGCCTGTGGGCCAAGCAGGGGTGGGGTGGACTGGCTGGGCAATGGGAGGGGACCCTCCAGCGGGGGACAGTGGTTACGTTCCACCTCCCATTTCTATTCTCATTTGCTCTGTGACCCATAAGTCACTCAGTGGCTCCAAGTCGCTTTCCCCCTTTGTCAAATCAGCATGACGTGGGTGGCCGGGCTGTCCTATGAGGCCAGGGGCAGGATGAAGTGAGATTTTGAAAATAGGAGTGAGGACAGCAGCTGCTGAGGGGGTGGGGCTGTGCAGGTACATGCTCCCTCCAAAGGTAGAGTGTTCCTCCAAGACCTTTCAGAAGCCCAAATGGCATAGCGTAGAAGCAATTACCATTAGTTCAAAAAATTGTGAGCATTCCTAGACCCCAAAGCGTGGGAGGCACAGAATCCAAAAGCAGGGTTTTTGAGATGGAAATGCAGGCTCTCTGGCTTTCCACCTTTAGAATGAGGTACTCCTCCAGAAGGACAAAGATCCCAGTTATAGTGTGAGCTGAGCTGGTGGTGGCAGCCCCAACAGAGGGTTGACAGTCACATTTATTTGATAAAGTAGGATTGACTGTTTCCAATGGGCAGGTCTGGGATGGTCCTCTGGAGACTTCTGCTGGGTGGCCCTGACAACCCTGAGCTCAAATTTATCTTTCTGGAACATTCCTAAACCAAAATGTCTTTATCTTTACCCCTCTTGTTACTCCTGTCCACCGCAACTGTGCTCTCACCTTATGGCCTACCTAAGCCCATTCCTTGTCCTTCGGGAAAAAATTATTTTACCGGATTATTTGTTCATACTGAAGTGTTAGTGATGACTAAGAGTCATTGTTGGGATAGGAGAGGCATTACATTTTAAGTGGAGGCAAGCCTTTAAGCTTAATAGAAGTACTGTTTGTTCTTTTAACTTGTTCTGTCTATTCAGGTCGTGAGAAGAAAGGCTCTGAGGTCTTTCCTAGTGCACAGATATTATGACCCTGTGGTAGGTCCTGGTGAAAGAGTAAGGTTAGGTAAGATTCAGCACCTTTCCTCAAGGATTTTTACAAAAGTGCTATTTAAAAAAAAATTATGTCTTTATCTAACACATATAATACGTTGCTGCTGCTTTTGACTTGCATACATGATCCTTGTGTCTGAAATGTGGATTTCTCTGGGCCTGCTGTATAACCAAGGTTCAGAGACGATGAGTGATTCATCCAAAGTCACACAGCTAATAAACAAAGAAGCTGGTCATTCTCACACCAGGACCAGGGGTTCTCCGATTCCCTGGTGGCTTCCAGGGAGCCTTTACTGACGGAGATTTAGGGCAGCAACTACTGGCATCTCAGAAGAGCTGGCTCCCATGTCTCATTCTAATTAAGAGGCTTCAGCCCACAAAGCAAACAGGGCAGAAAGGAGTCAGGCCTCTCCTAGAAAGTAAATAGCATCCATCCAGCTGGCCAGGGGCCAACCCTGTGGAAGACTGACAAAACGAAGTCCACAGGACTTAGTACACTTTGGACTTTCCATCTTGACCTAACCTGGGAAGCTGGGACTTTTCTGGATAAAATATTAGAAATTCTCAAACCTCTGACTTTTACATCATGTTTTTGGGGTCAAAGTAGCTATCCTTAATTTCTTGAAGTTCCAACTACCTTAACCCACCCATTAATTAGTCACCCAACGAACAACTATTGGGTACCTCCCATGAGAATCCATTCATTCTCTGCTCAGCATATATCCATGGAATGTTTGCTAGTGTTGACTCCTGTGCTGGGTTTTAGGCATTGGCCAGTGGACTTTGGAGCATCTGGAAGGACATCCCTGTGTGGGACTCTTTGCTTGACCCTCACATCTCTCCACTGTTCCCAGGGGGACTGATCACTGTGGATACGTGACCCAGGTCCCTTAGCCAATGGGGTGACCCAGCAGGAGGTCTGAGAGGGGTGAGGTCAGGCCCCTGTAGGATGTGTCCTTCAGCTGAAGGATGGTCACTGCCCTTCATAAGCAAGCTGACTGGGCCTGACTCTCTCTCATTTTTTGGAAGCTTCAAGGAGTAACTGACTGCTGTGAGCCTCAGATAGCTGTACACGTTTTTGTGGTTTTCCTATACTTACACCTTGGTAAAAAGTCTTCAAATCATCCAGTTCAGAATGGGCCATCTGTCATCTATGGGGACATCCCAGCAGCATCCCGGATAAATGAACAGAATCCCTTGGGTGGGGGAGAGAGGTGGGGGAAAAGCCTGAAGAATCTGTTTACTACACGCTCATTTATATTTTCTAAACTTTACTTGTATATTAGTTTGCTATGACTGCTGTGCCACATGACCACTGGATGGGCTTAAAGATGCCCCATTAGTTTCCTCACAGTAATGGAGGCAAAAGTCCACAATTAGAATCACTGGGTCAAAGGCAAGATGTGGGCTGGACCTGCTCCCTTGGGAGAACCTGTTTCTGCCTCTCCCACCTCCTGATGGCTTCATGAGACAGTTCTTGGTTGTGGCAGCTTCTGTCCAAGCTTGGCCTTGGGGTCACATTGCTTTCTTCTCATATCCCCACCTCCCTTTTCTGGAGTACGTGTGATTACCATGTGATGTGCATAATTAAGGATGACCTCATCATTTCAAAACCCTCAATGTAATCACATTAGCAAAGGTCCTTTTTCCAAATAAGATCACATTTAGAGGTTCTAAGATCTAGGACCCTGTGACTCTGTGAAAAAGTATTTAACCTACAGCATAGCTTGCTTCTCAAAATTGGCCCCCAGACCACAGAACAGCCTTACCTGGCACCTTATTAGCAATGCAGAGGGAACAGATTGCAGGCCCTACGTGGTCCAGCAATGACAGGGAAGCTTGTCATTACTGTCCTGGTGCAATGCTCTTCCCACCACACCTTGCGTTTCAATCTACTCTTGTTTGAAGAACAGATGTGTAAAGGCAGGACATGGGCACAGGTGCAGGTTTTCTGATCCCATGCAGACCGGGTAAAGGAGGAGTCAGAGTCCTCAGTGGATTTGCAGGTCTTTTATTGGGGTTCACCAGGCATATGGCAGGCAGGGGTGCTGGCTGGGGGGCTGGGAGGCTGGCAGACCTCCCAGCCCCCAGCAAGTCTTCACTCTATCAGGGCTCTCTGGCGTTCTCTGCTTCTGCGTCGGCTTCTCCTTCAGGTTCTGCTGCTGCTGGCTGGGGCTGCTGGCTTCCCCCCATGACGCCGCCCTTAAAAGCACAGTCTTAACTCAGCTGAATCCCATCTACCTATGCCCACACCCTATTCCAGGTGCCCGCCATCAGGCATGCATTCAGGACAAGGATCCACCATCTATCCTGATGGCAGAAGGGCAGAAAAGCCTGACATTTTCTTTACCCTACAAGATGGAAGATGCAAAATTTTTTAGAAAAATTAAGTTGTGTGTCTGGCTGTTCCACCATCAAAGTGTTGTATCTGGCTTTTCTGCCAAAGATTTGTTTGAATGTTTTCATTTTAGGCTTGTGGGGACTGTCATTATGTGACTGGCAAAGTGCTAGGTACAGAGAAAGGGCTCAAATCCCAACCACATCTCATGGTTAACAGAGATTTTATTCCTTTGTTTGCTTCTGTAGATCGTCAAGGTGAAGTTGAAGTACCACAAGAGGGGCCTTCTCCCCAGGAAGGATCTGAAGGAGATTTGGTTTATGGTGATGCTTCTGTCACTCCTGTCTCCACAGCTGGTCCAAAGAGAAGGTACAGTGTTGGTTCTGGCTGTTAGCACACCATGTGTCTGGAACCCTGCAGGGTCTGGGAGAACAGAGAAGAACATCCAGTGAAAGATCGAGGGCAGAAAGACAGAGTTCTGTGTCCTGAGCTTTCTCTGTAGCAGTTCTGGCCTCTTGGTTCTTGTCAGCCTGCAGCAGCCCAGGTCCTGGCACTACCAGCTGCTGGTTAAGGTCTTCATGACCCTCTAGTTCAGGAATGGCAGCAGCAACAGGAGACAGGTGCAGGAGCTATCCCTCACCTGCTCCTTAGCTCATCGAGGTCCTAGATGTCTTAACTTTGTGTTTGTTGCACATGAGAAGGTGTTTCTTATATTATCCAACAAAAAGTCAGAACAAACTGGGCTTCTGCATGCAGTTTGCTCTATCGGTTAACTATTGGTGTGTAACAAATAATCTCCAAACCCAGTGGCTTAATATCATAAGTATTTATAGTGCTCATGAGTTTGCGGGTCAGTTGGATAGCTTTACTGGCTTCAGATAGTACGGATACCCATTCACCTGTCTCTGATCATTCGGCACTCTATTCATTTTAATGAGAGGATTGGTTGGTGGGAGGCTGGTCTAGGATTGCTTCAGCTGGTACCACTGAGCTATTCTCCATGTGATATCAGATCCTCCAACAGGCTAGTTCCTATGGAGGTGATGACAGTATTCCAAGAGAAAGAGCAGAAGTAAGCAAAGTTTCTTGAGGTGTAGGCTTGAAGTTGACAGTCATCTGTGCTGAATTCTGTTGGCCCATGCAAGTCACAAGATCAATCCACAGAGCGGAGACTACAATTTATAGGCCAAAGAGCATGGGTGTCTGGAAGCCGATAATTGGGGCTATCAAAACTTTCAGTCTACTGTATTTGTCAGTTTCTTACGCTAATTCCTCACTGCCCAACCCTTCTTTTTGCACTCAGAGTGGTTACTGTCGGTAAAGCAAAGAAGTTCTTCCCTGTGTGGCAGATTCTGAATTGCTGTTGCTGGGTTGTGATGGCAACGCATGTGTGAAAGAGGCAGAGAAGGGTGGGAGACAGCTGGAAATTAGGGAAGGTGATAGCCCAGAGGTGGACGCTTAAGAGAAGACATGAAACTTGTATGCACGTTCTCATTTTATTTCCTCTTCCCTCTACACTGCACCCTGACAAGCACTCCCGCCATGACCTTGAAGAGGGATTTCAATTATTTTTTTAATAGCCTTTAAAGGATCCTTTGCCATTTATTTAGCCAGGATAATAGCACTAAATGGAGGAAGGCAGAAGTAAAGAGTAGAAGCTTTTTTCTTTCTCCCAGTCTGTGCATTTTCCATCAACTGGAATTCTACCCACCAACTAAAATAGAATTAAGATGTAACTGCTACAGTGCAGTCTTCATTGCTTATCCCAATCTGGAGAATGTCTCTCTTCTCTGACCTTATATCACATTTTTTTCTCTACATTTTATACTTGCTAGTTCTTTCTTTGTGTTGGTCTTCCCTCCCTCAGATAGATTGCTAGCTCTGCAAGAACCAAGACGGTTGCTTTTTCTTCTTTGTTTTTCACTCTGAGAATTGCATAGCATTTTTGTATAATAAGTGATCAATGCACATTTAGCATTATATTGCTGAACAGATGCTTTTTGAAATCTATCTTTTCCTACATGCATTACCTCTTTTAATCCTCAGAGCAACCCTAGGTGGTAGGAATAATAACTTCCACTTTTAGACAAGGAAATTAAGGCTAATATCACAAAATTGGAGAGCATAACTATTCTAATTCAGATCAGTCCAAAGTGTTGAAGTTTTTATTAGTTTATTCTTATCTCTACTGGACTCAATTATAACCAGGAGAAAGGGAATGCAGTCAACGGCAGGATGGCATTGTTAGAAGGTAAGAGAGTAAAATTCTACGGGAACTCAAGTTCAATTCCTTTCCCAACCAGTGCTGCTCCTATGGATAACAGGGATTCTTTTTTTTTTTTTTTAAAGAGGCATGTTTTTTACTTATTTATATATTTATTTCTGTTTTTTGTTTATACATGCACTGGGTACAGTCAGAAGCGCGGGAGGGTGAGAGAATTCACCAGAGCCAGAGCAGGCAGAAGGACCGAAGTACGCTGCTGAGGGGAGCAGCGGGCGGCAGGAGAGGTCTGCGCTCCATGTGGGACCCTCCTCCGGTGGCCAGGGAGCAGCCGGGGATCGAGCCGGCGCCGCAGAGGCCACGGGCAGCTTCGCAACCCAGCGCTCAACCGCTGAGCCACCGGGGAGGCCCAACAGGGATTCTTTATCTCTTTCTCTTATCATCTCATCTCTAAGTGCCCAGATGTTGCACATCTGTTTTCAATTACTTATGACAGTCCAGATAAATGAAATCCCCAGCGATGTGAAATCTCAGTGAGGTGGAATCTTGGTCGTGCCTTCCAATTTGATCCTTTATCAGTTTTTCAAAAGTCATCATGAAACTCAGAATTGTTATATCTACCAGAAAAGGCAAAGTGACCCTGTGGATAGGATCTGGCAGGAGGGGGATGTCCTTATATAGACCCAGCTTTGTCCTTGACTTCCTGAGTCATCTCAGTTTCTTGTTCTGTAAAAAAAAAAAATAAAACTAACAGTCATACTCACATCAAGAGCTGATACTTACCAGGCATATAATTAAGCCTTCATATACATCACATCTTTAATTGCAACAGTCATCTCAAGTGGTAAGTGGAATTGAAGCTCCATTTTTAGGACAGAGAAGCTGAGCCATAGAGAGGTTCAGTCACATGTCCTTTTATACCTACCTGTCCCAGAGATAGAGAGAGAACATGTGGTGTCATATAAACAAAAGCACTTAGGAATACCTGGGGAAATCTTAGTGGCTTATGGATGGAATGTATGCTCCTACTTGATGAAACAAATGTATTTAATTTTCTATTAATAGAGCTAAACTGTTGAAAAAGGTTCATGATGGGGAAGTCAGATCCCAAAATTATCAGGTAAGCGACTGACTCCTCTACCCAGCCTCCCGCTGTCCTTCCCTGTGAGTGGAGAGCCAGGCCGCAGCGACTCATGCACTTGTCTTGCAGATCGCCATCACCATCATTGAGGCTCGTCACCTGGTGGGTGAAAACATTGACCCCATCGTGACCATTGAGATTGGGGATGAGAAGAAGCAAAGCTCAGCGAAGGAAGGAACCAACAGCCCATTTTTTAATGAAGTAAGTCCTGGCGGTGACCGACATGGTCTCCACTGAGACTCTCTTCACAGCCGCTCCACGGTATTCTTGAGCCAAACAGAAACTTGTGACAGCTTCCCATCACGCCTCCAAGCCCATGCTAAACTCTCTGAGGCTTCTTACAAACAGCCCGGCAGTTCAATACAGAGATGCTGGAAAGGAGAGGCAAGGAATTCCTCCTGGTTCAAAATTCATTGTTATCCTTTCAATAGACCCATTTCTTATTTTTTTAATAATTTTTTTATATATTTTTTACATCATTGTTCATTTTTGTACAATGTTTGCTTTCTTTTCTCAGGTGTGGTCCCCATAGAATTCCCACCACCAATTCACCTGTGCACCATCACCACAGTCCCTGAGCTCTTCCTGCCTTCATTTTGATCCCTCTCCTGCCCCTGCAGAATGTCTCTGATTTATAGTTGTCTGTTTATTTTTAGTTGTCTGTTTTATTGTGTTTTTTATTGTTAATATATTTTTTTCCCTGGTCCCTTATTTGGTTCCCCTATTTTCCTCCTATAAGTGAAACCATCGATATTTTTCTTCTTCCTTCTCACTTATTTCACAGAGCATAACCATTTCTTATTTCTTATAAACTCATCTTCATCCATTATGAGCTCTGGGTTTATATTCAAGAAAAGTGTTGCTTACTGGTTAGTGAAAAGATAGATCTTCTTTTACATAACAGAGACATTGCAAATTGATTATTAATTTTAAAACAGGCATGCTGAGTTGGCAAGTAGAAGTCATATTTTTCAAAGCACTTTAAAAATTGTAAAGGAAAATATCCAAGAGAAATGAAACCTCTAAATAGTAAACACATAAAATTTTCTTTTTCTTTTTTTTTTTTTTTAAGATTTATTTATTCATGCATACAAGAGCTGGGGAACAGGCCAGAGATGTGGTTGGGGGGTGGGGGGGGCCGTGATAGGATTCCCCAGAGACAGAGTGGGGAGCAGAACAGGCAGACTGACTGAAATACACTGCTGAGGGGAGCAGCGGGCGAGTCAGGAGAGGTCTGCTGCACCATGTGTGTTGCTCCCTGGCCAGCCGGGATCAAACAGGTGCTGCAGAAGCTGCGGATTGCTTCACAGTGTGGTGCTTAACCCTTGCGCCACCAGGGAGGCCCAAATTTTCCTTTTTTTAAATGAAAAGATTGCTCTGTGGGCCTTCCTTGGTGGCGCAGTGGTTGAGCACTGGGTTGCGAGGCTGCCCGCAGCCTCTGCAGCGCCAGTTCGATCCCCGGCCACTGGCGAGGGTCCCACCAAAAAAAAAAAAAAAGATTGCTCTGTTAAAAAATGATAGCATATACAAAGAGTATAACATAATGTAGCAGGACAAATATTTGTTCCTCAGAGCTTTGATTGAACCCCTTAGCCCCTTCTCCCAAGCATTCTCACCATATATACTGTAAAACCAGGACACACAGATCAATCTCATTTTCCCCTCACTGCGGTAGAGCTTTCTATTACATTGACATGCCATAATTTACTAAACCAGTCAATCTCTCATTGATGGACATTAATTTTTTTTCAGCCTTTGGCTATGAGTATTATAATAATATTCACACAGGGTGTAACTGGGGCAAAGATTGCATGCATTTAAAATTTGGATAGTATCAAATGGTCCTTCAACAAAGCAACAATTTTTACTTCAACTAACAGTAAACAAGAATACTTGTTTCTCCATAGACATTTGGACACCATGAATTATCAAAAATGCAGTAAACCTAATTATGTCCCTATTAGGAATGGTAATTGAAAAGGGAGGGAGAGAGCAAGGATAACGAAATCAACAGAAAGTATCCAAGTCCTACTTGAGCTGTTAATGCCTTTCCTCTTTCCCACTCCTGCCTCTGAGCTCTTTGCCAGCAGTGAAAGTGGCAGTGTTCTCCCACCTCTTCCACCGAGTTCATAACATCTTTTGGTGTGGATAAAATAATGTGTACTAAAAGGCTTTAAAACCACAAACTCTAAAGACTTGTTAATTATCATAATTAGCATTTGCTTTACGCATACAAGTCCTGGATCTAAATGACATTAAATTGGACCCAAGAGCAATCAGTAGGAAATTAAGTGGAAACATAGAAGTTGAAGTGGAAAAATTTGTTACAGATGAAGTAAAAATGCTTGGTACAGCTTTAGACCCTAATTTTTAAGCCCAAAGTCATTGGGTATTGATGCCAGTTAGTAGGGGCTGGGGAATATTTCCTAGCTAGGGACCTCTGGGTGGGTTTGTTACAGGGCAACCCCCGATGTAAAATGGGTTGCCTGACTGTGGGTCCTCACCCATGCACTTAAAGGGGACTTAAACTGCAGGCATACACTAAACATTAACAAAGGTTTATTTACAAGGGAAGAGGAAATGAGGAAATGTACAACTTAGGGAGAAAAGAGGGAGATAAATTTCTAAATGCATCCTACCCGTTCCGCCAACCTGGAATCCCAAATGACCCATGGAGACCAAACCTGCCTGGCCAAGAGCACGAGCCAAGTGTCCCAGACCCCACTAACATGGCTGGTTTTATTTACAAACAGAGAAAATGGCTGCTTAACTCTGCCTTTAGGTCCTCCCTTTGGGGATCATGGGATTTGTAGTTCCCAGTGTCTTGATGGAGTGGGGGTGGCATCCACAAAGCCTATATGGAGTTTGCTCAGGACATCCTTTTCCCCTAACAGGTTCTGAGGTCTAGGGGTCCTATGTGAGGCAGTTGAGTCTGAAATAAGTGAAACTCATCAGAGGACAATAGACTTTGGAACAAATTTATTGATCCAAAGGAATACACAGCATCTCATATATTCAGCCTTATCAGAGAAGGAAGAATTTTATATAAGTGAGTTTTCCATGTAAAATAAATTCTGAACACCAAAATGCTTTAAAATTTGAATATATCTAAGAAAAATTCCTGCAATGATTTACATATGTTCCTTCATTTTCTCTCTCCCTTGCTCTTTCTCAATCTCTTTATTTTTTCAATTGAGGCAACATTGGCTGACACAGTTGTTTGTGTTTAGGCCATATGGGATCTCTCTAAGGTGTTGTTACCATGCTGCACTCATCACCATTGGACCCAAGCCCACCACCACAGCCCATTGTGCTCACCCCCTCTTTATTCTCACCCCTCCCCCTCCTCCTCTGGTAACCTCAGTTCTTAGTCAGATTTTTAAAATTTTTTTTAAATTTTATTTCTATATGCTGAAGAGGATTGTGTTCCATGAAATAAGTCAAAAGGAAAAAGAAAAATATCTATCATCAGATTTCTAGGGTTAGTGCCTGGTTGAATTTATCTGACCCTTTGTTTGGTTTCTCTGTATTTCACACACAAGTGTGACACCACCTGGTATTTGTTTTTCTCCTTCTGACTGGTTTTACTTAGCATAATCCCCTCCAGCTCCATCCATTTTCTTCAGCAGAAGACACTGGATATAATATAACCTTTCATCCACACCTAAGGACCACCATTTTGAAGGTCTCATTATATTTTATGAAGACATCTTTAGTTTCCACATTTTGCATTTTCTGTTTTGCCCTTTAAATGCAGGCCGTTAGCCACCCTGCTCCCTTTCCTGCTGTGTCGTGTTCATCAATAAGTCCCTGTCTTATTTCTCTACCCTGCAGCCCCCAAACAAAGAAATAACCCATCAAATGACTTCTTAGTTCCACCTGCACAGCCCTCCACCAGCCCCCCGAACATATAGTCTACAACGAAACTCCACTCCAGTCTTGGGAGCAAAGGACCTCACCTGCGGGAGGAGCTCAGTCAGGTTCAGCTGGTCTTGAGCAGTAGGAACGACTTCCCTGGACTTAGCTCTGATCCAGTTCTTTTCAGTTCTTTTACCTTCAGTCTTCTTACCTGGTGAATATGGAGATCAACCTAGAGCATTTCTTCAATTCTAAAATTCAGTCACATTATAAAAATTAAAAGTCTCCCTTATCCATAATTTCTTTTCATTCTCTTCCTGGTCAGTCTTAGGAATTTCATATAGATGTATGAAATTGACAATTTCTAGAAAATCAGATTTCACTGACTTTCAAGTTCACCCCAAATCAAAAACCACAATGAGATATAATTTTCACCCATCATTCTATTATAATAGGCAAAAAATAAAATAAAGGAATTGGTGACATCAAGGGTTTCCAAGGGTGTGGAGAAATGATTCTTCACATACTGCCGGTAGGAATATAGAATGACTTAGCCCCTTGTAGGGTAAATGGAAGTTATTAGGTTTTTTCTGCCCTGCCACCATTAGCATCTATGCTCGATGCATGTGGTCTTGTATGCATGCCTGATGGCAGCACCTGGAGGATGGTGTGGGCATGCTTAAGTGGGCACACCTGAGCCCAGAGACTGAGCATATAAGGGCAGCATCACAGAGGACAGAGGAGGGTGGCGGAGGTCCTTGTGGCGGAGTGCAGTGGAGAGCATCTGAGGTCAGCTAAGAGAGGAAAGGGTGCATAGAGTAGCTGTCTCCCAGCTGGCTTGTTTCCCCTAATCTGTGGGGATGATGCCAAGGGCTCCAAGATTCTCTTTCAAGCTGAACCAGCGATGAACCTACCATGCCTGGGATGGTTGCAAAACATTTCTAAAAGAAAATTTCATACTGCCTACTAAAAATCTACATGCACATAAGCCACAACCCAACGATCCCACTTCTCATGTCCATTTTAAAGGAAACTCACATATATCCTTTGTAAAGATGTCACTGGTAACATTATTTTTTAATATTAAAAAAATGAAAACAATTTCAATGATCCCCTATAGGGGGTGACCGATCAACTGATATATTCCTGCCATTAATGACTATGGAGTTATTGGTAGAACAATTAAATCTATTCTGCAATACAGACCTAAATATGCTCTAGGAACAGAGTTCTTATATGCAAGTCTGGAAACTTTGGAAACAGAATGAACTTATATTTTACAGTACTTTGTCTTTGACTTCATTGGACCCCAAGTGCATCTTTTTGACAAGATCATCAAAATCTCAGTAAGTATGTCATTGTTGGTAGGAATGGGGGGGAGTTGGGAGGGGTTTGAGACATTGGGAACTCTCTAGGATACCCCAGCCTATTTAGGGCTGAGGAGGATGAGTGTGGGTTGATGTGTTTGAAACCAACAGGATAGAACTTGAAATAGTCAATGCAGAGGAGTTTGGGAGGAAGAACTTTCTTAGGAAAATGTGCTTCTTGGAAGCTACTTCTTGGCTTCTTGGTAAGCTACTATTAAGCCATCACAATTGATCATGTAGATTGCTATTGTGGGAATTGAAACATATGCTTCCAGTGACATCTTAATGGATTGCCATTTTCAGTTGCTTTCTTTCTTTTTATGAAGCAAGTGTTAGTGTTTCTCTTGGGGTGATATCCACACTAATGGTAATTAATCACACAATTTCTCCCTCCTAGTTGGTAAGAAGGAGAGAAGCAGGAGGGAGAATCAGGAAGGAATCAAATAGAGCAGTAATACTAGAGCAGAGAATGTGGTTTGCAATAAATGGTTGTCATTTGGCTTCTTCACAGTTGCCTCTGAGTGTAGACCTCAAGACCTGACCATGAGGAGCTGGTTCTATAGCATGGACCCTTCCTCAGTCCTGCCAGAATTTCTGGCTCGACAGGTCAAGTGTGAAGAGTAGAGACAGAGAGAACTTCCTGGTCTAGCCAGATGCCTTATCCAGGTTGATCTACCCCAAAGAGTAAAGGAATGAGACAGAAAGTGCCATGGGGAAGCCTTACTCATCCAACAGAGAGGAGGGCAGGTCACATGGAGTCATGATCTACTTCATACTACTTAGTAAAGGGACAGAGGCCTGAGGATGCACACAGCATCCACCTCGGCAGTCTTGAGAAGTCACTGCTTTTCCGGGAAGGAGTAAAGAGGGTGCATACGCCTGAAAGTGGCAGGAGTTGGGGGTTGAAGGTGGAGTGCTGTCTTCCAAATAGTTCTTCTGAAAGGACGGAATTCCTACTTTATGCCCCAGTGCATGATGTGGAGAAGAGGAAATTGACACCAACTCTTATCAAAATTAAAATGTGAAGATAGCACAATGTATCTCGAGTACCATTGCCTGCCCTTACCACCTTACCACCCACTCAATTTCTATTTTAAATGTTCATATCTGCATCTCCATCTCTATAATATATATGTATATATATATTAGGGATATGTATATTATATAAATATATGTACATATTATATATAACAAGCCCTACTAATATTAGGTCATCATGGAGTTATGATATTATCTTTCCTAGGGGCACTTGAAGAATGTGACTCTTGAAGAATGAAAAGTCCTCAAGAGCCAAACATTCTTCATGTTTGAATCTCAGGTTGGATGACAAGTGGTGCAGAAGATATTTTGGGAACCTGGGACAGTGCCCAGGATGTTGTTAGTTGCTTAGCTCAGGCAGCCTGTTTGGCTTCATATTACGCTCCTAAAGGACTGTCAAGATTTTAGATAAACAGCTTGTAGCTGCATCTTTATGCTGTACCATAGATAAAGGCGGTGACTGTCTGTGGGGCAAGTGGATTTTAGAGAAAGCATCAAAGCTTGTATGGCAGGTCTCTGTCCCTCTAACTTGGCAGATGATACTTAGGCTATGGAGTTTAGGGGAACACTTCCCTGAGAGGGAGTATCTAATATGAGTTTTCTGCTTGTCCCTGGACTGAAAATGAGCATGCCCAGAATAAATTCAACAGAGAGAGGAAGTGTGGGTGGGGAGTGCTGTGAGCAGGTAATATCAGGGCAGCTAGCCTATTGCAGCCCTGTGGGGCCAAAGATCATCTTGCCTTGAGAGGGACCCTGGCATCTGTATGAGGTACCCCAGCATTCCCATACCAGGACTCCTTGGAGCTCACACCAGGTGGATGATGTGAGGAGGCCTCCTGTGTTAGTTCAAGAACCATTTGGGGCTCTTGCCTCCCATCTAGCCCACAGGGACCGAGGTGATTTTGATGTAAGAAGCTAGATGGCTTCTGGCTTGTGTTCCTGCTCAGGCCTCTGGGAAGCTGCATTAACCACTGCAGCATGGGAGGGGGTGCGGGACATGGCATGAGCTTTGTGTTTGTGGCCTTATATAACTCCTTTATTCAAGCCAAGCTGTCCTTACTTCCCCTCAGTGCTGTCACTCGCTTGCATTTTGGACACAGGAGAAAGTTCTTGAACTCAGTTGAATTTATTGTTTTTTATTGCCTCTGCCCAAAGTCGCTATTTAGAAGCTATAAAAATCTCATCCATCATTCAGCGGGTCAATCATTTGTTAATTCACTGAATGTTTACTGAATACCTAGTATGAACAAGGCCATGAGGTGGTAGGAGAAAGTAGGAAACTGTTCTTGATTCAAGGAACTCAGAATGTCAGTTAGCAGGAAGCTCAGAGGCCACCTACTCGAACTTCCAGCTGGTGAAGGAATCCCTCTTCCTCATCTCTGTGATATGGGTTTGTGGGCACTGCTTGATTATGGTCAGGCATGAGGAAGTCAGGACTTCTAGGAAAGTCCATCCCATTCTGGGAAGTTCTGTTATAGAAATTTTGTCCTCATAATGAGCTAAAATCTCCCTTCCTGTAACTTGGGACCCACACAGGAAAACTACTCCCTCTTCTAGATGTCAGCAGCTCCAAGATTTGAAAGCATTTTCCATTTCCCTTTCTCCACACCTCCTGTTCTCATTCTGAGTGAAAGGTTGAACTGTTCCTGGCTCTTTAGCAGTTTCTTATAAATTGTGGCTTCTGGACCTAGCACCAGCTCTACCACCTTCTTCAGAACTTCTTCATCTTGATAGTATTGGCCTTAAAATGTGCTGTTATAACCCAGCCAGGTCCTCTGCTGACTTCTGGTCAGACAAAATATTGATGAATACTGACCTTGTTCTGACTGTTGTACATGTCTGAAACGTCTCAGGACAACACATGATGAGTTCTCTGAGAATGCTGTGAGCAAGCATTATGGGAGTTTAAGAGACAAAGAGAACACTTTTACCTGTGGAGGATGTGGAAGATCAGGGATGGCTTCTTGGAGGAGGCATTTGCTCTAGACATTAAAGGATGAGTAGAGTTCTGGCAGGTGGAGATGGGTGTTGAAGGTGGGCAGCACTGGAGTTCATTATGGTTAAAAAGAAAAAAACAACCTTTCAGACAGTGAGATTTGTTAGGTGTCCTTTAATTGAGGTTTGCTGAAAATCTTCCAGGAGGAAGTGGTACCTCTCTTCACCCTTTACAGTACAGAGGTTTGATGACCAAGTGTCATTGTGCTCCAGTGACAAGAACGATGATCAGACAAGGCCTAGAATCCTCTTTGAGGTGTCGTGAATCCATTTCACAGACTTACCATCAAAGGCAAATCTCAGGTTGCTAACTCCATCTTTCCTCAGGTCTTTCACCACAAAATCCTAGGAAGCAGCTTACCTATTGGCTCCTTCAAAGTAGACCTGGGGACCGTGTACAACCAACCTGGTAAGAAGCATTGCTCCCTGCCCCCCACCTCCTTCTGGCTTACCACACCTGGAGATCAACTCATTCATTTGTTTACCTGTTTCACCATTCATTCAATAACTGTGAGTGCCAATTATTTAATTGAGCAAGAAATGGCTCTTGTTCTCAAAACTTACAATCTAATGATACAATTACCTTATACATTCATTCTTACGAGTATTGATCTTTAATCCCACAAGTTCTGTATAATTTGTGCTGTGAGATAAAAGCAGGAAAGGCGGTGGAGTACAGAAGTTAGGAACATGGACTCTTGACCCAGGCTGGCTTCCAGTGCCTCTCTGCGCTTTCCTGGCTTTGCAACCTTAGGCAAATAACTTGACATCTCTGTCTCAGTTTCGGCACATGTAAAAAGAAAGATAAAATGGGGTCTGCTTCACAGGGTTGTTGGATAAGTTAACAAATGTCACAAAGTGCTTAGTACAGAACCCAGCACAGCACAGAATAACGACCTGGCATCCATTTATGGCTTTGCTACAGTAATTATTACCACCCTGGCTTTGCTACAATAAGTATTATCATCCCTGATTTCAAGGAAAGTGAAACTCAAAGAAGCTAAGTAATTTGTCCAAGGTCAAGAGCTAGTAAGTAATAGAGCCCGTAATAAGCATCGATCTTCTCATGAAAGGGCCCTTGTCTTTAACGGCAATTCCCTCTCACATGACCGGGCTCTGGTGGTGTGTGTCGGGCAGTGGAAGTAACTGAGTGCAGTGGGCTGGGTTGGATCCACTAAAGGGCTGATCGAAGCTGTGGGTGCCTTCCCACCTATTGTCATGTGGAAATGTGAACTCTGTGTGGTCAGATCTAAACTTTTTTTTTTAAAGATAGCCCAGGAGTTTAGATTAGGTAAGAGATTTTGAAGTTGGGACTCAGTGTGGGCCAAAGCAAAAGATCCGTGGGCCACAATTATGGCCTCTGAAATCATGTGGCTTCTATGCTCCATGGACGTCCTGCCACATGGTCAAAGCTGGGATCTGGTCTAGGTCATCTCACTAGGTTGAAAGTTTCCCACATACGTGTCAGGTTGGAGCAAAAGATGGAGAAGTGGGTGGGAAGCCAAAGGAGGAAAGGCAGGCAGGTGGACTTGGGTGTAATCTCGAGTTTGTCCCCCCACCAGGAGTGGACTGTGGGAGCTTGGGTGAGGGAGAGAGCTGGGGAGCTGCTGGGCCAGCTCTGCGGGACATCTGGGCCAGCGAGATACTTTTTCAGGTCATCAGTTCTGTGACAAATGGGCCCTGCTCACAGACCCTGACGACATCAGGACTGGCACCAAGGGGTACCTGAAGTGTGACATCAGCGTGACTGGCAAAGGCGACGTCTTAAAGGCCAGTCAGAAAATCTCCGATGCTGAGGAGCAAATAGAAAAGTGAGACAGTCCACCGGGGCCGCTTGAGAGAAATGTGTTCCGACCTCAATGTCTTTCTCCTCCCCTTTCTTGTGGGTGCTTGAGAACAGCCATATCCCTGGCCTTTCTGCCTGGGGTTCTCTCCATTAGAGACACCAAGCTGTCAAAGGCAGGGCTCTCCGCTGGGAGGGGTGTCTAGGCCGAGGACAGCCTGTTTTCCTGTGGAAGGCATAGCAGAGCGAGCTGTTCCTGGGCCTAGCTGGCTCATAGGAGCTGAGCTGATTTTCTTTGGAAGAATTATAAATTCAACCACTGGTTTATGAAGTGGGAAGACATAAATGCACTCTTTTAAGGTATAGAGCAGATACAGTATTTATTCTGTCATCTCAGGACCTGAACGTGTTCACACCCTTTGCCTTTGTTTACACGAGAAAGAAAACCCATTTAGTGTTGACTCCTAATCTCTTCAGATTTTTCTCATATGTCAGGATCCTTCTCTCTGCTTCTAAACTGCTTCTCACAGTTCTCTCTATTCCTTTCAAGTGAGAGAGTTTTTATATATATATATTTTATTTTTCTCCCCTTCAAAGGAACCTCTTGATCCCTCAAGGGTTTCCCTCAGAGAGGCCCTGGGCCAGATTCTACATCAGACTCTACAGAGCGGAGGGATTGCCCAAAATGAACTCCAGCCTCATGGCCAACGTCACCAAAGCGTTTGTGGGGGACAGCAAGGACCTGGTGGATCCCTTCGTGAAGGTGTCCTTTGCAGGGCAGATGGTGAGAAGCTGTGGTCACCAATCCTGGCAGCTCTGGCCCAGAACCCAGACCGTTACCGTTTCAAATTATACTAAATTGAAATCATAATGAGAAAGTAACTTGAGAGAGAAAGCTTGTCCCAAAGAGCAAAGGGGGAGTGAGGTGGGTGAGGTAGGGTACCCCGGAGCTCACTGGCGGTCATGGAAGGGGGTCGTGGGTGGGTCAGGGTTTTGGGCCCAGGCAGATAGGCCCCCTTCCTCACCTCTGGCTGCTTCTCTGAGCTGCCACCTGCCCCCAGTCCCTGTAGAATTACTACCAGAGCTCTCCCAGCCTGCCCCACGGCCTCCCCAGGTAGCCCCTGTCCTTTGTTCCCCGGGGCATCTCTGTTCCCTGCCCAAAAGCCATTGGTGGCACCTGGGCCTGTGACTGGGTGTCGCAGTCAGAGCTAAATCGAAGCTTCAGCCAACACGTGTCTCTGCCCGACCTCTCTCCATGGCAGGGTGAACGTTTTGACTTGAATCACCTGGATGCCCAGGACATCACCTCTGCTTTATGTGAAGGACACAGCGGAAGTGATTAGCATAAGAGTCAACTTTTGTAAATGCTGAACTCAGGGTTAACTTTACCTGCTACCCTCCTGGGGCACATGGAATAATAGTTCCTATTCTTGATAACGGGGGCTGTTTTCAACCCAACCTCTGTGTAGTGATGAGACCCTCCTGGGGGTGAGACCCAAGACTTTCTTTGTCCCAGGTGCCCGGCAGGGTGTCTGCTGCAGAGAAGGGTGTTAGCAGTAAGGTGCTGCTGGGTGAAACTCATTTTCATGGGTGTCAGGTGGGAACACGTTCATTTTTTCTTGGCAATTCACTTTCTGTTTCCAGTTGATTCAGAGTTTTCTTTAGTCCATCATTTTCTTCAAGAGCTCACACCCTCCTGGCTCTGTTTCCAGGGGCGAACCACAGTGCAGAAGAACTGTGCTGATCCTGTGTGGCATGAACAGGTCATCTTCAAAGAGATGTTCCCACCCTTGTGCCGGAGGGTGAAAATCCAGGTGTGGGATGAAGGCAGTGTGAATGATATAACCCTGGCAACCCACTTCATCGACCTGAAGAAAATCTCCAATGAACAGGATGGGGATAGAGGTAAAGCCTTGTGTGCCTGACTTGGAAACAGGGTCTTGAAACGACTGATTTAGAGCCCTCCTCTTTATTGATTTATTTATTTTTAAATTGTGTTTACTGAGTCACATTGATTTTGAACACGATTCTTAGGGGTATAAGCTCACACCTCTACAAATGTATGTTATTATCATGTCCAGCACCAAAGCATTCATGATCCTCCACATAGTCCATGGGGTTCTCTCTCCTCTTTGCTGCTGCCCCAGCCTTCCCCTTTTGGTAACCACAGTTCTACAGACAAATTTAAAGGATTTGTTTTTATTTGTTCCTTTGCTTTTATTTCACATTTGAGTGAAATCATCTGGAATTTGTCTTTCTCTCTCTGGCTTATTTCTCTTAGCATAACCCTCTCCAGTTCCATCCATGTCACAAATGGCAAGGTTTAATCCTTTTTTATGACTGAGTAGTATTCCATTGTGTAAATCTAACACATTGTAGTGGCAGGAATGGACACAGGGCAGATTTTCTAGGATCCAGCAGACCGGGTAAAGGAGGAGTCAGAGTCCTCAGTGGTTTTGCAGGTTTTTATTGGGATTACCAGGTACATGGCAGGCAGGGGCACTGGGGGGGGGGGCTGGCAGGCTGGCAGGCCTCCCAGAGCCCCCAGCAAATCTTCACTCTGGGCTCTCTGACCTTCTCTCATATTCTCTCTGCTCTTCTCATGGCTCTTTTTCTCTCCCGGCTTCTGTTGGCGTCCCCATGACGCAGCCCTTAAAAGCCCAGTTGAATCCCATCTACCTATGCCCACACCCTACTCCAGGTGCCCACCATCAGGCATGCATTCAGGACCGCAGGGTTCCATCATCTATCCTAATGGCGGGAGGGCAGAAAAGCCGGATACCTTTTACCTTACCCTACACACATCTTCTTTATCCACTCCTCTGTGGCTGGGAACTTAGGTTGTCTCCATAGTCCTCATCTTTAAAATAAGAGGGTGAAGCCAGCAACATGCTAGAAGTTTCTATGCTCCTGCCATTCAGGGCAGAGGACAGAACTGAGTCTGGGAGCCAAGACACTCGGTCCTCCCAGGCCTCCATGAACATGGTGGCGTGTCTTGGAGGTGGTCACTCCCTCTTAGGGTTTCAGATTTCTTAATTGAAATATGAAGAGCTTAGATTAATCAGAGGTTGGCAAACTGGTCTGTGGGCAATATTCAGCTTGCCACACAGTTTTGTATGGCCCGCAAGCTAAGAATGGTTTCTACATGTTTAAATGGTCCAAAAACATTTGTGTCCCCAATTCACTGATGGGAGCAAAAGAGCTTGAATGCTGCAGAAAGGCTTTGCTGACTGTGTACTCAGAGAGTTTGGGGGCGGGGGGGATTGGAGAGCTCCAGTAAAGCCACCTATCCCTCAAAAGAGCTTCCCCCAGTATAAGGCTTTTTATTTGAAAAACCTAAGTAAGCAGGAGCTAATTCTCTAAATGTCCCAACAAATCCTCTTTCTTTAAGTCCCAAGGCAGTCTTTCTCTGCACTATAAATTGTTAATTGATGTGTGTGCATATACACATATATACTGAAAGCTTGACTTGCGAGAACAAGACTTACACATTTCTGTGCCCTTCACAGAGTGATACACCAGAAAGACCTCAGTAAGTCTCTGGTGTCCACCTCTTCATTTTGTGACAGGGTTTGCCCTGGGGTTGCTTTATGCAGGGAGCACATTCCACCCAGCTATGGGATTTCCTAGCTGGATGTGAAGATGTTTTACCCACAGCTTTCCAGAACCATCTTGAAGATATTCAGGTGAAACAGTGGTTAAAAAGTAGACATCAAGGGCCATAAAATTTTCCTACTCATTTAAAAACAGTATTTCTGCTTCTTAAAATTTTACTCAAAGGAGAGATAGAAGCTAGTCCACAGGGCAGGAGTGAGGAAACATTTCAGCATAGAACTATTGCTAATTAAACCAAAACGGAAGCATCTGCTTGTCAACAGTGGTGGGTTGTTAAAAAAATTGGGATACATATGTTGTTTATTAAGAGTGGTAGCTAATGTTCTTGGGCACTTCCTAAGGCCCATGGAAGCACTGAATGGATATTGTCTGAGTCCTGATGGGTGAGATAGGTACCAATAGCCTCTCCATTTTACAGATGTGGAAACTGAGGCATAAGGAAAGTTAAAAAAAAACTTGCCCAAGGTCACGCATAAGGTCACATAGCTGGAAAGTGGCAGAGCTGAGATTTGAGATTTGAATGTAGGCAAACTCCAGCCAAGCTGCCCTGCCTGTCAAAATGGAAGGTTATGTTGCCAAAGAGCTGCTCAGCAGCTGCTGGGTATGTTCCAGAAGCTCCGTGTTAAGAAAATTACTTGGTAAATTAAGATCAGCAGGTCTTTTCAATTCTGTGTTTAATTTATATCTCAGAATGTTTGCTGCTGTCAATCCCCACTGCCTTCACCCTCATCCAAACTCCCAGAGCTTCAATTTTGATGATGACGTAGGTTCTATGCCAGTTTGTCCACATTTATTCCTGCAACCATTCACAAATCAGCCAGCGTGCTTGTAAGACACACACTTGATAATGTCACATCTTTGCTTAAATCCTGTGAAATATTCTCACAATTTCTGGGATAAAAACCGAAATCTTGATTATCAAGGCCCTCAACACCCTCACACCTCTCCAAACTCTCCTTACGCAGTTGCTCTTGGGACGCCAACTGTAAAGGGAGGAAAGAACACTGAGCAGGTTTTCTGATCTCATGCAGACAGGGTAAAGAAGGTATCAGAGTCCTTAGGAGCTCTTTGCAGGTCTTTTTATTGGGATTTACCCGGCACACAGCAGGCAGGGGTGCTGGGGGGCCGGGAGGCTGGCAGGCCTCCCAGCCCCCAGCAAATCTGCACTCTCTCTGGGCTCTCTGGCCTTCCCTGCTTCTGCTTCTTCTCTGCTTCTCTCTCGGCTTCTGCTGCTGCTGGCATCCCTGTGACACCACCCTTAAAAGCCCAGTCTCAGCCCAGGTGAATCCCATCTACCTATGCCCACACCCTACTCCAGGTGCCCGCCATCAGGCATGCATTCAGGACAAGGATCCATCATCTATCCTGATGGCGGGAGGGCAGAAAAGCCTGACCTTTTTCCTTACCCTACACCAACACACTGGCTTTCTCTTTCAATCCCGTCTCTCTCCAGACTCCTTTCCAGCTGGACGATGCTCTTCCCTTTGCCCCAAATTCACTCTCCTCTTTCTTCTCTCTCTGCGGAGCTCATCTCCCTGCCACACCAGCTTTTTATTTGTTCTTGACACAAGGTATGTTGCTTTCAGAGTATTTACAATGTAAGCATTTGTTTGTTTAATGTTTGTGTTGGCTTTACTCTCCAATGGGCTCAATATTTAATACCCAGCATGGTGCCAGGTGCACATTATGATCCAATAAACATTTGATGAATGAAGGAGCAGGAAAGGGTGCACAGCAGTGTTTGTGGTGTTAGTACAAGTGTGAGAAAGTGTATACACCTGGCAGAAAGGAACAGAGCAAAATGGCTACTGGGCTGTCTTTTGGTGGTGGGATAGCTGGTAGTGGGGGGAGGGACTGAACTATCTCTTGTGTTTTATATTTCTGAAGGAAGGCACACAGCTTTCATGACGCTAACAATAACAATAATGATCTTAAAACTTGAAAACATAAGGCAACTAACTCAAGCTTGGGGTCTTTCTAGGCTTTCTACCTACCTTCGGCCCTGCCTGGATTAACCTATACGGCTCACCCAGGAACCAAAGCCTAATGGAAGACTATCAGGAACTGAATGAAGGCTTCGGAGAAGGTGTTTCATTCCGGGGCAGGATCTTGGTAGAAATTGCGGTGGAAATCCTCTCTGGAGGAGCGCAGGAGTCTAAATTTTCCAAGGCGCTCAAGGATCTCAAGCTGTCGTCCAAATCTTCCAAAGGTTCGAGTAAAGACAAGGCTGAAAAGGCCGATGATGGAAAATCCCAGCAGTCTTCAGACAAAAGCAACTCAACAGAGGTTGAGGTGGAACCTTTTGATGTACCCCCGGAGGTAGGTCTGACCTCTCCTCCCCCGCCCCCTGCACCTGTAAGGTGAGCCCAGAGGGAGACACCGGCCTCAGGCTTCCAGAGGTTTCTTCTTGCCCAGGAGGTCTCACTTCACTGCAAAATGTGAGCTGACCCAGGCCTGACCGCCAGGCTGCTCCCCTGCCTCACCTCATGCACATCACAGCGTCTGCGTGGGATAAACTCCTTCAGATCTACCCCCAAATAGGATTCCCTTGGAAACCAAACAAAAAGATAAATAAGAACAAATAAAAGAGCTGGTGGAGTAGGTAGCAGGGGGAGGGACTGAACTATTTCTTGACCTAATTTTATTTAGCTTTGTGAGTTCAGAGTGCGCTCAGCATGTGGGGACTGTGCAAAGAAGGGTGAAGGGGTGCAAGAGTGAATGGCAGTTTGGGGTACGAGAAACTGAGAAGCCTATATCCCTGCCCCAGGCCCGTGTGGAAGTCACAGCTCAAGGCAGTGCTTAGCCTTGCTTAGGACTCCACGGAAAACGTGAGCATTTTCCCATGCTGGTTTTGCATTATAGGAAAAAGGCCTGGAACTCCAGAATGAACACAAGCCATGGATAGTTCCTCTTATTATTAACTCTGGCAATAGCACCTTGTAGGTAAGCAAGTGAAAGAAGACACCGTCTTGTTAGTAGCAGTGATCAGGGCTCAGCTTGTACGGTGAGCTCTGAGGCTGTGTTTTCTCAGGTCAACCAGACCATCATTTTGGGTGCAGAAGGGAGGGGGTGAGTGGTTTCCCAGAGTCGCCCAAGCCTAGGGGAGACTACACAGGCTGCAGGACTGTAGCCCGCAGACACCTTCACCTTGGCAGGGCCACTTATTTGTAAAGCCGGCATTCAAGCATTCAAGGCATCTTAAAAGTTTGGGGGAGAGGCTGGAACACGAAGGTTGGATATCTTGCAGGTTGGCTCTAATCCTGGATCTGATGTTAACCTCGTTCTAGATTTTAGTGTCCTCATCAACAAGATGAGATAGTAACAGTCCTCTGTCAGAGGCATCTTCTGGGGCTGTGAGGGAATGCTTGCACAAGGACCCACCGGGTTCTTGGCACACGCAGAGTAAGCAGGCAATGCGTTTGCTGTTGTTCTTTATCTCTCTCTCTCTTTTTGAAGACTTATTTTCATTTATTTATGCATACAAGAACTGGGGTATAGTCCAGAGGAGAGAGGATTCACCAGAGAAAGAGTGGGGAGCAAAACAGGTAGATCTACTGAAATATCCTGCTGAGAGGAGCAGCAGGCGAGACAGGAGAGGTCTGCTGTGCCATGTGGGTCAGCTCCCTGGCCGGGGATTGAACTCATGCTGCAGTGGCTTGATAGCCCTGAGACTTAACCACTGTGCCATCAGGGAGGCCCTTGCTAATGTTCTTACTGATGCTCCTGTGACTTGCTCCCAGCACAGCTCTCCGCCTGTAGTTTGCAACTTACACCGGATATTTTACAGCTCTCCCATCTGAATGTAGATAAGGGGGTTAATCTCTGGAAATGTGCACTGAGGGTTTGCTGTGGTTAGAACCAACAGTGCCTCATGGGCTTCTGTTTTGTCACTGTTTCTTCAGAATATGTCTGAATTTGCAGACTTGACTCTGAACTTGATCAGAAATTGTCAGTAACCTGGTAGCAACCACACTGATGTCCCCTGTATTTGTCCCTGGGTGATCTGGACTCTGGACTCTGTACTTCCACAAGGGAGAGGCATTTGAGTGTAACCTGAGGATGGGTAGGACAGCGCCCTGAATTCTCACCTGCTGACATTCTTGCCATCCACCATTTGTGGCATTTTTCTGTGCAGGTTTTATCCTAGATGCTCCATGTTCATGACCTCCCTTCTCTCCCCTGTTGGCCCTATCATGATGTTTATCTCCCAGACAAACAAAGTGACACCCAAAAAGCAGACATGAGGGTCCAAAGTCAACCAGCCAGGAAGAAGGGTTTGTCTGGTTATGGAGTCTCCCTTCCCTCTCCCAGGCTAATGGGGGCCCTCCAAGCCTTGGGGTAGCTCATAACTTCCTCCCAGAGAGTAAACTTGGACGGAGGAAGGTGAGAGAAGTGGCTGGTTGACAGCAGATAGTGGAGCGACACCAGGTGGGAGGGTGTGACCTGTGACTGCGTCGCCACGCTGGCCCCCACCCTGCCTGACATTTCCTGCTGATGCCGCCAGCACAGGGGCTCCTCCATGAAGGAAGGGGTCACCTTTCACTTAATGATATGGGATCCCTTTGATTCTCAGAGGGACAGGGCTCACCACGTGATTGAATGAGGGGGCTTACCCTCTGTGGCCGCACCGCTCTAGTTCCTGAGATGAACCTTACTGCTTTTACTTGGAGTTTAATAAACCCAGCTGCAAAACCAGGAAACCCTGACTTTGTGGCTCCAGCTCATTCAGCTTTTCTGGGCAGAACTGTGATGCTGTGTTACCATGTCCCAGCTGCATCTGCTCCCAGAAACTTCAACTGTGTTAATGGGAGTCTTTGCGAAGAGCTGTGTATTACCTTGGGATGGCGCCTGTCTGTGACCTGTCACCGTCCCATCTTCCAGAGAGTGGGCTCTTTCAGAGGGCAGCCTCTGTGGTTACTACACCTCACATCTTGGCCAGCTGTGACCTTGGGAAGCCCCTTAGTCTCTCTGAGCTTTGGTTTATTCAGGGTAAAGGTGGAGGTTGGAGCAGACAACCTCTAAGCTGTCTTTCACTCTGAAAGCATTTTACTTTGTGGTCCTCTGGGACTGTCCCTTCCGCCAGCAGCCACCACAGTGCATGTGGTCCCCTCTGGATGCACCTGATGGCCAATGGTCCTGCAAACGCCCAGCCTTCCACCCCCTTTCATCTGGTAGAAATTTCAGGGAGTCAAGTGTGACTTTGAGTTAGCCCCAAGGCTCTGGGTTAATACAGGTTAGAGTGGCCAGGATACTTGGGAAAGCTCCTTAGCTTAACTTCAAGTTTAGTGCCCTCGGTCTCCTGGTGTGTACAGTGAGAATGGTCCAAATTCTGACCTCTCATGGTCATTAAGAGGAAGACATATGAGGTTCATGACCACCTGCATAATCCACAAAACTATGGTCCAGTGTCTCTCCTGTGACTGTAAGTATCTCATCTTTGGTTTTCAAATACCCCATCATTCGAGGGAGATTCTAAGCTGGTGTTTCACAATAGTAGCTCAGAAAGGCACACGTTAAGCTTTTCCTTTAAAATAAAAGATTTTATTGTAAGGCAGAAGCTCAAAAAGTTGGGACTACAACATTCTAAATAAAGAGTTGAATTGGGATTTGTAATTTCCAGTTTCCTGGCTCCTGCCTGTGTGGTTACAGGGGAAATGTGGTGCCCAGTGCCATATCAGGCCGACAGGGAGGCACATGTGCTGCAAATGACCCTGGGCCACTTAGCTTCGCTAACCCTGTGTCCTGGGGATGAAACGGAGCCAGGCTTGTCTAATACCCTTTATCTTTCCATAGATTGCACCAGAAAAATATGAGGAATTTTTACTCTTTGGAGCATTTTTTGAAGCTACCATGATTGACCGGAGGATTGGGGATAAGCCCATTAGCTTTGAAGTTTCCATTGGTAAGTGCTGCGGACCAGCACAGCAGTAGACAACGAGGCCACCTCAGGGTTGAGAGAAGCGTGCAGGGTGGTCAGGGCATCGGAGAAAGAAATGACAAACAGACACACTTCAAGAGTGAAAATCTGAGTGTAATTTTCTTTGAGTTTGTGACCAGTATATATATGTTTTCCAAAAGCACAGGAATGAATATCAAAGAAATTAGCTTGCCCATGGGCTCAGTCTATCACCATCAGGGAGGTGATCTACATAACAAACAATGACCATTATAGAAGAAAGAAGAAGAAAGTTTAGAAAGACAGATAAGGGATTAAAGTTCATAGTTCTAGAAAGACTGGATAAGATTTTTAGCGTTCTTGTAGTGGTTCTTGGTGGTCGTTATCTTTTGATAAGCTTCTGCCTTTTCAGGGAACTTCCTCTGCACTTCCTCTGCTTCAGGCTGTTCTCCCCCCCCCCCCCCCACGCTGGTTGCCCAGCCGGATCTAGGGACCATGGCGAAAGCCATTCCTAAAGGTCACTGCGGGGGGAGGTGCAGCAGGTAGGGTTTTGCTGTTCTCCCCCTGCGCGCTGGTTGCCCAGCCGAACCTAGGGACGGTTAGCCCTAAAGGTCACTGCAGGGGGAGGTGCAGCAGGTAAGTGCAGATAAGCCTGTGGCCCGCTATGTGGATGCCATGAGCATTCCTTGGTGAAATGAATTAGTGCCTTACATGCGATGATAGCATGCTGATGGGGGCTCAAACCTCAGAAAGAAATGAGTAATTCCTTGTCTACTCTAGTGTCAACATGTAAGAGATAGATTTATTTTCATACTTTAAAAAGATCATGAAGAGGGCCTCCCTGGTGGTGCAAGGGGTTAAGCACCGCACTATGAAGAAATCCACAGCTTCTGCAGCATGAGTTCGATCCCAGGCCGGCCAGGGAGAAACCCACATGGTGAGGCAGTTTCCTGGCTCTCCTGTCTTGCCTGCTGCTCCCCTCAGCAGTGTATTTCAGTCAGTCTGCCTGTTCTGTTCCCCACTCTGTGTCCGGTGGATCCTCTCACCCCCCCATACCTCTGGCCTGTACCCCAGCTCTTGTATGCATAAATAAATAAAAAAACAGATCATGAAGAGTTTAGTATAGATTCAAACAGCCTCAGGTTACTGATCCTGGTTCCATTGGCTGGGCTCACGTAATTTCTCTCTCACGTAGTTTCTTCATCTATAAAATGGGAATCATGGTAACTCTTCCTTGAGCTACTACAGGGTTTAATAAGTAAAAGGCACCTCAAATGCTGTGCTTGTAGTAGATGTTGTTATTTCAACTCCCAAAAGTCTTTGCAGGCCATTGTATAGCTGGAGAAACCATCCCAAGAAAAAAATATTCCATCAGAGAGGAATGGGGAGCTATCCTCTGGGGCAGAAGGAAAAGGAGGTGGAATCCAGTTCACTGTAACGGAAGTCGTTTTTCCGAAAGCACGCAGATGGATGACAGCTCGCTGTCACATCCAGCTTCTTTTTTGGGTCTGACCCTCACTCTTCCCACCTTCACGCTGAAGTCTTACTTCCCAGCCCTGGCAAGTCATGGGCTTAGATTCCTTACACAGGCAGCCTGGCTCTGTTCACACCTGGATCCTCTCCCCTTGCCGCTTCTGCAGGTAATTTTGGGAACTTGATTGATGGAGGGACCCATCACGGGGTTCGGAAGAAGTCAGCTGACTTGGTTGAAGGAGACACTGTCCCGCTGCTGCATGAGAAAGAAGGGGATGCAGCTCACGACGCCCGCCTCCCTGTGGTCTCCACCACTCACCCAGAGAAGCCACTTGTGACAGAAGGAAACAGGTAGGAGACAGCAGGGGAGAACAGCCGGGGTTTCTGAAATGGGAGTCTGACCAATTTCTGGGTGCTTTGATTATTTTTCCTTCAACTGGAGACGTTTTAAAAATCTCAGTTATGGGAGCAATGCAAATGGTGGTGACCCATCCGCCGCATCAAACACAAAACATAGGACACTTTAATGGGAAGGAACTTTAATTAAACTAGGAAACAATACAGGTAAGGCAAAGAGTCTAGTTTCTAAATGAAGCACCCAAAGTTACCCGTCCCCTCGTGGGTAAAAGTCCATCCATATGGGATTGGCCCAGAGCAAGGCCCCAAGGCCTGCCACAAGTCTAAAGCATCTTCCAGTGGAGACCCACAGAAAAGGGTCACAAACAACCGGACAAGCCCGGAAGGAAAAGAGCAAAATCAACATCAAGATAAAAGCTGCCATTGTCACCTCCCCATGGGTCTCACCCACATCTGTGTCACCCCGTCCACGACCAAAAGACAAGCGCAGTGTCTCTAGGCTCTATGTGCCTCCTCCAGGTCTCCTGGCTCCATCCTGCTTCCTTCCTCAGTCTCTTCTGCAGCTTCTCTTCCTGCTCAGCTCCACCCTCCCTTGGGTGGGGCAGGGAACCTCCCCCTTCCTGGGACCACCCTTTACAATCCCCCCTTTTTTTTATTCCACCATATCTATGGTGGCACAATCTCAGGTGTATCTTAGGAGACAGTCTTTTTTCGGGGTTACAATGTGTGTAAGAGAAGCAAACAATTAGTCAGCAGCATTGTCCATGAATGTCCAGTATGACAGTTTCATTACTTAAAAATAGTCCATTATCCAAGCCAAAAGAAAAAAATTTGGAGAATTGGCTAAAACAAGATAGCAAATATATCAAAATCACAGGGAAAAAATGTTAAAATGGTTCAACTGATGTAAAACACAAATTTTCTCAACCTTGATCCCAAACTTTTAACAGCATAGCAAAAGTTTGCAAACTAAATCCTCTTTTAAACCATTTTTCCTATTTTTGCATAAAATCACAGGGCAAAAATAACTAACAGCAATTTTTAGCTGGCTTTGTTGAAATACCCCACACAGGATCAGAGCGAACCGGTGGCATCCAGTCGATGTAGGCTTCAGGTACAAAGTCGGTCTCATCAGACTCCACCTGGGCTTTCCTCTTCTCGAGGGTACCAGGGCTTTTTCGTTGGCCGGGTTGTCCAGTCCTGCCAATGGAGGCAAGCTTCCTCACCTTCTTTGAGGTCTCTGGAACCCTACAAACAAGGCAAACAGGTTCTCCTCTTCTTGGTTCAGCTCTTTTTCAACTTTCTGGAAAGAACTCCACACAAAGCCACACAATCAAACTCACGTCCAATTTTTTGTTAAAACAGACAAAATCCCTATGGAAGTTATGCAAAAACAGACTCTGAATAAGTAGCAAAAATTACTACCACTATTTGTATGCTATGTTGTTTGGTATCAAGGAGAGAAAATGTGACAAGTTAGTTTTGCTGGAAAAAAAATTACAACCTTTCTGCAGATCCTGGTTACTCAAAACAAAAAAAACAAAACAAAAACTTCGTGATTCAGGACAGAATGCATAAAAAAATTTCCAGTATGTCAAAGAAACCTTAGTAAATGTCAGGTGTATTTCCAGGTCTATTCAGTCCTTTGTAGGAAAGTTTTTTCCTCTCAACAGTTCCATCAATAGGAATCTGTTGAGACCTTTTCTCCCTATATTTCCGGAAACAATTTCTGTAGGTGTGAAACAATTGAATTATACAATATTACAAGGTGACAATCACCAGTGACAATTTAAATACATCCCAGATACTAAGAGGTTGTTGTTTTTTTTTTTTTAAATACACATTTTAGAAAACCACTGTTAACATTCTGTATACACCAAAGTTTTACCATTTCCCAAGTGACAATGCTTCCCTTCCAGTTTTACTTCATTAGGTAAAAGCCAAATAAAACAAATTCATGTAATGCCTTCCAGGAGGAAAAGGAGAAACTTCGTGGAGTGTCTCAGAGCTCTACTGAGTTCCACAAAATTTCCTTGCATCAGTCAAATGACAGCTACCAAATTTGTACTTGAATTTAGATTTCTGGGAAGCTTTGCCATAAATATCAGAAAATTAACAGAAACAACAATATTCAATCTCTATGAAGGCACCGGCTTAGTTCAGTAGCACAATGTTGACAATCAAACCATAACCTTTAGTTTTTCTCATAACTGGAGACTCTTTTTTCCTTTCCAACGTCTATGGGCACCATGTATATCAATTCGTCGATCACTGGAGGTCAAGACAGTTAGACACAAGGACATACAGACATACAACGTATAGACAAAGACAGTTTTTTTTTTTTTTTAGTTATGCACTCCTATGTTATGTAACTGCAGTTTACTCCATAGGCTTGTAACAGGGCTCCCCAGAAAGGGGGAGGTTCCCTGCCCACCCAGGAAGGGGGAGCTGAGAGGTGGAGAAGCTGAGAAAGTATGAGGAAGGAAGCAGATGGAGCCAGCGACCTGGAAAGGACAGAGGGGCTTAAGCAGTGGCGAAACTGCGCTGTTTTTGGACGTGGACTGGGTGGACAGATGTGGGTAATGGGGAGGTGACAATCATCTTTTAGCTGGATGTTGATTTTCTAAGTCCTTCCGGGCTTCATGAGTGACCTTTTCTGGGACCCCAAAGGACAGATCTTAAGCAGTGGCAAAGCTTTTGGGACATGCTGTGGGCTGTCCCCATCATGGCATGAGTTTTTACCCTACATGAGACCTTCTCCCTTTTGGGTCTTCTTTGGGGTCTTATTTTTTTGGTTCCTTGGCAGCCACACTTGGCTTTCTGCCCTCCTTTATACACAAGACCTTCCCATTCCTTTACTGTGCTTCTGTGTGAAAACCAAGGACATCAGGGAGTGGATGCTGTGAAGGGGAGACTTTGGGGGTTTCAGGCTGCTCAGAGCTGCTCTGCTTCCTTGCATTCTAATCAGGGAGTGACAACATCCCCCACCTAGGGACCAGACCGTTGTTGGCCACTGGGGAGAATGTCAGGGGATGTTTCATGGGAAGAATTGGGGAGGAGATGAGAGGCCTCAAGGATCCTTGGTTGGACCCTGGACATTGGTTTGAGGCGATCAGAACAAGTCTCGCTGGTGTTTGGGGGGTGTCCTATATTTCCCAGTCTCTATAGGTGAGTCTCTGTCCTCACAGCAGCAAGCCAGGGTGACAGCAGCTGCATTGGAAGATTCCTTGTCTGTAAGAGACCACCCCTGTACACATGTGCACACACATATGTAAATGCATGACACACATGTACATGCATCCATGCACACACACAATTCATTTGTGTGTTGCCATTAAAATGCCAACTTGGGTTGTCTGGGCTGTCCGAAGCACATGCATTCACATACCACTTATGCACCGGGCTAGAACTCAACAATGAGGTTAGAAAAGATATCCAGTGGCATCTTTTGATTCCACTCCTATCCTTGACCTGAGTCAAAAAGCTGGCTGTGTGTCAGGGCGTCCGTTCCCACTGCAGTCTGCTCTTCCCCCGTCCACACCATGCCCTCCACCTGCTGTCTTCCATCTGCACTGCAGTTTGCCTGATGAACCACAGCACTTGGGTCCACGCAGACCTGGACTAGGAGGACCTTAAAAAAAGCAAAGAGACGATGATGGCCCTAAACATCTTTAGCACAAAATAAGCTGAGAAAAAAAAAATCCTGCAGCAAAGTGCAATTTTGAGTGGAGTTTTATTTAGTTGTGGGATTTTCAGTGCAATAATTTTAAAAGAGACAAAAGAAAGAGCAGTTCCTTCTACAGCCTATTTTATTTTATACTGTATTTTCTTTTTTTTTTTTTGTTCTCCTGATATAATAAGAATCTCTGTCTCTGCCAAGAACTGATTTAGCTTCACTTCCGAATGGACACCTGCTGGTTTATTTTCTGCAGAACAGACCCTGGGGGCACCTTTGCTCATTTTATGGTCTGCAGAAGAAATCTGGGTTGGAGAGCTGAAACCAACAGCCATCTACTTTTTCAGGCTGACTTTCTCTTGAGTTTTCTGAAATGGAAACAAAGTTTTCTCTCACCCCCTCTCTCCACCCCTATAGGTGTGTGACTCCAAACACTGTCCACATTTCTCAGGATCCCCTGCTATACCATGCCCCTTCCAAGAAATTTGACTTAGCCTTCCTCCACACAGTCCCAAGTATCTGTGGGACAATTACACAGGCTGGGAAAACCTAGTCAAGAAAAGAACTTCAGGGAGGGACTTCAACTTCTGTCACCTTACCTGCCATTGCACCCACCCTACCCCCTCTTTGTGGAATTCCTTGGTTTCCTTGAGAACACAAATCTACAAATTATTATAGTCTTTCTTTTCTGTTTTCAATCTCACCCCATTCTTTGTCTTGTTCTCATCAGCAACTGCCTTCAAACACATTTGCTGCCTCCATGTCTCTCTTTCTAACAACTTTGCCTTTTCTCTTGTCCCTTCTTAGACTGAAGAGTCACCTGAGTTATTAGCACCAATGTTTGGCAACAAAAATTTTAGAAGGGTGGATAAATGGATAGATGGAGGATGGATGGATGGATGGATGGATGGATGAATGGATGGATGGATGAGTAGGTGGCAGAAAAAGGACAGATTAATGGAGGATGACTAGATGGATGGGTAGACAGATGGGTGATAGATTGATGGAGGGTAAGCAGATGCATGGATGGATGAATGGGGAGTGGATGAAAAGACAAGCCATGAAATACTATAGTTTGAGGCACATGTCTTCATCTTCATTAATAATATTGTTACCTTATGGCATTTTTCTCACAATTTCAGTTTGCAAAATGCATTCACATCGGTTATCTCAGTTGATTCTTATGCAGTGCCTACCATAGAGACATTAAAGCAAAGCCATTAAGTTTCCTCCTTCTCTTCTCTCTCCATTGGAAAGAGACTTTCTTCCTTGAAGAAGTCTTGCCTGATAAATCCTGCCCCCTGGTGATCATTTCTAAACTTTGCCCTCGATCTAATGGTGGTGACTGTTAATACCTCTCTGTTGTAGCCACGTAACTATTCATTGCTTATTTTCATGGGTCATCAATTAGGACAGTTAATTGTTTGATTGTCTTGTCACATCTTTCGCTGATCCCACCTAGAACACACAAAACATGAACATGTGTCTAGAATTGCCTGAGAAACAGTAAGCGCCAGCTAACTTCCAACCTAACATGTTTTCACAGAAATTATAATTATTTGCCATTTGAGGCCAAGAAGCCCTGTGTCTACTTCATCAGTTCTTGGGGAGACCAGACATTCAGGCTGTACTGGTCCAACATGCTGGAGAAAATGGCAGACCTCCTGGTAGGTGTTTCTGACGGGTGATGGATTTGAACACTGGAGGCAAAAGGGAAATGCTTTCACACACCCAGTATAGTTATGATGTTGGTTTAAATAAATCTAGGCTGCTGCATTTAGAGGACACACAGCTTCTACCCTGTGAATCCAGGGGAATAAGAATTACATTTTGCAAAATCCCTGGACTTTATTCCTATTCAAATCCCTGCTGTGCTTCTGATATAGGCATAGGCATGGGCATAGGCTGTTTCCTAAACTCCAAAGAGCAGGAGTTGACAACTTTCTCACAAAATTAAAAGATCCTACTTTCAGCTAATAATGTAAAATCCCAAATCCTGAACACAGAGGACAGCTCCCACAAGACCAGGCCAGGCCGCCTCTTCAGTCCTCTCTCAGACACTCTTCCTCCTTTGTTCCACTCACACTGGGGCCCTCACAGTTTCTCAAAGAAAATTGAGTTATTTTATGCCTCGTAGCCACCTCCATACCATTTCCTCAGCTCGCTTTTCTGTCCACACATCCCCTGCATCCCCCAGTCAACCTCATGGCTCTCCCATAACTTCCTCTTCTTTGCCTTTGAAGCTCTTAGTCATCATCACACGTCTGTTTATTTTTCATTACTCAGCATTCTATGGCATTTCACATGATGCCTGGCACCCAAGAGGGACTAAATAATTATTATTTGAGGAATTGCATGTTTAAACATCTAAAATGGCATCCTATGCAATAAACATCACATTGCTCCACCCAGCCACCAGGAGGACAGAAACCTGGGAACTCAGTCTTCTTGGTGCCTTGCACCTACCCTTTGTAATTTTATTTCTCTACTTTCTACCCACACATCTCAGAGGACACAGCCTCTGCTTTTACTCCCACCGGATCTCACCAGTGGGCTTTTGCCTTTTACCTCTCTAGCTAGGCTAAGGAAAGAACAAATTTCTCTCTCCTTTTGCTTTATCATCCTGTCTCTAGATGTGTGGAACAGTGTATTGTTCCTAGTCAGGTCTTTAGACAAAGGACAAAACAAGTGACAATATTTCCTAGAGGCTGCAGTAGCCTTTAGCACTCATTTGGAACCCCTCTCCTAGTGCCAGGATCCCCGCTGTGCTCGGAGTGTCCTGGCCAACACGGTTGCAGGTTTACTGAGCACCAAGCGCTATTTGAAGAAGTCCACACCTCCCTAGGGTGCTAGAAGTGGTACTACTATGATTATATGATTTTATGCATCATTATTATATTACAATGTAAGTGCTGTTGTTATTCATCTGAGTCTGCACTGCGCTGGTCTGACATGCTGGAGAAAGTGGCAGAGATGGGGAAACTAGACATAAGGGAATTAGATCACCTGATAGACCCTGCATTTTAACATAAGTTGTCTGACCCCAAACCTAAATCTCTAACCACTCCAAAAGTTGTCTGCTTATATGGGGAAAAGAGAAAAACATATGTCCCCAGATATATAGCAGAGAGTGTTGTTTTTATAAATTCTAGCAAAGCCATAGCAACATGTATATTGCTCCTGGCTGCCATTTTCTTCCAAGCCACCCAATGGAATACTAGTATCTAAAGTGTAATTATTAAGTATACAAACATAGCTATTGCCACACGCAACCAGTTCCTCCTCTCTCCCAACCCCTGATCTGGGTCAAAACTCCTATAAGCAGAAGAATTGATAGTGTTCTATTTCAGAGGTTATTCAATATGACTTTATTTTTATATAACTAAGAAGCTCAAATATTGCTCTCAAAATTTTTGGTGATTATGTCTAACTTACTCTACTCTGTATATTTCCCATGGCATTATATTTCCCTACAGAGCGTAGATAAGTGGTAAGCAGTTAGGGAATGGATCTGGGACAGAAGCAATGAACTGAGCAACGTGGGAGAATCTGGACCATTCCCAGTTAGGAAAAGGAAGCCCCAATGTTAGAATGTAGTAACAATTCCCAGTCTGGGCAAAAGAAAATGAGAAAAATCCCCTTTATTTTCAAAACCAAATATCAAATATTATTTCTGGGATGTTCCAATCAATATCTCTACTGTATTGTCTCATTCCCACCTCTGTGGTTGGTTTTCAGGAAGAAGGTATAGAAGAAATAAAGGAATCGATCAAGATTTCAGAGGAAGCACCAGAAGAGAAAATGAAGTCGGTGCTCAACGGTTTCATCAGTCAGAGCAGGTACTGGGAGAGACAGCAGCTTATGGGGAGCTGAGATGACATGGATTCAGGATTTAATTACCTGGAGAAAACAGTGAATTTTACATGCATTTGATACTTTTATATCCAACTTTATTTTGTCCAGTAATCTAGCTGGCATTTGTGGGCTCACTCCTGCTTTCTGATGCTTAACAAAAATGAAACACAAAACAAAGGATGAAAAAGAAGAGACTTAATGCAGAGACTTCTAATGCAATTGAAAAATGATAGCATGTTGGTTTGCATTTGGTAGACACTAGAAAACTATGTGGCAATGGATGGCTACATTTAATCATGTCTCATATCACACAGTAATAGGTTCCAATTACAATCATGAATCACTTGAAGATTTTTCAGTCAAAGACAGACTGCCTATCTGAAGGTAGCAGTTATAGGCCACACCACACACTCTAGGTATGTCATGGGCTGTGCCATCCTGGTTTGTGTAATTACACTCTAGGTCATGCACACAACAGCGAAATCACCAAGTCCGGCCTCTCAGTGCGTGTCCCCGTCATTAATCAATGTGACGCGTTACTATAATGACTCTTACTCTAGACAGTGAACAATACAGTAGAAGATTAAAAACAGGGTGCATCAGTTACCTCCCTGAGTGAGAAATACCCTTAAAATCTAGTGTCTCTACATAATACCTACTGTCCTAGTCTCTGTGGGTTAGCAGTGCGGGTATAGCAGACAGGGGCCTTTCTCAGCTCAAAGACCGCTGTCCACACACCACAAGGCACTGAGAGGCTGGGATACCCCAGTGCCCAGGTTCAGCTGGGGAGGGTCCACTTCCAAGGTCATTCCATGGTTAATTGCAGGATTCAGTCCTTCCAGAAATGCTGGATTGGGAACCTCGGGTCTTTACTACCTGTGGTTTGGAGGTCAGCCTCAGTTCCTGAGCAGTGGGGACTCTCTGCACACCCTCTCCCAGCGCAGCAGCTGACTTCATTAGAGGGAGGAAAGGAAGAAGGGGTAGGGGGTGGGGGGAGAGAGAGAGAGAACTGGTTTTCCATACCTTCGTCAACCTTGGCTAGTATCAATGTTTTTTTTTTTTTTTTTTTTAAAGATTTATTTATTTATTTATACATTTATACAAGCACTGGGTACAGTCAGAAGCGCGGGAGGGTGAGAGAATTCACCAGAGCCAGAGCGGGGAGCAGAGCAGGCAGAAGGACCGAAGTACACTGCTGAGGGGAGCAGTCGGCGGCAGGAGAGGTCTGCGCGCCATGTGGGACCCTCGCCCGGTGGCCGGGAATCGAACCGGTGCTGCAGAGGCTGCCAACCCAGCGCTCAACCACTGCGCCACGGGGGAGGCCCTAGTATCAATGTTTTAATAGGTGAAAATGGTACCAATGTTAATTTGCACTTAAATTATTAATAATGAGGGAAATGTATTATTTCACCACATTTCAAAACCATTTCTACTTTTTCAATTGCATTCATAACCTGTACCATTTTCCCATGGCACAATTACACCTCATCCCTCTAAATGTTTCTTCTCAGACCTTAAAATGCGAAGACACATCCCAGCATAGAGCATAAAATATTTGCTTCACACATGACCTTTCAGGAATCTTCTGGGGTGTGTTAAACTTGAAGATGAAGCAAACTGCATTATCTTCTCTGTGTTGTCGTGAGCTTGGGGATCAATCTCAGGAAACAGGCATGCGAGCAAGTGGAGAAGCAAAATAGCTATCCTGAAACTAACGTGGGGCCTCCGTGTCATTTCCAATTCTCATTTTATCTTTTGGAAAAGTTAGTGCATCGCTGCTTAATCCTAAATGAAATAGCTTAGTTCTGTGGCTTCATCAACTTGCCCATTATATCGAAGAAAGTATATTTGCAAATCTGGGGAATTATAGAAATGGATTTTTACTAAGGAGGTTTTAACATTATTATTCCTCTTTTCTAGTGCCTTTATCGCTGCAGCAGAAAAAAAGCCCAAGATGTCGAACCAAACTACTTTAGATAAGAAACGACTTACGCTCTGTTGGCAGGAGCTGGTATGTGAAAGTCTATTTATACTTTGAACAGAATTGAAGTATGTGCTTTAAAAATAAACCTCATGGATGAGGCATAGGTCATAGACCAGATGAGGATAAGGTTCCAAGGTTATGCATTTGTGTGATGTGGAGGGATAAGTAAGAGAGGAATACAGGGGTGAGCTGGAAAGGGGTTAGTGTTTGTTGAATATTTACAAGAGTAGCCTGGAAGGCCCGCATCCCTACATTCCTCTTTCATTGGAGTTTCTCCTTGTTCATTTCCTGGGCATTTGTACCTGGTCAAAGGCTATATCACTTGACCTTCTGCCTCACAAATGGAGAATTAAAAGAAATGACTTCTTCCTCTCCTTGGTCTCCTCCCATTAAGAATGGTGCTAGGAGGGGCCTCCCTGGTGGCAGAAGAGGTTAAGTGTCAGCACTATGAAGCTTTCTGCAGCCACTGCAGCATGCTTTAGATCCCTGGCCAGGGAGCTACCCACATGGCGCAGCAGATCTCTCCTGTCTCACCAATGCTCCCCTCAGCTGTGTATTTCAATCAATCCACCTGTTCTGTTCTGTTCCCCACTCTGTCTCTGGTGAATCCTCTCAGCCCCCTGTACCTCTGACCTGTACCCCTGTTCTTATATGCATAAATAAATCTCTAAAAAAAATTTTAAAAAAGAATGGTGCTAAGCGTGAAAAGCACTGTGTGAGAACAGGGTCATGGCTTGGTTTCTCTGTGTCCTGGGGCCCTGAGCAATGCTGACCCTTTCAGATGCTCAGGCCCTGCTGAATGAGGGAAACAGAAATGCCTGGATCATTTCACCTGGATCAACTCACCTCGAAAGTTGAGTTGGGGGAGCTGGAAATGAGTTAGCGTCATGGAATATTTACAAGAATAAGCTGGAAGGCCAGCATCCCTACATTCCTACTTTAGAGGGTTTCTCCTTGTTCATTTTCTGGGCAACACTGCATCATCTCACCTCGAAAGTTCACTTCCAACAACATCACCAAGGACATTTTGTACAGGTCATAATTCTGCAAAGAAAAATCACTCAGTGTTGAGTTGCCAGGGACATTTTAAAGATGTGAGTGAATCTAGGGGAAATTAAATGATTTTTTTTTAAAGGTCTCAGCGAGTTAATGGTAGTCTGGAGATTAAAATCCAAGTCTCCTGACTCCTGATCCATGCTTCTTTCCAGAACAATGAATGTTTGTGACCTCTGACTCTGTGCTCCTGGGGAAGCCAGATTCCCACCATATACAAACTTTTCTCCTACTCCAGTTCTTCGGCACCTCTGGCTGCCTTTCCTTGGCTCTGCAATATCCCTCCATGACGTGTTCCTCCAGAACTCCGTTGCCTTCTCAGTCCCCAACAACCCTTGGCCCAAGCAAGTCCATGATTTTAATATCTTTGGGTTGGCCCAGCTCTCCCTCCTCATCTGTATTTCCAGCATCCTTGTGGCCCTGTCGCCTGCTTGAGTAACAGCACTCCAGGCCTAATATATCTCACTCAGTCCATCATCTTCTCACCTAAACTTGCCCCACATCTTGTATCACCACCACCAATTACACTTGTCATTGCAACCAGAAACCTGAGAATCAACCTTGGGTCCTTAGTTCTCACCCTCAACGGTCAGTTCAACCCCAGGCCTGGTTGATTCTGTCTCTTGAAGATTCTGGAACTCACTCCACTTCTTCATCCCCAGTATCATTACCTAAACTGAGTGCCTTGGCATTCTTGGCCTGGAAGATTAAAGTAGTTTCCTCCAATCTACCTTCCATACTGTAACCAGACGGTCTTTCTAAAACCTCAGCCCAATGAGATCATCATGGCTACAAAAATCACCTGAGTCTCAGTTGTTCACAGGATAAAGTGAAAATTCATTTTGCATAATGTGCAGGATTATTCGCCATCTGACTCCAACCTTACCTCCCAGCCTTATCTCCCACAACCGCCCTCCCCACATATCTCTGCTCAAGTTACTTTGAACTCTCCTTTGAGGATGTGTCTTCATATGTAAATCATCCCCTCTCCTTGGACCATCCTTTCTCTGATCAGCTGATGATGTCTGTTCATTTAGGTCCCATGGCGATGTCATAGCACCCATAAAACCTATCTTTGCCCCCTCTGGTCCCTTGATGTTCTTCACATTTTAGTTATTTGTATATATTACTTTCACTTCTGCAAACTGTCAGAGTCTCTGGGGAAGGAGGCAAGAACCCACACCCACCCCATGCTAGGCCTTAGCTTCTAGGATGGTGCCTGGAAGAAGCAAGTATTCATTTCTTCCACTCATGAACAGAGGCTTTCTGTGTGCTAGGACCTCTGCTACGTGCTGGGAACCCAAAGCTGCAAGTGCTTGACCTTGAGAAATTCACTGACTGACAGGCTGATTCATTCCACACACATTTATTTAACACTGGCTATGTGCCAGGAAGTCTGCCAGATACAGAGAATACAAGATATGAACAAGACAGGAGGTTCCTGTCCTAATGAAGTTTGCCTTTAGTGGGGAAGACAACAAATAAATAAAAGTGATTACAGTTATGAATATAAAGGGTACTTTTTCCTTTTTTTTAAGATTTATTTTATTTATTTATGCACTAGCTGGGGTACAGGCCAGAGATGCAGGAAGGTGGGAAGATTCACCAGAGACAGAGTGGGGAGCAGAACAGGGAGAAGGACCAAAGCACACAGCTAAGGGGAGCAGCGGGTGAGGCAGGAGAGGTCTACCGCGCTATGTGGGGATCTCCCTGGCCGGCCGGGAATCGAACCGGTGCTGCAGAGGCTGTGGACAGATTCACAGTGCTGGTCTCAACCCACTGCACCACCGAGGAGGCCCTAAAGGGTATTTTTTAAAGGGCCATGGTGATTTGGAGGAATGTAGAACAGTGGTAACACTTAAGATGAGGCCTGCAAAGAAATCAGCCTTGTAGAGTATAGGAAGATATTTGAGCAAGAGGAAACATCAAGCACAACTATCTTGGCGATGGACAGAAGTTGGCTTGCTTTGGGGCCTCCAAGGACCAGTGTTCCCGGGCCACAGTGAGCGAAGCTCTTTGAGATGAAGCAGAGAGTAGGCAGGGCCAACAAATGCAGAGATAGAAATGTAGAAATCGGGCCTCCCCTAGTGGCGCAGCGGTTGAGCGCTGGGTTGCGAAGCTGCCCGCAGCCTCTGCAGCACCGGTTCGATACCCAGCTGCCGGTGAGGGTCCCACATGGCGCGCAGACCTCTCCTGCCGCCAGCTGCTCCCCTCAGCAGTGTGCTTCAGTCCTTCTGCCTGCTCTGCTCCCCGCTCTGGCTCTGGTGAATTCTCTCACCCTCCCGTGCTTCTGACTGTACCCAGTGCATGTATAAATAAATAAATAAATCTTTAAAAAAAAAAAAAAGAAATGTAGAAATCACAGAAAACACATAAATGTGGGCTAAACCAATGAATCAAAATAAACACTTTTGGGTGTTGCAGCAACTCACACTGTGCTCCTAGGTAGCATTTCTCAAATGATGTCAATCTCTCAAAGAGGTGATAAGAGCAGTGATTAAGGATTTGGGTGCTGGACTCAGCTGGAAGTCAAGCACCAACTCTGCTTTCAAGAGCTGCTTCCTCTGCTTCCTCAGCTGTAAATGGATAATGGTTCCTCCCAGTACAGTTATTATGAGTCGTGAAGATTAACACTGCAGTTAGAACATTGCCTGGCACAGAGCAAGAGTTCAGTACATTTTAGCTGCAGTTATCAGAGTTGTGGTGTTGTTAAGTATCAGAAAGCCTAGATTCAGGGCTTTCTGACAGAGCTGACAGGGCTGACAGAGCTATGGGACCCTGACATACATCTGACTTTGCTGGGCTTCTCATCTGTCAAATGAAGGTGAAGTAATATTCACTGCCTGCGTATTTCTATGAAATTTTTTGTATGGACAGCATGCACAGTGGCAGATCCTGAAATAACCCTCATGAGCAGCTCAGTATGAGACTAAAAGACATCTTCAGGAAGCTCCAGCAACAGACATGTCCAGATTTCTAGAAAGTTCAATACTGACTCTTATCTCATTTTAGGAGGTGATGACCAAGGAGGCCAAGGGAATCCTTCAGCAGCAGAAGAAAAAGTTGTCTCTCGATGAAATAATCCATGAAACCCAAAAGTTTGTGGAAAAAATCCGCTTTCTTGTGGATGAGGTAATCAACAGTAAAGGCAAGCCTCATTGGAAAGATTTGACAGAATGTCTTCCTACTGAGGCTTGAAAGTTTGATAAGGATGAGAGATGGGGCAAGGTTTTCTCCCAAGCCCTGCTTAGCTGAATATAATTAGTTCAGGGGTGGTTTTTACATTAAGCTAAACAGGTATAGCTTTACTTATTTTTTTAATCAAATATAAGTATTCGGCAGAAATAAAAACCATGTTCCTTAATGAACTCAACAGGCTCCTTTGAACTCAAGCAGGGCTCCTTTTAAGAAGTCTTCCATTGTAAGATTTAAAAATCATTACCAGAAAGGTCAAAACAGTGTCTTTGGTGATTGCTAGATTGATCAAGCAAAGCCCTGCTATTTGCTTCTGTCGGATAACTGAGTTTTGTAGGGGAAGGGTTCAGGGAAAAGTTTAGACTTAGTGCTTCTATTTTCAGGTTGTATTTCTTACTGTGAACCAATCGTTACCTGGAGGCACAATAAGCAGGGGACAGGCTGTCATTTTAGTAAACCCAGGAATTTTAAAAGAGTTACAGCCCCCAGAATCTTCAAACCAGACACCAGGGCTTTAGATCTGGGACTGACCAACCCACAGCCAGGAAAATCTCCACACCAATGTCTCTTGATTTCAAGAGTGAAGGGATGCTTTTTGGGGCTTCCAGTTATACAAAAGTGTTACGGGACCAGAAAAGAGTGCATCTGCTTCCAGTCTAGGAACTTTAAAGCCTAATTTATGTCAATATACCTCTCTTTTGTTTTGGTAGTTACATTGGCTCAGAAATGTGCATTTGAAGCCCTCAAAACCTAATGGGCCTCTTGGCAGGAAATTGTGCAATTCCAGGCTTGATTAGCTCAACTTTAAAGTCTCATTTTCTGGGCAATTTAGCCATGTTTCTCCTGAACAACTAACTAAAATGGAACTAAAAAAACTTGGCAATCATATTTTAGGTATAAAGTTTCTTGTAGAATTGTTTTCCCTTCCTTAAAAGGTAATAGAAAGACATTCATGGATTTTTGCTTTTGTTTTTGCATTTGAATGTTCTGGAAATGTTACCTGGCCCTTATGAGATCCAGTGCTTGAAGCTACATCATTATAAGATTGCAAAAGAAAATTCATGGGAAAATGTAGAAAGGTGTTTGCCTTACAGATGGAGAAAAGTTGATGACAAAGATGCCAAATTTATGGGTCCAAATTGCATGTTCTCAAAGTATAAGTAATGTGGCTTGTGGGATTTACATATACTGTAATTCTTTTCAAAGGGGCTTTTTCTTTTCAAAGAGGTCCCATTTAACTTATGTGATTGCATAGTTAAGTACCTAGATGGTTTAAGTCACAGAATTTGTTTTCAGGAGAGGGACTATTTCAGGATAGGATCTCTGGAAAGGCAGTTGTTAAACACGAACCTATAAATCCACTGCCCTCCCTCCAGCCTCAGCATACCATCCCCGATGTCTTCATCTGGATGCTCAGCAACAACAAGAAGGTGGCGTATGCCCGCATCGCCTCCAAAGACCTGCTCTACTCCCCTGTCAGGGAGCAGATGGGCAAACACTGTGGGAAGATCAAGACTCATTTCCTCAAAGTAAGTCTGGTAGCTTCTTGGCTTGTGGCAACTTCACTGCAGGCTTTACATGATGTTCTCCTGTGTCTGTCTCGTGATGATCTTTTTCTAAGAAGCCTATTCCAGTCTGACCTCATGTGAACTAAATCTGCAGTGACCCTACCTCCAAATAGGATCATATGCTAAGGTACTAGAACATATAAATATTGGTGGGATGCAGCTGAACCTATTGCAAAATCCCGGAGCAAATATTTACAGACTGTATGACCTTGTATCTCCTCCATCCACCAAATGGAGATAGTGTTGAGGCGTAAGTGGATAAGTGCACACCCAGAGTAATCACTCAATCCATGCTGGCGCCCAAACAAATGGGACCCTGACATCTAGAAGACATTTCTGGAATAGGGTGCCCCCGTCACACCCACTGAGGGTGTTTGTGGTTCTGTTTGGTTTTTTGTTATGTGTATAAAATGCATTTTAAATCAACTCCTATGAAACTTGTAACTGAAAAGAGAAAATTTCCCCCAGGCAGGTTACTCACCATAAATATTAGGATTTTTTTCTTCAATTTTCTCCATCTGACAGATTCTGGGGTCAAATAAAATTGTCTTAAAAATAGTAAATCATTTCAGAAGGCCCTGGGCTAAAAATACCAGGAAAATAGTGTAAAGTTACTCCCTGATAAATATTTGGATGTATCCTGGCGTTACTTAAAATTAGAACAAAGATGTCGAAGCGAGGGATAAGTGTAACTGAGAATTCACAGACTTTGCCCTAGCACGTTCATCTGCTGGGCATTGCTCTGTACCATGCACTTTGCATTTTTAAATTGCTTTTCTGTCTTGTCTTCATGCCTTGCCACGCTACTTCAGAAAGAAAGAAGTTGTTAGGTTGGTCAGGGGACCTGAGAGAGCCAGGGGAGCTGGGACGAGCAGGCAGCAGCATGCCGGAGTGTGTGAAGTAGGAAAGGACCTGCTGTTGGCAGTGGTTCCTGGGAAGGTGCTCTGCACCGTGCCTGGGTTCCAGCTCGGGTACTTAGTGAGAGGCGTGGTATCTTCTTGCAAGCAGTTTCCACTTGTGTATTTTTAAAAAGATACGTAAGCTACAACCCATAGGCCTGCAGCAGTGTCCTGAGTGATGTTGCACAGGTGTTAACTGAACTTTTGGGATCAACCAGGAACTCACACACACATCGTTTTTATAGCAACAGACATGATGTTTTTGGTTTGGTTTTGTTGAGAAGCAAAGGCTGTCAGATCTGCTTTGGGGCAGTGTAACCTTAAGTCTTGCTACTCGATCAGCACCCTGGGAGACACACAGCTGCCCACCCCCTCCTCCAGGCCTCCCAAATCAGAATTTACATTTTCACCAAGTGCCCAGGCAATTCACAGGCGCTAATACTCGTGTCAGTGTGTGAGAGTGTGGTGAGACTCTGGGCCCCAGAGCCAGGCAGAGCAGGCTTCTGCCTCAGCTCTGTCCCAGCCTCACTCTGTGACATTGCAAAATTGTCTTGAACTTTCTGAATTTGCATTCCTTCATCTCTCAAACATGCATAATTAAAGTATCTATTATCATGATGATAATCGATAACCTATGACATTAATTATATGCAAGTAGTAGAACCTTCTGGGTATAGGAAGGAACATTAGATCAGGGCCTGGGAAAATGTAAGTGCTCGACCATGAAATACTGTTATTAGAAAAATAAGTAAAGGATTATTAATTCAACAGATATTTATTGAGTGCTTCCTGGTGCCCCCCCCCCCTTTAGGCATTAGGGACATCACTGTGAACCCACAGACAAAAACCCCCTTCCTTTGTTAATTGATGTCCTACTGTGTCTTCAAATGGCAGGTAATTGCTTGTATTACAGCAAAATAGCCTTAGGATCGCAATAAAATTCATTTTGTTGAACAAGTGTTCAGTACAGATTGGCTATTACTGTGATAACAGAAGTGATGAATTGAGGATTATTTCTTTTATTATAACTTTAAAAACTGATGAGTTGCCAAATGGTTGCCTTTTCCAACAACAAAATGACCTTGTTTTTTGCACACGGCATTAATAACAGTGTCCTATCCCCTATAGAATAAAATCCAAACTGGCCCATATAATGAGCAGAATTTTTCAGCTCTCTCTGTCTTCCTGCTGCAACTCTTGCTCACTGTGGAGAGTTCTCCTTTGCTGGAAGCTCTCATCAAAACCATTCCTGACACACAGTGGGCCCCTTCTTTGCACACTCATGTCCCCACAGAAGTTCCTGACTCTGCATCTTTGGCCTTTTGCTTCCCTCTTCCCGTTGCCTTAGCGAATGGCCCACCCCCAACTGAGTACAGCACTGCTTCCTAGTCCACTCTTAAAAGAAGGATAGATACCTGCTGCTCCTCCTCTGCTCCTTTAGCAGTTTCCTCCTGACATTTGCTTGCATTTAAATAAATGAATGCACATGGCCTCTTTGTCTAGAGGTGGGCCCAGGGATTGTAGGGCCTTTCTGATCCACTCCCTTATCAAGGACTAGCCCCTCTTGTAGCAATTGCTGAATTGAGTTGCTCATAATCCATTTAAGGAACCCACAGAGCAAGACAGAAAGGCAAACAGCCATGCCCAGTTTGGATTCAGGGCCTCTCCGTGGGGGCCTTGGAAATTGTCAGAGCAAGTAATAGCCTCTCATGCAATTTGTGATTTGCTATGGGAAAGAAGTGGTGCAGAAGACAGGGAAAACTCCAGCTAGGAAATCCTAAGAAACACTCAAAAGAGGCACTTAGAAGAGTCAACAAAATCTGGAGAAGTAGTCACTCTCGGAAGGAGAGTGCCTGCAATGCTGAGCTCAGCCCGCATCTGGGGCCTTGGAGCTGCTTGAAAGGGGACAGAGTCCCCTTATCCTGGAGCCACAATGCATTGAGTTGTGTCCTTCACTCTCTGAGAATACTGCACCCACATAGATACACATGTACATGTGCACACTTGCACCACACACACCAATACACACATGAACCCTCCTTCGAACCAACATACACATAAATACAAATCCGAGCATGCACAGATAAAGCCAGGCAGCTGGGGAATTTGAAACGTACTGTAGGACAGAACTAAAGAACCGAGGTCATTAGCCAGAGGAAAGATCATGGTCGACGACACATAATGCAAAGGCCTAATCTGAAGAAGCATTTGAGTTCTGAATTAAGCAGAGAGGTAGAATCTGGTTGGACGCTCTGGGAAGGGAATTTCAATTCAGTGCGAGAAGAGGCAGGAGTCCAAAGTGTGGATTTGAAATCATCTCTCTTGAGTTAGAGTCCTGATTATCACTTAAAAACTCAGTGATCTCAGAGAACGTATGTAACCTGAGCCTGAGTTTCTTCATCTGTAAAATGGGGCAGTAGCCATATTTGTAAGATGTAAAGGATGCAGAGCTCAGAAGTGCTTCGTGCTTAAGCTTTGGGTACATCTAAACCTGGATTCTGCTCTGGAATTGTATGTCGTGGCAACTGGGGTCATAGACCTCATTTTGGCAGAAGTGTCCCCCTCCCAGGTGTGTCCCCACGAAGGACTTCTTTTCTCAGAGTAAGGTCCATCATTGGCTCCCCATGACGAGGTCGTCTTCTGTAACCTTTCCCCAGCTTCCTGGAAAGCGGACATCTGGCTGGTCTGTGCAAGCGAAAGTGGATGTGTACCTGTGGCTGGGCTCCACCAGACACGCGGCCGCCATGCTGGACAACTTGCCAGCGGGCTATGAAGCAGAAATATCCTCCAAAGTGGCTGGTGCCATTCAGCCCCCATCCAACCTGCTGTACCGAGGTATGATGCCCGCTGGGCAGAGAGGGTCGTTAGCTGTCTCTGGTGGGCTCTGGGAAGACACAGAGATGGCTGTGTGTGTGGTTTCTTTGCACATTACTTTAGGACTGACTTATTTGCCTTCTGTTAATAGAAGTTCTAAATGTTCTTCCAATGTCCCTTCTAAAGTGAAGTCATTAAACACATCTGGAATCAAAATGATATTTTTCTGTTAATGGATAGAATGCAATTTCACTTTCTCTGTGGACAGACTACACAGCTGGAGTTTGCATTTTATTTATTTATTTATTAAAGATTTATTTATTTATTTATTTATATGAGCACTGGGTACAGTCAGAAGCGTGGGAGGGTGAGAGAATTCACCAGAGCCCGAGCGGGGAACAGAACAGGCAGATTGACAAAATACACTGCTGAGGGGAGCAGCGGGCGCGCCATGTGGGACCCTCGCCGGTGGCCAGGGATCGAACCAGCGCTGCAGAGGCTGCGGGCAGCTTCCCAACCCAGCGCTCAACCGCTGCGCCACCAGGGGAGGCCCTGGAGTTTGCATTTTAACTAAAAAACATGTCTATGAACAAAACATCAGTAAATTCTTGTGCTGATATGTCCCATGAAATTAAAGCAGATTTCATTTTCTTTTGGGACTTGGCTTTTGACCTCTAAACACTAAACACGTTTCCCAATAATGACGCAATGGAAACTGGCATTGGTGTGGCCATTCATGCTCTCTCCTTGGCTCTTTGACTTGGCTGCTTTGAGAAACTCAACATACTTTATGAAAACTCCTCTTCCATGTTAATAGTTTCTGTGACTACCATTATGGTTACATTTTCACATAATTTTGAATTTTATTATAAATTGTAATGATTTTTTTAATATTCATGTGTTTTGCTTTCTGTTTCCAAATAGTTTCAATTTGCAGGATCTGTTGTTGCTGAATTCAAGTAGAGTAGATTGCAATTTTTCCTTCACTCTAAATCAAGTTGAGATTTGAATTGAACCAGGGCTTGGAACTTTGCAGAACTGTCTACGTCCAGCTTCCCTACGTTCCCCTGATCTTGGTTCAACTGTCTGTGATATCTAAGTGGCTCACGTGTTAGAAAAGGCAAGATTCTGGATGTATTTATGCAGGTGTCCGTCTCAATCTCACCCAATACCACAGCAGAAGAACAGGAAAGCTCGAATTTGTCTTTTGGAAAATGCATAACACTTTCTGTGTGCCAGGCTTTGCATCCTATACCTTAGACATAAGCTCTGATTTATTTCTCCCATCAACCCTGGCAGTTTCTTCACTTAACAGATGGAGCAAGGCTGTGTCAGAGATGTTCATAGGTTGCCAGACAGTACCTCTCTAGCAAATGATGGAGCAAACTCTCTTCCAACCCTGCTTTATTTCTAGTGCTTTCCATCCTACCTGATAGTTTGCATCTTTGGGTGAAAAACACCCGTATCAAATTATCTTCCTTTTTCTATAGTTTCTAGCTCTAGAGACCTGGACACATTTACTACCTTGCAGTTACTAACAATTCTGAGGGGTGGGGAGACTTTTCCCCAAAACTTTCTGCTGCGCTGTGGTATGTTGTTTATGGTGTGACCTCCTAAACTTTCTCTGCATGCACTGACATTGATGGCCTTGGCTGCTTTCCATACCTACCGGGGAATTTTGTTTCTTTGCTCATTTTATGCTTCAGAAAGTTTCTACTCAGCCAGTAATTAGTTTGCACCTATACCTGGGAAAGTATGGTGGGAAAACTAGTGGGGGATGTAGAGACGAGTGAGAAGTGACCCCAGCTCCCAGCGGGGATGTTGGATATGGCCCTGACACCCACAGCGGAAAGTGAGCCCCAGCACAAGAGGTGGCTGCCAAGGTGTGAGCACGAAGAGGAGGGTGACTGTGCTCCTCTAAGGGGGCCAGGTCCTGTAGTCCCCTCTGCTGTGCTGTCCCTCCCACCCCGGCATGGGATCTGGCCCGAGAGGGCGCCCTGGTCAGTCCCAGCCTGCACCTCTCTCTCTGCCTCCCATCCCGTCCTGCCAAACGGTGTGCTCACTCGTGCCTTCAAGTGCCACGTCTCTGCTGCCACTCTTGCAGGACGTTTATCCCTGGCCCCTGTCACTGTGACCAAGGTACTTGGCTTGCCTTCTGCCCTCTCCCTGACATTGGCAGACAGAATAGAAGAATGGGTGACTCAGATTTTATTGAGTTTATTCAAGTAAGAACTTAATGCAGCAGCCCCTTTCTTGTCCTCTCTGTGTGTCTCTGTGTTTCTGTCTGTCTGTTGTCTGTCTGTCTCTCTCTCTCTCACACACACACACTCACACGTAAGCCAGTGAACTTAGAATTAATAGGAAGTAAAATATGGCATTTAAGAAAGAAAAGGTGATTTAAGGATCGATTGAAATGAAATCCAGTCTCCGAGATTTGTCAGCTCTCGAGTTTGGAGAAGTAGTTCAGCCTTTCTGTGAGCCATTTCCCTCACCAATAAAATAGAGACAATTATGTGTCTTTGACAGGGTTGCTGCAAGGATTAACCCTCCATGGGGCAGAAGCAGCAGCGAGAGGCACGCCTGCTGCCACCTGCCCCGCACACGGTGCCCCTCGTCACCAGTCGCGTCAGTCCCAGCTGCCGTGGTCGCCTTTGTGTCTGAACACAGCCCCGCGCTGCTCCCGAGAAGCCACTGAGTCTGTCCCTTTCATTCTGTATCCGCAGATCGGCATGTCTTTCAGCTGAGAGCTCACATGTACCAAGCCCGGGGCCTGATCGCAGCCGACAGCAGTGGACTTTCAGATCCCTTTGCCAAGGTCACTTTCCTTTCCCACTGCCAGACCACAAAGGTGAGCCAGGAAGCCGGCCTGCCCTCTCCCCGTGGCTGACCGCAGCACAGCCCGGGAGGGTAAAACAACCCATTGCAAATGCCTGTTTCTCTGGGTGTCCAGACGCAAAAGCATGTGTGCTCAGGACGGCCATGGGAAAGGCCTTGGCTCAGGTGGGACCTGTCTCCTGAGGCAAAGCAAGAGGTGCCCTAGGTGAAGGGCAAACGGGAGGAAAGAGGCAGGGCAGGGACTCTGGAACCTGGCAAGCCTAGAGCACTGCTGAGTACAGATACCAAGTCAAGTTCAAGTTCAGTGGACAGAGGAGAAAATAGCGTCCAGACAACCTGCATGAGGCTTATGATCCAGTTTTTGCTGAGGGATGTTGTGGGGTAGAAAAATTTCCAGCTTTGTGGTCGGGAAGCCCTAACTTTGCACTGTCGCCCCCACTTACCAGCTGGGGGACCTTGCATGCTCTCAACACCTCTGCAGTGCAGTGCCTCTTTCAGGAAAGTCCTGTTTGCAAATGAACGTTGCACAGGTTCGAGGAGCCATGTCTGCCCCTCCTTCCTCTGTGCTTTCTCCCTTTCCTGTGGGGTGCAAGGGCTCCCGACCAGCACACGTCCCACGGCTGCTGGTCTCCTTAGCTTGTGCTCTCCAGGGATTTGCTGTTCTGCGAGAGGGACGCTCAGTGAAGGATTTGCCCGTCTCTGGAGTTAAGACAAAGGGAGCACAGAGACCTGTTGGTACACCCTAGCTCATCGCTCTGGCTGCACATGTCCACTAAATCTCAGCTTGTCACTCTAAATTAGGGCTGTCGGAAAGAGGCAAAAAGTGGATGAAGTAACCGCTGAATGGCGCCCAGTACATGGCTGGTGCTAAGAGGGTGGATATGTCTCTCCAAAGTGAGACCCTTGAGCTGGGAGATGGTTTGAGGTATGACATGCAGACCAAGATCCCAGTATGAGCCAGCGTCGTGTCACTTTCACTAACATCCATCCAGTGCCCTGAGACCAGGTCCCTTGCTGGGCCCAGGGACCATCCAACCCCGCTCCTGCTTCATGTGTGACCCAGGCATGGACACAGGCCATCCTCTGGACAGACTGTGATAGATCCCATTGTGCTGGGCCTCGGGAGGTGCAGGGGAGAGGGTTAGTCCTGAAGGGGAGGGGAGAGACCTCAAAAGGAGGTCATCATTAATCACCTGGCTAATTAACATGCCTGCAAAGGACACCAGACTGCTTTCTCTCACCTGTGTTTTCAGAGGTAGCACAGTGTGCAGTGTAGACACTTTGCCTGGGTTCAACTCCTATTGATGCATCACCTTAAACAAAGCCCTTTTCGTCCTGAATTTCCTCATCTGTAAAATAATGGTGGTGGCTTTGTATATACTCCCCAGAGAGTAAAGAAGCCAAGATGCACAGCTTCTATGTGACTGTGTGTTATCTTGTCACTGAGTGGTCCCATTGAGAGTCAAGGGGCCACCACCTGCCATGGCAGCTGTGGAATTCCAGCTCGAGATGCCCACCCCAGGGGTGTCCAGTGTTTCTGCCCATTCACTGGGTGGCTGTGATGATCCTTCTATTTCCAGCTCCGTGCAGTACCTTCATTTGATTGCTACCCACATCTCAAAGCAACAGATGGTATTTATTTAACAGATAATCATTCAAAAAGGAAAACATCTTTGTTGAACCTAAGATTTCAAACAATCAAATTGATGCTAAGTCCTAGAGCTATGGTATCTCTTATTAGACATGAGTACCTCAGTGTGCCACGTCTGGCACATGGTAGGTCTTCAGAAAATGCACATTTCTTTAGAAAAGAGTGTGTGCATGGTAGAGAGGGGTGGTTGACAAGTGCTGATGGAGCCCCTACTGTGTGCCAGGTACTCAATTTTCTTCCTCTCAGACAATGGTCATAACAAGTCTACAAGGTAAGTGTTAATTCTGTTGAAATGCAGGAAATTATGATTCAGAGGATTAAATTATCCTAATTGAACGTGGTCAGGTGACTCCAGGAGTATCAGAGGCTAAAGCCATGCTCGATTCATGCTGTCTTTTTTTTTCAAAGATTTATTATTTATGCATACAAGAACTGGGGTACAGGCCAGAGGTATCAGGGGTGAGAAGATTCACCAGAGACAGAGCGGGGAACAGAACAGGCAGACTGACTGAAATACACTGCTGAGGGGAGCGGTGAGCGAGTCAGGAGAGGTCTGCTGCGCCATGTGGGTAGCTCCCTGGCTGGGGATCAAACTCATGCTGCAGAGGCTGCAGAGGCTGCAGAAAGCTTCACAGTGCTGTGCTTAACCCCTTGCGCCACCCGGGAGGCCCAATTCATGCTGTCTTACTCCATCAAAGTGGCATCAGTTAATGCTGTAGCTTCTTAAGGAAGCTCTAAAGAAATGAGGCTAGCCATGGGTACCTTGACAGAGAAGTGGGAGAATATATTTTTCATTTGGATGAGCCTCTCGAAGGTGGCCACTGGTGCTGTCAGTCATGGGAGCCACTCCAAGAATAGGCCAATGCCCACTCATTCATCCATACAAGTAGCTCTTTAGTACCTGCCAGGCACAGGAGGCAGTGTTAGTGCCTCATGCTGTACCCAGCATAGTATAGGTCCTGCATAAAATATATTGAATGAATGAATAAATGATGAATGCAGGCTGGCTTCTAGCATCTTATCAAGTGGTATTTGTAACTCAAAGTGTCAAGGAAACCATCAAAATACTTCTATGGAACAGATGCTATGTGGGTCATAAATAGTTTTGGTGTCACTTCTGGGTGCATGCTATAAAGGAGAATGCATTTCTATTTTTAAAAGAAAGAAAAAAGCACATAGGTCTTTCTGATGTCAGTCACTGACCCAGAGTAATTTTGTGTTGCAACTCCATATTTTCTATTCTTAGGTTGGTTGAAGGCATTCTTTTCCAGTCCAGAAAGTTAAGATTTTCTCTGAAATGTTCTATTTTTTAAAATCACTGTGTGATTTTTGACTATAAAGTCAAAAAGCAAGAAAGGAAAGAAATTGTGGAATGCATGATATTTTTAAGATTCACATAAAGATGAGCAATAGTAACATTCTTTCATGACCGTAGTGCAAATTAATGCTGTAGCAGGAAACAGCTTTCGATGTAAAACTGACAGTTTTATTTGGGCTTTGTTGTCTTCAATAAAGGGCAGCCTGTGTATCATCACACTGTGAGGACAGAGTCGAAATTATCCCTGTTAATCATGGTAGATGTTCAGCCCCAGGACAGGGAATCTTTGCATCCCCTGGCATCTAGTTCTTAGACCCTACTACATCCACTTATGCCATCACTTAAATGTCTCAAGGGTGAGCAAATATGACAAAGATGTGTTCTCTTTGTCCTCAGTATGTATCGAGTGATCTATTGCTTTTCTTTTGGCCTCGCTTTCCAGGTCATTTCCCAGACCCTGTCCCCCACCTGGAACCAGATGCTGCTGTTCAATGACTTGGTCCTGCATGGAGACCAGAAGGAGCTGGCCGAGTCCCCGACTTCGGTGGTAGTGGAACTATACGACAGCGACGCTGTGGTGAGCATCCCTGGATAGTGCTTAAATGCTGCATCCATTAACACACATAATGTGACCAGCTTGTGACTACTCAGGAGTCCAGATGTGCCTGGAGGCAAGCCTGACCTGGGAAAACAGCGATTTCCAGAAACCAGGAAACTGGCAACAATCCTTTGCTTTATTAAAGCATTTTTCACTTAGAGTTCCCTTTAGGTTGCAAGAAAGATAGGATCTGGGTCACACAACTTCAGCCAGCACACATTTATAAAGGAATATGATGCTTTATAAAGCACCCCCCACTTGCACCCAGCTCTTAAGCAGTTCCATATCTTATTGTTAACCAAGTGTCTTCCCCCCTTCCAAGGCTGTCTGAGAAACTGGGTAGATTTAAAAGCTTACTTAAAGATCTTGTTTTTATTAAGACAAATTGCCTTTTTGAAACTAAGAAGTCTAAAAGGCAAAGGTTTATTTCTTCTTTGATGTCTCCTTCCTCAGGAGATTGGAGAAACACAGGTACATTAAGGACAACAGTTGGTTCAAGAAGCCTTTAATGCCCTCATACCTCCTTAGAGCATCCTGGCAGTTCTGACCTTGACCCAAGGTCAGGAGGAAATTAGGATGGAAGAAATGTAGAAGGTGAGCAGGGACCTTGGAGAGTCCTCCAGAGCAGGACCCAGACCCAGAAAGGTCAGATGCCTTCTTCAAGGTTACAGCTCACTAGATACAGAGCCAGAACTTGAGCTTAGTCTCCGGTGTGCACTCTGTCCTGCAAGTGGGGGATTGACATGGCCCATATCTCTCTGGACATATGCGTTCTGCATCTAGTCACTTTCTTTGCATCCTGTTGCCTCATCTCTAAGTTGGGCTAGATGTATAGATTAATGAACGGGAGTTCTTCTTTTGCACCTGTCGTATAAATTTTCTGTAGAGATGGCCACAAAATAAGTACTAACAACATGTTTGCAATCCTGAGTATTTTTTCTTTGACAACCACTAACCACAAGCAGGCGTCTTCAAAAGCGCTTCCAAAACCACCGGTCTAGGTGGACTTCTTTTTGCTGCCCTTTGCTTTCCAGTCCCTTCAGGATCTCCATCCTGGACTTGCCTTCCCAGGCTCCAGCCCAAGCCAAGCCCTTCCTGGGAAAGCAAGCTTTCATTGTCACATACAGGAAAAAGAAAATGTAGGAGAAAAAGAAAATAGGAAAGTTTTGCACTTTATTCCTGGACAGAGTCCCGCAGATGCACAAACGAGTCTGTTTACATCTGTGGCTGCAGCTACCCCAGGCCGCACCTGGGGTGGTGATGGGATTATCAGGTTCTGGCTCCTCCAGACTTTAGCATCCTGTCCAGAACTTTCTCTCATTTCCCAGTGGCTTGTGCTTTTATTAAGGTCTGTAGGCACTGTAAGAAACAAGTTTATATTTGGCAAATTGCTAGCTTGGCTTTGTTTACTCTTTTGTTTCCAGGGCTCATTTTAATTAGCCATTCCCAGCTATGATCATGAACAAAATATTTCTATGGCAGGTCACTCATTTCCTACCCAGATGCCCTAATGACTCCCATCTCAGGCACAGTTAACCCCACCAGTGGAGACTGGCAGGAAGCTTTAAGTGTTTTTTCATAAGTGTGTCTGAACAGGTCACTATTGCCACCTCCACAATCTCCCTTCTGCAGCCAGAAATGCAAGTGCTGGTTCACAAGTTCAAAGCAGTGATGCAGTGCAGCTGTTAAGCCTAACCGCAGGCAGAAGAGGACTTGGCCACTGTCCTTGGACCTGGAGGTCATTCATCCACCAGTTTTCCCTCACTAGACGTGTAATAAATGCTGGAGCACAGCAGTGAGTAAGCCAGGCAGCCGTGCCCTCCTGGACCTTACATTCCAGCAGTTCCCGAGATAAATAGCACAGCAGAGTGATTGTTACAACCCCAAGTTGCTCATGGGGGAATGCGGACCCACGCTCCTGGGCCAAGCGTGGGAAGAGACAGGAGATGGTGCCATCAAATAGTTCTTTAAGAAATGTACTGTCCACATACACGCATAACATATGTATCTTAACATCCTCTTCTACTAACTAGAAAAGGAAGACAGACTTCTCCGTTACTCCATCACATTGACCTTAATCATCATCACCATCACCTTCATCCTCACCCTCATCAGCATAATACCATGTATTGAGCACTTACGGTATACCAGGCACTGTGCAAAGTGCACACATCATGATGTCAATCCTCATGGCCCCTTAAGCAGGGCCTCAAAAAAGGTTGAGTAACTGGCCTATGGCTAGAAAGTAGCTGATTTGGGGACTTGATTCTGGGCTTGCCTGGCACTAGAGCTCATGTCCCCAGCACCAGGGCACCTGGCCCTGGAGACCTTTTGGAATGTTTGATGCCACCTTAGTTCTCCTTTTCGCCTTCAAGTCTGCCTTCAGTGATTATTTTAACTTTGTTCACTGAGCTCAGTATACTGAGGAGAGAGGAAACTCCTAGGAGAGCCTTGGGCCAGGAAGTTCTGAGATGCTCCTCTTTAAACTTTCCCTGAGTGCCATGATGGATCTCCTGCCTCCATGCCAGTGGAAGGGACAAGAAGGGCCTGGCAGAAGCAGAGTGACATACCTAAAGAGAGACACAGAAGCTGACAGTCTTGTGGAGGATCATAACTTGGCAGGTAACAGCCATGAACAAAATTTTGTTTCTGCCTTAGGGGAAGCCAGAATACTTGGGGGCCACGGTAGCTGCTCCAGTTGTGAAGCTAGCTGATGAGGACTATGAGCCCCCCCAGCTGTCCTATCACCCCATCTTTTGTGGAAACCTCTCTGGAGGGGACCTCCTAGCTGTGTTTGAACTGCTGCAGGTAAGTGAACCAGGAGTGACGTCTGCATTGGTGGCTGTCTTCTGTACCCAGCCGAGTGGCAGACTCACCAGAGTGCATTTCAATGCGGCTGCACCTGAGTCCTCCCTGACATCCTGTGTCTGGGGTGTCTTCTTCTGGGAACCTGGGAGGGGACAGAGGAATTCAGGGCACACAAGCCGAGCCCCACTGCTGCAAGTTCAAGCCCGGGGCTTCTGGTGGGTTTGGCCAAAAATGCTTCCACAGCTCTGTGAGCAAGACCTTGATTGTTACTTGGCTTTTGCTCCACTTAAGGAAAACTTCTGAAGGATGGAGTAGCTGCCTTAGAGAAGAGCAAGGTCTCTGTCAGGGATGTGAAGCTGGGGAGCTCTTGGAGGGATGGGGTAGCAGGAATTCAGCTGTGAACTCCAACTCCATAATGGGTACCCAAGAGGGTAAGAGGAGAGGACAAGAAAAAACTTGGCCTTATGAAGCTTAGGTTTTAGGATTCCAGGATGATAAATGAAGTGAGATTCATGGAACCAGTCTTGCCAGATAGATGTGTGTTACAGGAAGCAAGGACTCTTGGAATTGAAAGTAACCCTCAAAGCCAGTTGGCTCATTCTTTTCACCAGTGGGAGGCCTGGTGAATTCAGGCTGTCAGTCAGCGGTTTTAGGTCAAAACCAAGTAGGACACACAACATAGAATGGCTATGAGGGGAGTTTTGTCTCCCCCCTCACTGGCTTTATTGATGTATAATATTGTACAAATTATAGGTATAGACTAGAATGGCTGGACATGTGTACTTATTGCAAAATGATTATAGTAAGGTGAGCTATCATCTTTTGTGTGTGTGGTGAGTACTTTTAAGATGACTCTCCTAGCAGCTGTTAGGTATTCAGTGTAGTATGTTAGCCATAGTCAGCATGCTGAGCATTAGACCCCCAAAAATTATTCATCTGATAACTGAAAGTTTGTGCCCTTTAACCAGCTTTTCCCATATATGTATATATACATACTCCACATATCAGTAAGGTCCTGTAAGATTTGTCGTTCTCTGTCTGACTTAATCTCACTTAGCCTATTATGTCCAACTCAAGTATAATATCACAAGTGGAGTTTTCCTTTTTGTATCTTTCTAGACACTTCTAGCAGAAAGCCTTATTTCATACTCTTTTCTCTATAATACCTCTCTCAACTTGCAACCTTCTTTTTATTTTTTTTATTTTATTTTTTTAAAGATTTATTTATTTGTTTGTTTATACAAGCACTGGGTCCAGTCAGAAGCGCGGGAGGGTGAGAGAATTCACCAGAGCCAGAGCGGGGAGCAGAGCAGGCAGAAGGACCGAAAGAAGTACACTGCTGAGGGGAGCAGCGGGCGGCAGGAGAGGTCTGCGCGCCATGTGGGACCCTCCCCCAGTGGCCGGGAGCAGCTGGGGATCGAACCGGCGCCGCAGAGGCTGCGGGCAGCTTTGCAACCCAGCGTTCAACCACTGCGCCACCGGGGAGGCCTGCAACCTTCTTTTTAAAGAAAGAGCACAGGCTTCAGGTTCGGTGCCTCTAGAAAAAAACCCATGTTACCTACAGGAACATTGCCAAAGCCTGCTTCTTGCAACACCAGGTATCTCCAAATATAATGAAGAGAAGGTTGAAGACATGCTTCATGGACATATTCCAATCCCATTATTCCGTTTTCATTTTAACGCTGCCTTCCATTTGTGGCAAATGGTGCTTGTTTTATTTAGAAGCATGAAATTTCTTTTCTGAAACAAAAGTGCAGCTAATGAAAAGATTTACCGGATCATGGTACAGCTGGGGAGCGTGATAGAGAGTGGCTGACTCGGGAAAACTAGATCTAGCATGACACCCCCATTTCAATGTCACAAAGCTGAGGCTCAGGGTAACAGAATTGGGTCAGCCCCCCTTTCCCTACACAAAGCTTCCTGAGGGCTCTGAGCCTGAACCCCCCAACTTGTCAATGAGGAGCTGCCCTGACTGACCCCCCTCCTGGCCCTCTGAGGGCCCCCTGGGTTCTGGACCCCTCTCTCTCATCCTCCCTCCCTCTGCTCTGAGCTGGGCATGCTCCTGGGGCCTTGCTGCTTCCTGGCAGCTGAGTTAATGGGGAGCATGGTCAGAGGTGAGCAGCCGAAGAGCTACAATTCATCAGGGTTTCATCACAGTTTCTTTCTCATTTGATTACTTGTTCAAGAAGTCATTTGATCATCAGCACGATTGTCTTAGCATGTGGATCTCGTCCAGGCTGAGAAGACAGAGCTGGAAAATGCCCGCCTTTGTCACCAGCTGCTCTCAGCTTTCATCCGGGGGTGGTTAACCCCGGCCTCACCATCTCCAAGACTAGAGAGCTCCCGTCTCAGAAGAAGGATTTAGTACCTGGGCTCTTGCCTGCATTTCCCTCCCTTATGCCACCAGCTGCCCCACCCCCACAATGCCATCCCTGTCCTGACTCACAGCCCCGCCTTTCCCACGCACTTTGCCTTGAATCTTCAGGCTCAGAGGCCGGCCATGCATTCTGTCTGTGCCCGTAGCCAGGTCACATCCTCTAATTGCTCCTCAACATTTTCCATCTTCCCCATAGACTATTTCTCCTCAGGATTGGCCTCTTTCATGGTCAGCTAGCATCCTGCCCTTTTCTCATGTATCCTGCTCCTTCCTTCCAGAACACAGTCAGCTGTAGCTCCCTCCTCTTCAAAGCCTCATCTTCGGCTTCTGCATCTTTCCTTCAGGAACATTTCTCGAAGCCTATTTTTTCTAACATCACTCCTTTCAAACACAGTGAACAAACTCATCTTATGCTCCTCTTGGGATCTGAAGCACCATTACCCTGGCAGATCTCTGAAAAGTCTGGGAATCAATTTTTGAAACTTATTTTCTGAATTCCAGTATTTTCCAAACATTATTGCCTGGGAAATTTATATTTTTGTTTGTGTAACTCTTTATTTCTCATGAAAAGAAAATCCAATCCATAGGAGAATGTCAAATTTCCATTGCTTGGCATTTAAGCACTTCCAAAATTTGTACTCAAACCGCTTTTCACCTCAATGTTGGCATGTTTCCTGACACTCACAGTGGCCTCTTTATGCCAGATTTTTCTGAGTCCCTTGCTCTCACCACTTAAATGTGCTGCAGTCATGCTGCCTGACTGCCTTCAGTCATGCTCTTATCCCATTTGGAAATGTCTCCCTAATCCACTCGCATTTGATGAAATGGTCAATTATCAAAGTTTAGAAAAGGAGAGGCCTCTTCCAGGAAGATTTCCCCACTCCCACCTCAGTCAAATTTTTTTCCTCCTCCGTTCGACAACACCTTGGCTCTTTTTCTATCAAATTCAGGCTTTGGGGAGGTCAGTCATTCACGCAAGCTTGTTCTCCCATTGTGCTCTCCCTTTCTGAAGTCAAGGACTGTGACACTTACACATTCAGACATTCAAGCAAGCCTTATGGAGAATTCATCAGTGACTACAGCAGATGAAACTCCATCCTCGTGGGATTTATATTCTAGTGAGAGGGAGATAATAGATACCACTGTGAAAGTAGAACCAGAGTGTGATAAACACTGAAGAGAAAAGGTAATCAAAGGTGAGGTAAGAAGCAAGGGTGTGTGCGTTGTGAGCAGGGGCACTCAGGGAAACCTCGTGGAGAAAGTGGTATTCGAATCACGACCTGCAGGGGGGAGGGAGGCGGACTACACAGACAGCTGGGCAGGAGCATTCAAGGCAGCGGGAACAGCAGTGCCTGGCCCTGAAGCCTCATTGTGCCTGGCATGGCCAAGGCCCAGCAAGGAGACCAGTGTGGCTGGAGTGAGAGGGTAGGAGGTGAGAGCAGAGTGAAAGGTCCCATGGAGCCTTGCCAGGACTTTGACTTTTACTCCCTGAAAGTTGAGAAGCCCAGGGCGGGCTCTGAGCACACCAGCTGATGGATGTGGAAACGTGGATGCTGGGTTGAGTACATGCTGCGAGGGTCAGAGGGAAGCCACTTGGGAGACTCCTCAGATCAGCCAGAATGGAAAACTGGAAACTGGGATCAAAGTGGGCATGGAAAAGAAGAGAAATGGATTCTGGGTATATATCAAAGGCAGAGTCCACAGGATTGGCTGAGACTGGAAGAGAATGTAAGGTTCATCTCCAGGTCACAGATGGAACCCAGCAATATATTTTACACGTAGAGATGCTATACAATACTTTCAAATACATTAACACATAGTATACAGAGAGCATGTGAGCCTTGGCTGATTTTCTATCTCTCGAGAGATTTAAATTTGCTTCTGAAGTAGTCGGGCGGGTGCTTCTTACAATCCTAGATCATCTGATATCCATCAGAGAGCAAGATTTTGATGCTGAACTTTAAGCTTCACAGTGTCAGTGAGTTTCCAATTCACCTTTACATCTAAGGGGACTCACTGCGTGTCAGAAAGTGTGCCAGGTGCCTGGGGAGCTGTCTCAGCCATTCTACCGCACCTCATGAATCAGATGCCGTTACCTTCACTTGACAAATGCAGAACTGAGACTCAGAGACACAACTTCTCAGGTTCACACAAGTAAGAAGTGATGGAACCCGGGACTGGCACCCACCCACTGTACGGAACAAAAGCTACAGTACAAAGGTAGATGATGGGCCAGGGAGACAAGGAAAGGAAGGCCCCTGAGCATCTGTGATTTTTCAGCAGGGCAGGGTTGAGGCTAGAGGTCTGCATGACCCCTTATATTTTGCACCCTAGTTCCTTTGTCCTGGCCCTGCAGCTGGATGTCCTTTGTCTCCACTGGAGAATGTCTGCTTCTCACTGTGAAAAAGCAGAATCTTAGCTGGGAACAAATTTATTCAATCTCTTCCATGTTGGGTGAAACTTCAGGTCCAGGTTGAGCTCTCGTTGGCATCTTTTAGACACTTAAGAAGAGAGGTCCTTCAGGGCATTCCCCAGGCTGACATTTCCGCAGCCCCTAGATGAGCAAACATCTGGTACTTTTTAACAACCACGTCCAGAGGCAGCCTCCTTGCCACCCCAGCTGTTCTGTGGCTTTACTCTTGGAGCTCAGCGAGCAGCTACATTTGTCAGGTGATGTCTGCAGGGTAAATCACCCCTCCCCCCGCTTCAGCACCAGGAGGCACAGGGTGAGCAACGCAGCCTCTTCATCTAGTTGGGTTCCTTCTGCAGCTTCTCCATCTTAACCTCTGTGCCATTTGCTGTGTCTGCTTTTCTTTTCTTTTTTTTTTTAAGATTTATTTATGCATACAAGAGCCAGGGTACAGGCCAGAGATACAGGAGGGTGACAGGACTCACCAGGGACAGAGTGGGGAGCAGAACAGGCAGACTGACTGAAACACACTGCTGAGGGGAGCAGCGGACGAGTCAGGAGAGGTCTGCTGCACCATGTGGGTAGCTCCCTGGCCTGCCGGGGATCGAAATCGTGCTGCAGAGGCTGCGGATTGCTTCATAGTGCGGTGCTTACCCCCTTGCGCCACTGGGGAGTCCCTGTCTGCTCTTCTTTTCCGAGCTTTCTGAACATCAGTTTAACCACACCTGCCATTGCCAACGAGAACATGTCTGTGAGAAAGAAATGGCGATATACTTGTGCTTTGAGATTCTGATGAGCAGTTAGGTTATTTTGAGCACATGGAGCTAATATGTCAGTCAGTCAACAAGTATTTATTGAGAACCCAGTGACTCTAGAGCCCCGCTGGAGGGGCTGGGAGAATGAAGTGGACAAACAAAAATTTCCTCTTAAGTCAAACATCCCCAGAGAGGGAACCTCCTGCTCCAGTGCAATGCTTAATAGGATGTATGAGTCCTGAGGCCTTGAGGGTCATCTGGCCCAATAGCTGAGGCTAAAGAGAAAAGTAACTCATGCAAAGTCACACTATCACCTGGTTTCTGGGCTTGATCCACTAATTTCTACACTAAGTCTCCAGAGGGACACTGTCTTCCAGGGACTGAAGGCCAGGAGAATGACCACAGTAGCCAGGATCAAATCAGGGAGGGCTTCTGGAGAGAGGTATGTGTCGACCAGGTCTTGACAGCAGTGTGAGATGGCCTACCGGCAAGACGGGCCCTCCCCTAAGTCGGCTTTCTAAGTCCTTTGTGTGAGGTTTCAACGAAGTGCACTGACTGTTCTCCTGCAGTTTCTTTAAATCAAACACACAGAAAATGTCAGTTTTTTATCCTGGAGGTCTGCCTTACAGAACTTCATTTTCTCTTTCACTGGTTAAGATGAACTCTCTATTTGGTTAAGTATGAGTCTCTTTTTTTTTTTTTTTTTTGTGGGACCCTCGCCAGTGGCCGGTGATCGAACCGGCGCTGCTGAGACTGCGGGCAGCCCAGCAGCCCAGCGCTCAACCGCTGCGCCACCAGGGGAGGCCCATGCGTCTCTTTATAGTTACTCATAGTGGGGAACTGAAAAGTCTCAGAGGTTCAGAATCTAATTGGAGACATTCTTGATTCTACTGCTGTGGTCTGGTGTCAGCGCATCATGTTTGAGTTGTATCTACTTGGCCTTTTGTCTTTTTTCTATATTATAAGCTGACTGAGAGTGAATTCACCTTTTAACTTCGTGGCTCTGTTACTGAGCAATGGGTTTGATGCCTGATATACAGGAAGCCAATTACTGTGATACAAATTTTGAAAAAAGAAAGGGTTTTGTTGTAAATCAGTTGGTAAGGAGATGGGAGATAAACTCAAATTTGCCTCCCCAATTAAGAAAGTGAATAAGATTATATAAGATTTGGGGACCAGGATAGAGAACAAAGAAGTTAAATTGGTTAAGGACTGAACTAGGGGCAAAGAAATCAGGACAGGACTACAAAGTTTATTGGCTAATTACAGGGCAGTTTAAATATGGAGAAGTTTGAGGAAACTTTATTTCAGAAAACCGGAGCTTTGAATTCTGTTGGAGGACCCCTCAGCTCTCAGTAGCTTCCTTTCTCAGTTGTGTCTCCTACCTCCAGCCAGCCTGAGGCTCAGTTCATGGTTAGTGACTTCAGGTTGAATCATTTGTAGATAAGGTCCAGGCCCAGGTGTGTCTGTGAAAGCAAACTTCAGAGGGCAAGTTAAATAAGTTTCTTTTTCTTTTATGTTTTTGGGTTAGAGAGCAATTTAGCCAGAACCTGTTTCAGCTTGTTACAATGCTCACTCTATGCTGGTTATTTTTATAAATGAATGCATTTGTCAACTAGTAGTTAAGTGTGGTAAAAATGCACTGTCTTGGTTGCATTTTAGGATAGAAATATTACTTCTGTTACAACAGCGACTATCTGTGGATGAGGCGATCCTGTGGACGGGCTGTCTCCCTCGCCTCTCCTTGACCTTCTAACTGACGCCTCTTCTGTGCCATAGGTGCCTTCATCAGGGCTGCAGGGCCTCCCTCCCACTGACCCACCAGATGTCACCCATCTCTACCCAGTTCCCGCCAACATTCGGCCAGTGCTGAGTAAATACCGAGTGGAGGTACAGTCAGGGGAGGGTCTCGTGTCCCTTGGACTGCAGGGCAGTGGTGCACTGTGTGAGGGAGTTGGAATGGGCGGTGCTTGGAGCCCTCAGGCTTTGCACGGTCCTGTCCCGGTAAATGCACTGTGCTTCTCAGGCTGCGTGTCTGACTCTGCCACTCCTGGGCCAGGGCACATGTGTAGCACCTCCCGAGGTCTTTAGTGAGGGTCCTGCTGGTCTTCCCCTCAGGTCCTCTTCTGGGGAGTACGAGAAATGAAGAAGGTGCAGCTCCTGTCAGTGGATCGTCCTCAGGTTCTCATCGAATGTGGGGGTCGTGGAGTCAAGTCCTGTGTGATCCAGAGCTACAAGAACAACCCCAACTTCAGCGTCCAGGCAGACGCTTTCGAAGTGGTGAGGGCCTTGCACTTCTCCACCTGCTCCTTCCTTTTACTTCCCAAGAGGGGGTCCCACTTCTTCATGAACCCATTTTTGGGGAGATATTCTGGGGGTTCAGGTGTCCACCACCTCTAAGAAGAACAGTCTAAATTAGTGAAAAGTCAGAAGTTCAAATGGGATAAGCTGCATTTGTTCATTTTGAAGGTATCTGGTACAGATGAGACAGTAAGTCATAGCAGGTGGGCAGTGATTCCAGAGTGCGGCCAGCAGGTTCATTAGCATCAGTGGGAACATATTAAAAATGCAGATTCTCAGGCCCACCCAGTGCCACTGAATCAGAAACTGCAGAGGAGTGAGTCACCTCTGGTTAAACAGCCCTGATTCTCATTTATGCTAAAATGTGAAAATCACTGGCCTTGAGGATAAGTATTTTAATGGTTATATTTTTAAAATTTATTTGTGCACATTTGTACATGTCAGTAGTTTGCATGAAATATGATGTTTTACACCAGTCATCTTTTTTTGACACTTGTGCTTTTGTTTATTTCAATATTTCAGCATACAGGTGAGCCCTAAACTCAGGTTTGAACTCCATGAGTTCACTTATAAGCAGATTTTCTATCTGCTGGTTCCACATTCATGGATTCACCCAGACTTGGCTTCGGGTATATACACCAGTATATACCAGTACACACTGAATCCATGTACAGTTTACCAAAACACACTGCTAAGGGGAGAAGCAGTTAAGACAGGAGAGGTCTTAACTTAACCCACCACCCTATGTGGGTTAGCTCCCTGGCTGGGGATCAGACTCTGGCAGTAGAGGTGACAACACTGAGACTTAACCCCTAGGCCACCAGAGAGGCCCCAGCTACATTTTAAAAAGCTCAGCTTTCGTCTGTCTTACATCTTGTGCCTGGGTGGACATTCATTTGAGATGCAAGATCTGCTGGTAAAAAATGACAAAATAAGAGTGAAGACTACCGCCATTGAGAACTTGCAAGTGTGTGCTTTTTTGTGACGGATCCCTGGATTGACTTGTTAGTGCCATCCTGGATATTGGCATAATTACTCCCTGACTCTGGAAGTTGATGCTCTAGATTTCTGGCAAGTTGCATGGGTGGCCTGGAAGGATAGACTGGCAGGATAGGAATGAAAGGAAGATGGGTGTCCCACTTGCTTTGGGGGTGAGCAAGCTGCCAGCGGTCAGGCCCAGCCCAGGTGATGCCCCACTTTACTCTTGCTCTTCTCCCCCAGGAGCTGCCTGAGAATGAACTTCTGCATCCGCCCCTGAGCATCTGCGTGGTGGACTGGAGAGCTTTTGGGAGGAGCACCCTGGTGGGCACCTACACTATCAACTGCTTGAAGCAGTTTTTGTGTAAATCCAGGAAGCCCCTTGCTATCACCTCACAGGTGGACGGAACCCAAGTTGAACAAGGTAGGAAGCGCCTCGTAGACTACGAGTCACGGTGCCTGCTATGTAATTTCACTAAGTTCTGCCAGAGGGCGCTCCAGAGAGCTGTGCTTATTGACACCAGTATATGCCAGTCTACAGCAACCTACCCTACCCCTGCTATCTGGCGTCCCATCTTCCGCCTCTTCAATAGCATTTGCTTTACCCAACTCTTTGGGGTTTGGGGGCATATGTTTTTTTTTCCTTTGGTATATGGTTTTTACCACTCTGCTAGATATTGAGTAGTATTTTTGCTTGGATTTCTCTGGTTACCACTGCCCATCTCCTCATATGCTTGCTGCCATCTTGATTTCCCCTTCAGTGATTTGCCTACTTACATCTTTCACCCATGTTTTATGTGTTTCATTTTCTTTTTTGTGTATTCTAGATATTAGCATCTGTAAATTATAGACATTGCTCATGTCTTTTCCTAGGCTGATAACGCCTAGCTTTCTCTATCATCCCCACCTTCGAGTAGAAATTCTTAATTTTGATATTCACATCATCTAAATTTTGAACTTTATGTTTTTTTTCTTTTAGAAGCTTGTTTGAGGAAACCTTTCCCATCCCTTGGTCAAAGCATTTTCTATTTTCTTCTATTAATTTTATATTTTTTATTTTTCCAATCAAACAGAACTCAACTAGATTTGTTTAATTATATTATTTTTTGCTGAGGTAATACTGGTTTACAACACTGTGTTACTCTGAGAGATCAGTAATAAATACAATCATTTATTGATTACCTGCTGTGCACCAGGCACTTTATATCAGGATCTCATTTACCCCTCGTTGAGGTAGGTATGTTTACTGTTAGTTTACAAATAAGGAAAGTGATGTTCGAAGATATTGTACTTTGTCATAGTTGAATCCTGATCTTCTGATCCCCAGCACTGGGGTCCACTCGGGTGTCATCCTATTTGCCTAACCCAAGGTGCTCTCATTTCAGCCACTTCATACTCAGTCACAGCCTCTGAGCCCTCTGGGGCCCCTAGCTCCTCCCAGGAACTCTGCACAGATCACATCTATGTGGATGTTGAACCACCTCCTGCCACGATACCCGACTCCACTCAGGTTCAGCCAGAGAGCCTGGGTGACGTCCCAGACTCATCTGCTATCCTGGACCCCAAACGGAAGCCTGAAGCCCAGGAGCCACCAAAAGATGGAAAAGCTAAGGTTAGAATGTAATCCCTGTCTGTACTTACAAAGCTCATTGCAGTTTGTTTTGGAAGCTGTAGATCAATCCTCCTACAAAGTAACCATGTGACCATGGACCATGGACAAGTGACTTCACATTGCTAAGTCCTCTCCTGTAAAATGGGGATATTGATGCCCACATCACTGCCTTGTCTGTGTATATAAAATTGAAGCTAATGCCCTTTCTGCACTGCAACTTTGTATCATACGTCTGTCTCCTCTATTGAATTCTAAGTTTACCAAGTATGGGTATTATGCCAAATTCCCTTTACACCCCAGTGTCAAACATGATATCTCATATCTGCTCATTACATGCCTGTTGAATAAATGAATGAATGGATGAAAAGATTATTAAACTTCCATTTATTGAAGTGTTACAGAGAGCCACAATCATGAAATCTACCAATACCTCCATCTGCTCCCCCAAAGTACCTGTGTGTTCTCTTCCTCAGGAAACTGGTTGTCCATGGACAATGTAGATGCATTAGACCAAACTAACAATTCTTCCCTCATCTCTTGCCAGGATTCCAGGAAATTGTCCCGGAGGTCTACCAAAAGGAAGAAGAGGACCATCGCAGATGAATCTGCAGAAAATGTCATTGACTGGTGGTCTAAATATTATGCCTCCCTGAAGAAAGCACAGAAGGTAGAGTCCCCCATGATGATGATAATCATGGGGATAGATGAAAACACAGCATCCTCTGCCCCGTCCCCTAGTCCTCTCTCTTAAATTCCTTTATAGAGAAGCTTGTCTCAAGTGTGTTTCTGTTAACTTCAGAAGACAAAAGCCTAGAAGGACCAGGATCTGGAAATGCAAAACCCCAAGCTGGAGCTGGCCCTAGGACCTAGGCTTTGTGGTAGCAGCTGGAAGGATGCTTAGTCTATCATGGCCTCTGGAGAATCTTCCCCATAGTCACACCAGGTGGCTCTAGCCAGGAGAGACGATCTCTGAAAGGACAGGCACAAGCTGTTGGGGCTCTAGGGGCACCTGCAGATGCCCAGGCCCAATGACCCAGGTCTGCAGCAAGATTCATGTGGGAAACTATCAAAGTAAAGGCAGAGTATGTGGCCTCAGCAATGAGAACAATCAGCAGGTTGCCAGAACCAAGCCTCATGTGCGTGGAACAAGAACAGGATGGAAAGAGGGTCTCTTTTTCCCCAGACCCTCACCGGAACTGGTTACTTCTGGTACTTTTGAATTGAGTTGGGCTGTTCTCACTGCTGGCAGGTGGCATCTCATTGATTTGCCTGTCCCTCATGATGCGTGATTATTTTTCTCATGTGCCTGTTGGCACATGTATATCTTCATTGGAGAAGTGCCTATTTAGCTCTTGGAGTCATTTTTCTAATTACATCTTTTAATTTTCTTACATTGTTGTTCATTTTTGTACAGTATTTGAGTTCTCCCCTCATGTATAGTCCCTGTAAATCTCCTGCCACCACATCCCCCGTGATCCATCACCAGGGCCCTGTGCTCTTCCCACCCCTGTTTGGATCCTTCTCTCTCCCCTTCCCCTGCTGTGTATCTCAGATCCAGAGTTTGCCTGAAAGTTTTTTTTTTATTTTAACATTTATCATTTAAAAAAAAAATTTTAGACAATATTTGCTTCCTCCCACCCCCTCAGATAGAGTCCCCATAGAATTTCCTTCCCCAAGGCACCCGTGCACCATCACCTCAGTCCCCTGTGCGCCTCCCTCCCTCCCTCTGATTCCTCTCCCTCCTCCCCTGCAGGATGTCTCTGGTTTATAATTGTCTGTTTTTGCTTTGTTGTGTTTTGTACTGTTATTATTTTTTACACAGATGTTTTATTTGGTTCCCCTATATTCCTGCTGTAAGTGAAACCATCCAATGTTTTTCTTTTTCCTTCTGGATTATTTCACTGAGCATAATTCCTTCTAGCTCCATCCACATTGCTGCGAATTTGCCTGCAAGTTGTATCTTTTTTTTTTTTACCCTTTGGTGGTTCCCCTATATTCCTCCTATAAGGGAAACCATCCTATGTTTTTCCTTTTCCTTCTGACTTATTTTACTGAGCCTGATCCCTTCCAGCTCCATCTGTGTTGCTGAGAATAGCATGAGTTTATCCCTTTTGATTGCTGAGTAGTATTCCATTGTGTGTATTGGCCACATCTTCTAGCTCTGAGGTGGTCCACAAGGGAGGAGGAGGGAAGGGGTGACTCGGGCGGGAGGAGCACAAGGGGCAGTGGGGTAGATCACAGGTGGAGGAGGGAGAGCTACGGGGACGACACCCGAGGGGCGAAAACAAATACTGCTCAAAAATTGAACAATAATGTAGGAAAAGAAATAAATTTTTTAAAAGACAAGATTAAAAAAGCTGGAAAACGAGTGGGGCATGGGTCTGGGGAGTTCGACAAAAGCGCAGTGGTCAGATGTGCTACGACTTCTCATTCCCAAGTGCAGAAAGAAAGCAACATTAATCAGATGTTGTCATCATATTTATTGGAGAAAACATTTTCTGATTCTTTAGTTTGGAAAGACTATGGCTTCTTCCTCTAGGATTCTCCGTGAATATTGATATATGATTAAATAAACCAGCCAATCAAATGGTGGTCCCTCCTTTTGCTGCAGTGCTCAGCCTCCCTCCTCTCTCTCCTAGCCTCCCCAATCCTTGGGCCAATGACCAGCGTGGCAGCAGGTAGAACATAGTGCAGGCTGGGGTGATTCCCCAGGGGATGGTGAGACAGCCACTGTCTCAGGGCCGAGAGGAGCCTGCGCCTCGTGGACAAGGACGTCCACAGCTCGGGGCGCTTGGATGTGTGGGTACCTCTTCTCTAAGGCAGGGTGTTTTCCTGAATTTACCCACATCGTTACATCAAGGCTTCATTCAGGAACTACCTGGGGACTGTGTTTGTTGTTTCTTTAGGTGGCATCTCTGGGAATGCAGAGGGCTGAGATAATCAAATTAGAACTGGTAGCCGTCAGGGTTGATTCATAAATGAGGTGTGTCAGTGTCAATAATCTTGCCTCCCTCTTTTTGAAAAGGAAAAGGAGAGCAATCCCAAGGAGAAAAAGGACAAAACAGGTAAGGAGCCATTCTGGGGACATGTGAACATAGAACTGGGCCATTTGAGGGAGGAGATTATAAAATGGAAGCCATGGGTCGTGTGTTAGAGCTCAACTGCCTCTTTTTCCAAGTAAGAGAACAGGCTCGGGAAGATGACAGCACATTGAAAAGGTCAGGGAGCTGACTTGAGCTGCACTGGGACCAATCCCATGTCTTCTGAATCCAGTTCAGTGCTGTAATCGACCCCTGGCTCATGCCCCTACATTGACAGTCTTAATGTGGAAATAGCAGAGTAAAAATAGGAGCGAGCTGGGGTGACAAGCCCCAGAGAGTTTAATAAACCTTAATAAAGGTGACCTGGGTTTAGGATCTAAAACTCTTTACAAGGGTTGGATAGATCTGGTTTAGCAGAAATGCAAATAAAGGAGACCTGGGACTTGAAATGACCACAGACTCAATTCAAGACAAGGGTAGATCTTAGCCTAAAACAGCAGCCGCAACAAGCAGTCGGTGCTGTATCAGTGATATTGATAGAAACCAAGAAACCAGAGTCAGGGCCAGTTCCTCAGACCACTCCCAATTAGCATATTTAATTCTCAGGCCAACTATGGGACATAAGCAGTAACAGCTTCATTTTGCAGATGGTGAAACAGAGGTCCAAAGAGGTTGAGTAACTTGCCCAAGTTTATACAGACAGAAAATAGCTAAGAGGTGGTCTCAGATGTTTTTTTCCAGAGCCTGTTCCTAAGAAATTATCGCATCATCTTGCTAACTATGTAGGTGACTTTGTGTAAGACCCTTAACATGTTTGAGCCTTGGGTTGTTGAACTAGTTGAAGTAGATGAATCGCAAACAGATCTGAAAAAGAATGTAACAAAAAGCTTTGGAGTCGATCCTACCTGGTCTGACTATTGCTAGGCGGGTGATAGGGGAACTTACTTGCCTGATCTGTGCCTATTTTAATGAATTCTCATCCATGTCAGGACAGGCAAGAGCATTGCTTGGTTCCCAGGGGATTGGCTCATGTTGCATTTCGATGTGAGTGGCCTCTCCTGTGGTCATGAAGAGCTCCTGTTGCTTGTGTCCTGGCATTGGCCTTAGAATTAAATATGCTAATTGGGAGTGGTCTGAGGAACTGGCCCTGACTCTGGTTTTTCTATTCCTGTCAGACTGTAGGGCTGTGAATTATTTTTTATTTTTTGTAAAGATTTATTTATTTATGCATACAAGAGCTGGGGTACAGGCCAGAGATGTGGGGGGTGAGAAGATTCACCCGAGACAGAGTGAGGAACAGAACAGGCAGACTGACTGAAATATACTGCTGAGGGGAGCAGCAGGCGAGACAGGAGAGGTCTGCCTTGCCATGTGGGTTGCTCTCTGGCTGGCTGGGGCGAACTTGTGCTGCAGAGGCTGCAGATTGCTCCTTAGTGCAGAACTTAACCCCTTGCACCACCAGGGAGGCCCTGTAAATTATTTTTTAAAGAAGGGGCATTACATGCCAGTGCAAAGGGAAAGAGAGGCTTGCCTTTGTTTCTTCTGATCTCAACAACCATAAGTCGTCTAACAATTTCCGCTAAATACCCACAGAGAAGAAATCAGATGATGTCGCGATAAACATAGATGATGGCCCAAAGAAGAGGAAAGACAAACTGCTCAAGAAGAAAGAGAAAGAAGATGAAATCCCAGACCTGGCTATCCTGCAGGTGCGTGGACACTGCCACCTCAGCCATGGGTGGGTGGGAAATCCAGAGGGGGCTCTGTTGGTTGCTCCAGCAACCCTAGCAAAGCCATTGTTTGAACTCACTTCATTTACATCGTAATGAGTGATGCCGAGAAATAAACTTTAACTAGCACGCAAGACAATACAACAGAGCTTGCTGGTTTCCCATTTTCTATGTGCTCACACTGAGAAGGGGCATAACCATTGCTTAGCCCGGATCCAGCCAGGTAATTTACAGTGTCCAAGTTCCTCTTGGTTTAACTTGATGTCATCATGCAGATGCACACACTCAGAATGGCAGACTTTCAAGTGGGTTCTGTCACACCAGTCTTAACATTAGCCAGAAGCTATTAGCTGAAGGCATATTTATGGATATGAAAACTGACAGTGTGGAAATTATGTATCAAGATAAGCAATTTGGGTAAGTAATTTCGATAGGAAACTTGAGGAAGTAATTTAATTATATTTCCAAACCTGAAACTCAATTTGATTTTATATTTCCTAAGTGTATTTATAATTTCCACTTGGAAAACTCATGTGCCTGTGCATTATAAGAAAAAATATTCCACCAGTTTATATATATTGAGAATTAAATGTTTTTTGAGCATTCATTGATTGAAACTTCCTTAAAATGACATCAATTTGCTACAAAAAGATTGGTTGTATTTAAATTTATATGATATGTACTTTAAAATGTTGGTTTAGTTGGGCTTCTTGAAATGTAAAGGTTTATCAAAAAGATTTTAAAAGTTTCAGAGTGGTACTTATTTTTAGGAATGTACTCATAATCCTTTTTTGATAAAGATAAATTAATAGTGGCCTCAGATCAAAGTTGGTTTTGGAGAAACTTGGCCTTTGTCATTTAATCCATTCCTTCCTTCCTCTAAGCATACCTAACATGCCTCCACACATACCCTTCTCCCTAAAGATGTACGATGGTGAACTCGAGAGTGAATTCAACAATTTTGAAGACTGGGTGAAAACCTTTGATCTCTTCAGAGGAAAGTCTACAGAAGATGACCATGGCTTTGATGGGGATCGTGTCATAGGAAAGTTTAAGGTAAGTTCCAAAGTTAACCCCTTGATTTGAATCCCCTCTTCATAAATAGCAAATACAACTCAAGTCGGCTAATGGAGCTGTGGTGTGGGATTTGTGTAAGGAAAATCCTGTCTTTCAATGGGATCCTCTTTAGGATTCTCCAAGACCAAAGCCCTGTCTTACAAGATACTTGCTTTGTGGCCAGTGAAGTGAGTTGGAACTCAGTCTAGTGGGCTCTAAGGAGGCCAAGTCAATTCCTGAAAAGGTCACTGAATTTTACTTTGCTCTTTTCACACCTGACCTACCATATGTTTACAAACCTACCAGTTGGATAACGAGAGCAGTCAAACAATGCAAACCCTTCACCTGGCAGACTCTGCCTCAGGATCACAAAGCAGTAGCTGGCCCTGACCATGAACCCACTACATTCTGGATCCTTTCTGTGCAGTGTTGTGTGTTGGAAATGACGTGGGCATTGCAGTTTGCCAAGATGCATTTAAATCCTCATTAACACACTAACTCATGATTTTGAACTGTCCCCTCCCACCCCCCTCTTGGTTACAGAATCTGGAAGCAAGAGTGTTACAGTCAGGATCGAATTGATAGTGGGAGAAATTACTAGCTCAGCATTCCCTGAAAAAGGCACTTAGCATCCATCTGACACTGCCCAGGGTCCTCACATAACAGCACTGGGAGGAGGGGGTTACTGAGTGATGTGCCATGAAGAAACTGAGATTCAAGAGCTTCCATGAACTGCCAAAACAGCCAGAGGGCAAGAGGAGCGTCCTCTGTCCCCTCTCCCCCATCCTGCAGGCTCAGCTGCTCTTCCCAGCACCCACCCCCAGGCCGTTGGTGGGGCTATGGCCATCTTATTTCAATGGGTCACACATTGTGGTTCCAGGGCTCCTTCTGCATCTATAAAAGCCCAGAGGATTCCAGCATTGAAGACAGCGGGCCGCTGAGGATCCAGCAAGGGATTCCCCCGAACCACCCCATCAAAGTCCTGATCAGGGTGTACATTGTCGCGGTGAGCCATCCTCTTTACTATTCTTTACTATGAGTTCTTGGATATTTCTAGTAATGATGATTATGTGTGATTTACTTTTCTCACTCTAAGATTTAATTAATTAGCTAAAGAAGTTAATGAGAAATCTTTCATTTAATAAAGCAAAAAATGTGAAAAATATTACTTACAAGTTTGCATAATATCTCCCTACCTCTGCAATTCCATCCCCAGAAATAACTCACTTTTCTTACATATATGCAAACACATCTACATCTGTTTACACTTGTCTACAACGACACCTAGATATTTATTTTGTGGAATCCTGCATGACATATTGAGCTACAATTTTTTCTAACTTTGTAATAAACCATGGATATTTCTCCCAGGCAGTATGATAGACTTTCGTCTTCTTTTTGCCTTCATTCTTTTTGGGAGCCACCTAGTGTTCTCGTGAATCAACATATAGTATCGCTCCATCCCCTTCACTCATTCAACAGATACTGAGAAGACCCAGTTCTAGGTCCTGGAGTTAAAATAGTAAACAAGACAATATTCACTTGCTCTTGTGGAGATTACATAGTATTTGAGGTGATGTGGGGATTCAGAAGATATAATAAGAAACAAAGATAAATATGATAAATGCGATGAATGTGGCTGAAAAATAGCAGGTGAATTTCAGAAAAGGCTGCCATGTAGAGAATTAAAATTGGTTGGTGTGATGAAAGTAAATGGGGAAGGAACTGTTTGGATTGAGTTTTTCCCTATGTAATTGCCATATAGATTGTTCATAAATTTTAGTTATTAAGCAGTATCCTTCAATATCCTTGAATACAGCTATGTGTGCATGCCATTCTATCAGTGAGATAGTCCTAAAAATGGGGGGGTTCTTACTCAGCTCTCATTCCTGCAGAGTTTTACCATCTTTCCAGTGTTTTCCCTTAAGTGCTCCATCCTGGCTTCTCCTTAGAAGTCTTTGTGATGACATAAGGCCCAGACTTCCTTCTGAGAAACAGACCATCACTCAATAGGCCAGTAAAAAATACAAGACTGGAGGGTCGTAGATTCAAAGCCCTTTAGTTCTGGGAGGGGCCTTCAGGTCCACCCCCGGATTTTAGAGCTAGAATTCAGAGGGCTGACATGATTTGCTCAAGTTCACACAACTTGTTTGAAACAGACTTAGTCGTCACATTCTGCCTTCTGCCTCCTGCGTCAGCATGTTCCTCCTGCCTTCCATGGACGAGACAGCTCCAGAAGGTTGAGCTTGGGCAAAACTGATAACTTTCTTTTAACAGCCAAATGGAAAGGCTAATGCAGTGGTTCTTAACCTTATCTGCACACTAGACTCATCAAGGGAACTTCTCAAAATCCCAAGCCCAGGGCCAGTTCAAGCAGAATATCTGGGGATGGGACTCAGGCATCACTTTCTTTTAAATATCCCAGGTATACCAGTGTTCAGCCAGTGTCAAGAACCACTGGACCAAAGGGATCCTCTTTCTCCTTCCCAGGCATTTAATCTTAGCCCAGCTGATCCGGATGGCAAAGCAGATCCCTACATTGTGGTCAGACTTGGCAACACAGAGATCAAAGACCGGGACAAATACATCCCCAAACAACTGAACCCAGTGTTTGGAAGGTCAGTGGCCATCTGGACTACCTGCCTTTGCACCTGTGTATTTTTGTGTGTTTATGTGTGCCTGAATGAATGGTGGCAGGGATTTGAATGCTGACTTCTGCTCAGGATAGCAACCAAACACATCTATACTCAGGAAAGAGGTCTGAACTCTTTCCTTGGCCCTTCAGGGATTTGGTGGTCCATGGGGGTCTTCACACCCATGGTTTTCTAGTAATGATTTTCCTAGATCTTAAATCTAAGAAGCAAGTGCCCTGAATGATCATCAGATTCCGCCTCCTGCCTTTGAAGAGAGGGATTGCCTTTTCACAAGGAAAATCAGGGCCCAGAGAGGTTTAGAAACTTATTCAAGTTCACTCGGTTTGTACGTAAAGGAGAAGGGACTTTTGGCCCCTTCCAACAGGTTCTTTCTATCATATCATTTTGCAGTTCATTTGAGGTGACCCCATGGGTCAGAAACTTGAACTACATCCCTCTGTTCTGTTTTGTTTTCCTTTAAGTGTTTTAAAACCCATTGTATTTGTGTATGCGCCGGTAAACTAGGCATTTTCTGGTTCTCAGCCACCTATCAGTCCCATTTATATTCTAATAGGCTCTTTTACACCCTTGTGTTTGAAGTGTGTTTTTGTCTAATACACGTATGTTCCCTGCTTGAGCCTGTGTACCTGACCGCCATCAACTTTGGAGTTGAGTAGACTCGAGTTTCATTCTGTCACCTACAAGCTGTGTGACTTTATGCAGATGACTCAACCTCTCTGATCCTAGCTGTGAGCAAAAATAGTGACACTCGATTCTCACACACCATTAGAAGATTTTTTGTAGTGTATCACACTGTCTACACTAGCACATAGTAGGTACTCAAAATGTATTAGCTTCTTTCCTTTCCTCCCTGATTATAATTTTAGAAAGGGATACATGTTACATATCTCTAATTTCTGTTTTTCTTCAGTAACTTGGAGCATGAGATGAAATCTCCATCAGCCTCATTTAAATTCATGTACATGGTTTGTGGCTGCTTTGGGCCCTCTGATATTTGACCATTGCTGGCCTTTTTCATTTTATTGTTACCAAGGAAATGAGGCAATAAATGATCATGTATGTACAGATGAATGAGAATGATTAAAATGACAGTGTTAGGGAAACTTACCCTTGCTTGCCAAATTCTGAGATGATTTTTATCCCAATCTTCCGTTTATGTAGGTAACATTTCTTTTGGCTGGGTCCTTTTCAGTCACTTTTTATAAGCTGCTCTTACCACACTGCCATGAGTTGGAATGGTTTTATTACCCTCCCTTTATGACTGTGATAAACAAAAGAGAAGGATGGATTATTACCTCCTGCTGCTGGCACTACAGAGGTTCTGCCAGTGGCCTCCCCACCCTGCCTATGTGGATGCCTTGTTGGATGTGTGTTTCATTGTTGCTCAGGGACAGAAGTTGCTGGTTCAGTCGTGCAGTGTTCCCACAGGGAGAACAGAGGGCTCTTGTGCATGACCTGGCTTCAGGGGAATCTGACTTTGCCAACTCAGGAATGAGAATGTTATAGGAGGACGCCCAGGGGGTTTGCCTGCTGGCATGAATTGATGTTTATGTGTTTAATTGATCTTTATGTGTCTCTCATCTCCCCCACTAGAATGTAAGTGCCATTTGAGCAGGGATTTGGTCTGATCTACTCAAGGCTACATATTCAGCACCTTGGACAGGGCCTGGCACAGAGCAGATGATCCATAAGTGTCCACTGAATGAGTGAATGAGTGAATGAACAAACTTCCGGTCAGTTTTCAATTAGATTTAATGGGACCCTGTCACTCTGCAACATCCCAAGGAGGTGCATGTGCATGCCTACAGACTTTGGCCGTTCCTCATTTTCTTAATAATCAGAGTACTTGGAACACAGTAGATGTGTAATAAACATTAAATGAAGACACAGAATAATGGATGAAGAAACAGTGGGACATCTTGGCTCTGAAACTTAGAGATATTGAACCTTTCAACAAGACTGTTTTTATCTACCTCTTGATGCATTATCTTATCTCAAATCACCACTAGCTCTAGAAATAGCATCTCATTAACACACAAGTTGCTATAAGCCTCTTTTGGCCCTGGGTGACTGGAAGTCCAACCAGTGGGGGCTAGTTTGGGTAGTTCTTTTAATAACAGCTCTAGTGAAAATTCAGGAGAGGCTAGTCTATGAAAATACAGCTTGGAGAAATGGACCAAGGCAACTGAATTCTCTGTCATGTTTGCCAAGTAGGGTTACATACTTAATAGTAAGTCCTTTCTCGGTGGCTGGTGGTGATTTTGTGAGACATCTCCAGCATATCAATTAGTTTGAAATCCAAACACTGGAGCCAAAGGGAAGTAATGCCATGTCTTCATATTGGAGACAGAGACACTCATTTCTTCCCTGCACAGCCCATCCCTGGTCTTGCCTTGTCAGTGACTGTCATTGAATCTGCTGAGCATCTCTATTACATTCTCTCTGGAAAGGCTTAATTGGCTCTGAGCTGGCCTGGGATCACAGTCCTGTCACACTAGAGAGTGAAATGCAGGGTTAAATGGATCTGACCAGGAGGAGAGCAGCCCAGACAGGCCCCTGGACATGCTGGGAAATAGGGGACCTCTAACCTCCCTCCCTCCCCACCTCCTTTCAGTCCCTTACTCCCAGGACAGCCAGAGTCAGGAACAGCTAGAGAAACATTGGTGTGTCCTTGATTTTGTTTTCAGAGAGACATTTTTCTAAAATGAAGGTTTCATTCAAAAATTAATTCTGAAGTATCTTCTCTAAAGCGTGGATGGAATTGTCACAGAAATTCAACAGCATTGCTGTTCCTTTCGGCACCTTGCATAGCTGTAGTATTGTGGAAAAGCATGGAACTAGGAGTCAGGCAACTGTCATTTATCCCAGGTCAGCCTGATTAATGATCCTGGGCAAGTCCCTTGTATTCTCTGGATTTTGATGACCTTATCTATAAAATGAAGGCATCAGGAAGTGGTGATTCCTGAGATCCTTTACAGTTCAAGGGCACATTTATTAAGTGTCTACTCTCTGCAGGGAAAGGCAAGTTCCAACAACACACATGAAAAAGGCAGGTCTCTGTTCTCAAAGGACTCAGAATCTTGTAGAGACAGCCCTTCAGTCTTGCAATTTGATGTTTTTATGATTTCTTCAATTCTCACTTAAATACCCAGCTTAAATTCCCTGATGAATCAACATTGGGAGGGAAAGGTTTTAATAATTTGGGGTACGAGTTGAGTGCCTGGAAGTAAATTGTAAACTTTATATAGTTAAAATCACAATCCCCACTTTTACCTAAGGATACTGAGAGGGGTGAAATAACTTTGCTTAAATTTTACAATCAGGAAGTTGCTGATTCAAAATCCAAAATAGAAATCAGTCCTGTTTGAGACCAGAACTCAAGGATTTCCTGCCAGCAGGCTGTCGCCCTAGTTGAAGACGCTAAGACATGACCCATGAGAAGAGGCGCTTACTGGCAGCTGGCAATTGACAAATGAGTTGGAACTTGATTGGACATCAGTGAAAAATGAAACCCAATAACTATCGCCTGGATGACAGTGTTTAGTGAGTTCAGATGACCCATAGGCTAGCTCAAAGTGAAGCAGGGAAAAGTTACCTGTGTCACCAACTGTTAACTCCAAAAGCCTCTCCTTGTACGGCAGGTCGTTTGAGATCCAGGCCACATTCCCAAAGGAGTCCCTGCTCTCTGTCCTCATCTATGACCATGACCTGATCGGGACAGACGACCTCATCGGCGAGACCAGAATCGACCTGGAGAACCGTTTCTATAGCAAGCACCGCGCCACCTGCGGCTTGCAGAGCCAGTATGAGATGTGAGTCCTTCCGCCTGGCGGTGCTGATGGTATCCTCAGACTGTGGCCTCCGTGGCACCTGCTCGGGAAGGCTGGCCAAGACTCGGCCTTAACCTCTCAAATAGGCTCCTATCAGCAGGACTGGCTGGGGGTAGTTGGGGCTGGGACGCAGCACTGACTTAGAACCCGGGGCGGTGGCCCTTCAGTAGTTGCAAGCTGAACTGTGTGGATGTGAATGTGGATTGTGTGTGTTCGCTTGGGTGGCAGACTTCCTGAGGGGGAATGATGCTAGAAGAAAAGTAAAAGCTGGTGTAACACAAGTGCCAGTATCCCAGTTAACTATAACTAGTGCTTATCACAGACCAACTATTTTACATGAAGAGTCTCATTCAATTCCTTCCTGCTCAGTGAGGTGGGAGAGTGGACCCAACTTTTACTCTTTTCAAATACCTTGAATTCTGCTTCATTTAAAAGCATGTACCACCAACTTTATTTTTTCAAGTATGTTGTATCTGATATCTTAAGAAAATAGAAACCGCTTATAAACATCAACTAGAAAAGTATAAAAACATTCATTAGATTTCCATGGTATAATTTTAGAAATATTTTTCCTGAATATAAAGACTATTCACTGAAGAAAAATTAGAAATAAAGGAAGTACAAAATGATGCTCAAATTATTCAAATTAAAATTTCAGTGGGGACCTCACTGAGGGTCAGGTGTCACCCTCTTTGTTTTTCCACCAACTTCCAGAGAAGGCTACAACGCCTGGAGAGACACTTCCAAACCCACTGAAATCCTGACCAAGCTCTGCAAAGACAACAGGCTGGATGGACCCTACTTTTATCCTGGGAAAATACAGATAGGAAACCAAGTCTTTTCTGGAAAAACAGTCTTCACTGAAGAAGACACTGGTAATTCCCACAATTCACCCTATGGACATTGCTCTTCCAGTGAAAATCCTGCTTCTGGGGGCAGTGGTGGCTGGAACAATAATGAGTGCTTACTGTGGAACATGTGGAAAAGTGGAGAGGATGCTGGAAATTACTCATAACCCCAAAATTCAGAGATACACACATGCATGCTGGTCTCTTTCCTTACAGTCTGTGTGTGTGTGTTCAATATATCACACTTTCACAGAATTATAACTTCTCATATACATTTTTATACCCAACTTTTCTATTCCAGTAGATTATGATAATTCTCCTTTATTCTTTGAAATGATCATTGTTAACATTGCTTTTTATGGCTGAGCATTTATTTACATCGTGCCCTATTTTGAGTGATAGTTAATGCTCCTGTGAGCTTCCTTATACGTATTTTTGTACATTTCTGCAATTTCTACAGTATACATCAGTGAAGTGGAATTGTTGTATGAGAAGGTAGGCGACAGCATTAAAATGGTCACTATGTAAAGCATGTAATTGGATGTATCCCCAAATTACCCCCAAATTTTACATCAACCATTCTCCTATTTCAACCTCAAGAAGTAGATTTTTCCTTAAGAACTTCATGAAACATACCAGGAAGAGCTGAGAAACTCTACTAAGTTTAGGGTGAAAAAAATACCACCTACAGTTTAATAATGCAGAATAATTTTCACACTGTCACCCCTGTTCATTTGAATCTTAAAAGTCGCCTTCTTGTGGTACCTCTGATGCCCATAGCCCAATTAGGCCCTGGGGCAGGTTTTGACATTACTGTGTCAATCCCTCTGCTTTCACACAAAGATTTATTTTTATCTGGCCTTTTGTCTTTTTGTCCCTAAGGATGCAGTTATTGACACTTTGATGGTGTATTAATGGTATACTGAACAATGTCTGTTGTGAAAAATATTTTTTCACAATATACCCTCTCAAACCAATTTAATTCCTTGGTTAGTATTCTACACTTTATGATTAAACAATTACCTTTTTTGTCCATCAAAAATCTGAAATTATGGCATCAAGATCAGTTCTTAACTGATTCAGCTTTATGACAAGATTTAGCGCATTGATGACTTGTTTGTCCATATTAACTTTTAGTGATTATAATTATTGCTGTTGGGAGATTTCTTCTGGGGCCTTTTTCTTAAACCAAGTTCAATATTCTAATGTCAAACTTGGCCCTTCTAAACTTAGTAAAAAAGATTTGTTTTTTTTCCAACTATTTTGTTAGTAGTGTTTCTGCCGGTGTCTCCATTGTGAATTACTTTCTTTCTTGACACGACAGATCACAGAACCTTTCTTGTGAGCAGGTATGGGTAGGAAGGAGACCCCAAGCAATAATGAGAAAAAATAAAGGACACCCATGAACATGGAGTGTGCCCGTTTCACCAACACAATTGAGGTCACGCACATACCTCAAATTCCCTCACATTGCAGTTATCAAACAGCTTTAGATCTCCAGGAAACCTCCCTCACAGTACCTTGAAGCCTAGCTTGTGATTCATAGCTCCTGGAAAAACCTGGCTCAAGGGGTGAAGGAGTCCCATACTCCATGACCCTGGCTACTCTCTGCTTCTTCTTGTCAACCCATCTCATTTGCCACTCTTGAAACTTCCATCTCTCTCCCCTTCTCACCACCTTACTCAGCCTCGTTCCATCTTCTCTTTGTCCTTCTCCTCTTTTGCTGTCTTTTCTCTCTCCCTGTGCCTCGATACATGTAAATGAACCTTCAAGGAAAGGTATAAATTGCACATGACAGCACATCACTGACCCCTCACAGGAACACACATCTCACACGTCTCTGTTTTTCTCTCATGCAGATGAGGTGGTGGAGTCTTATGACCACTTGGCCCTCAAAGTTTTACACTCCTGGGAGGATATCACAGAGGTTGGATGTAGGCTGGTTCCTGAGCACATAGAAACTCGGCCACTGTACCACAAAAATAAACCAGGAATGGAGCAGGTAGTGCAAGCTGGTTCTGCCCCCACTGGGGTGTTCATCCCCCAAGGACTGTGACCTTCCCCTAAAAGTTAATCTCGTGTATCCTAGTGTGATTCTCCACCAGGGACAATATCAATCCCCTTCCCAGGACCTTCAGCGATATCTGGACATATTTTTGATGGTCACAAGTGGGTGGGTGCTGCTGGCGTCTAGTGGGTAGAAGTCAGAGATGCTACAAACACCCTGTACTGCCTAGAGCAACAGAGAATTATTGAGTTGCCAACATAAAAGCTGAGAAATCCTGCCCTGAGTTGGCGTTGGACTTAGTGCTTTTTCCGTTTGTGACTTGAGTTATCAGACTCTTTTGGAAGAATCCTGAGAAACTCCAGCACCTCTCTGATATGCCTACGACCTTGTCCTAAATCTCAGTCACTATGTAGTCCTCTGCTTTTCCCCAAGAAGCAACACGTGGTTACTTGACCTGAGGAACATGTAAGAAGAAGCTATATTGGAAAAATAACTAGAGATATGTGTTTGGAGTTAAAAGGGAAGAGAAGATAAACTTTCCAAAGAGCCTTCTATGTACTAGGCTCTTTGCACAAATGATCTCAACAAGTTAGAATGACCATAGAATTGTTGACCTGAACTGTAATCATTTTGAAAATGAACAGTCACTTTTAACAATTAAGCTTGTACAGGGGTCTCATGTCAAGATTTTCCTAGAAAAAAAAATAGGTGTATGGCTTACCTCTTAGGCTGTGTACAGATTCATGCTGAACTTAATTCGATCCCCAGTTTTGAGATGAGGTAAATTTCAGGGAGTTTGAGTAACTCATTGACAGTTATTCAGCCTGTAAGTAGGACAGCTGGGATTTAGCCCAAGCATTTGATCCCTAACCCAAGTCTGTCCATATTTTCAAGCTGAATCCTGCCCCAACCCTGAACTCACTCAATGTGTAACGTGGGCAAAGCACTTGAGCTGTGTTATAAAGGGACAAGGACACCTGCCTTGCTACCCCAGCAGGGTCGGGGTGCAGACCTGGTGAGAGCATATCTCAAAAGGGTAAACCCTATCAGATACAGAAGCTTATGGTTGTTTTTTAAAGTTACTACTAGGTGTTCCAAATCTTCTGGTTTCTGTTATCTCATTTTGCCTGTGCCTGTGACTTTTTGATTGAAAGTGATTGTTAATGCATCTTTAGAGCACGTCTGTAATCTTCCATTGAATTGGTCCTGCTCTTCCCCAAAGCCAATTGTGTTTATGTTGTCCCTTCCCCTGGCAAATTTCTTTTCTAGTGAAATCTCATCCATCATCCAAATCTTGCATATCTTCCTTGCCCCAGTAGAAGCCTGCTTCTTTCACGTAACATCTCCCCTGCCCTGATCACTCACCTCCTTTCCTGAGCTGGTGGGGTGCTTAGAATGTATACAACCGAGCCAAACTTAGACTCCATTCCACCTTCTCCCCACACAGGCTCTTAAACCCTTCACACAGGGTAAAGTCTGATGTGTGGCGCCCAAGGTGGTAGACGAGAAGGCTGCTTCTGCCACTGATTAGTCACAGAACTTCAGAAAGTTTATGTGACTTCTCTAAGCTTTAGTTTCTTTGCGTATAACACCAAAATATGGCTGAAGCGAGCACCGCTAGAGATGATGAATGTTAAAGTACATTGGAAACAATGAAGCACGATCCTTCTGACAGATCGAATTATCAGCTCCCTGATCCTTCCAAGTTTGTAGAAAGAGCAGGGTTCCTGGAGTGAACAGATAAGGCATGAATCTGCTCCATGTTGATGATGTAAGCTTGGGCAAGATACTTTTTTATCTTCCTAATAGGAGTGGTGACACCCACCCAGCAGGGATACAGAAAGAGTTAATGAGCTAATGCTTGGACCACACACAGTGGAGTAGAGCTCCCTACTGTTTGCTCACCCATCCTCTGCTCTTAATTTATGTTCTAACAAACTTGTAATAAAAATTAAGTTCTGTCTTTGTCAACAAATATGTACATTTATCAAACTGTACCTAATACCCATTTTTCGTTAGGGGCTCTTTTGAACCTATGAATGGTCACATACCTGGGTGCAGCCCCTTCCCCTAAAGTGAAATGTGGTCTTCTCTTAATCAGGGCCGCTTGCAAATGTGGGTAGACATGTTCCCCACAGACATGCCTCAGCCTGGACCTCCTGTTGACATTTCACCAAGGAAACCCAAAGGGTAAGTCAACTGCAGCCGCACCTTCAGGGGAAGAGATGATAGGAGCAGACTAAAAGGTCATGACATTTGATCTAGCATCTGATCTACTAAGTAGTCAATTGGCCCTGGATAATCATGCTTCACATTCTACCTGGTAGTTACAGAGGGGGTGTGGGGTGATGGCAGTAGTGCTAATCATTGAATTGGTGGCCCCTTGTTTTGTAGTAGAGGCTTCTGAGCTTCAACATTCTGAACAATATTGGTCAATGGAAGGAGTATCTACCCACAGGAATTTGGTAACTCTTAGGTTCCAGCAGGGAAACTTGGTTCCAATACCCAAAGTGTTCCAATACCCAAAGTATTTTTTAACTTGGAAATGTTGAGGAAGCTCAAAGTGATCACATAGACATGAGCTGACTCTGCTTTCAAAGTCAATAATGTTGCCTTCCTTTATCTTAGGTATGAATTGAGAGTGACCATCTGGAACACTGAAGATGTCATTTTAGAGGATGAGAATTTCTTCACAGGACAAAAGTCAAGTGATATTTACGTTAAAGGGTAAGGTCATCAACAAACCCCATCCCCCCTTTTCTTCCCCTCACCTCTTTAACCCCTAGCTAAACCCATGCCTTCTCGACGATATTCCCACTTTCCACAAGAAGAGTCCATCTTACTCTGTCAGATAATGCCACCCTCTTGGTCAAGTGTCTTATTCAGTTACTCTGCTGAGAGTTATTATCTGATAAAACTATTTCTATGAGAAAATCTTATTATACAGACCTCTCTTTCAGTTAAAGATCTACACTTTTGGAGTGACATTCAAAAGTATCTTTACCCCACAGCACGTAAAGAGATGTGGTACTGTTGATGAAAGATTATTTGTTAAGAACAGGGCTAGACTAATACAAAAGCTTCAATTTAGACCTTTCCTTTGGCTAGTTCTACTGTGACCACATTGGAACCAGAAATCCCTCTTGATTAACCGAAGTCTGAATAAGGTGCTCTGAGTGTTTAACTCCTTTTCATCTTCATTCAGGTGGATAAAGGGCTTGGAAGATGACAAGCAGGAGACAGACGTGCATTACAACTCACTGACGGGGGAGGGGAACTTCAACTGGCGCTTCCTGTTTCCATTTCAGTATCTCCCAGCTGAGAAGCAAATGGTCATCACCAAGCGGGAGAACATCTTCTCCTTAGAGAAGATGGAGTGTAAGACGCCAGCTGTGTTGGTCCTCCAGGTTTGGGACTTTGAAAGGCTGTCCTCAGATGACTTTCTGGGTAAGTCAGTGGTTTCATCAAGTTTGTATTGTGAGGGATTTTGTCCCAGTTTTTGGAGCACTTGGTCTGATTTTGTGATAAAGATATAAATTTCAAGGCTATTTATGGTGCCAAAAATTAGAAAGCATTCCAAATAGCCATTAATAAATAGGGTATTGGTTGAATAACTATGATGCATCCACAGGGCGGAAGACACATGTTCAAACAGATTTAATCTTTGCTCTACCACTAAGATGTGGTTAAATTTTGGGCCAATGACAGGCCCCCTCTGAGCCTCAGTTTTCCTCGGTTGTAAAATAAGGATCATAATATTTTATACCTCAGAGGGTGTTGGGAGCTGTAAATGGAATAATAAATTTTAAAACTAAGCACAGTGCCTCATACACAGTAATCACTCAATAAATGATGATCTTGCTGTCATTAAGAATATTAGAATAATTAGCTAAAAATTTGATGCATTATGTAGAGAAAACAAACTTCATAAAATATTTGTTTAGCTACACATATTGCATATGAAGAGAAATAGACTGACATAAGGCTAAGAACTAAGTTGAAAAGTGGCCAACTTTTAGGAGATAAAGGAAAAATTTTCTTTTTTGCTTATGTGTATGCTCTAAATGATCGAAAATAACAAATGGGACTTCTGTTAGTAAAGAGAGAGCTCTAATACTCTAATGGTGTTATGTTATCAAGATTTCAATAATCATTAATTGAAAACACATGGTTATCAGCTGCTGTCTGATGCTTCTCTGAGCTAATGCAGTAGCTACAAGACTAAATAGCTACAAAGACTAAGACATAGTCCCTGGCCTGAGGAGGTCAGTGGACTTAGAGTGGAAGGTGGGGCCGGGGAGGAAGTCCCGTAGTCTGATCTACCCCACCGGCAGAAAGACTCAGGATGGGCATGTGGTTCAGACTCAAGGAGCAAAGATGCCCAGGTGCAGTGACCTCCGAAACTGAGGCTTGAAAGTGACATGGTAGCTCTGTCTGTCTGTCTCATGCTCACTGCCACATCATAGAGCTTGGGGGCACCAATACCTCGCACCTAGTGATCCAACGTGGTGCCAGTGGAGTGACTAGTGAGGAAATGAACAAATGAATGAATGGGTGAATATGGAGGGTGACTGATTTTTTTAATTTTTTTTTTTTAATAGAGGCATGTTTTTCTTTATTTATTTGTTTGCTTGTTTGTTTGTTTTGTTTATACATGCACTGGGTACAGTCAGAAGCGCGGGAGGGTGAGAGAATTCACCAGAGCCAGAGCGGGGAGCAGAGCAGGCAGAAGGACCGAAGTACACTGCTGAGGGGAGCAGCGGGCGGCAGGAGAGGTCTGCGCGCCATGTGGGACCCTCCTCCGGTGGCCGGGGAGCAGCCGGGGATTGAACCGGCGCCGCAGAGGCCGCGGGCAGCTTCGCAACCCAGCGCTCCACCGCTGCGCCACCGGGGAGGCCCTGGAGGGTGACTGATTTTAAAAGCCCTTCAGCAACTGTAACTGGCATCTCGTCACAGGCACCCTGGAAATGAACCTCAATCATTTCCCCAGAGCAGCCAAGTCTGCCAAAGACTGCGATATCAACAAATTTGAAAATGCAACAGAAGAGAACAAGATTTCCATATTCCAGCAGAAGCGTGTGCGAGGCTGGTGGCCTTTTGCTAAAAGCAAAGAACTCACAGTAAGTGACAGCTGTGGGAGATGGTGGGGTCAGGCAGGGGACATCATGCTCTCTGAGTCACCCTGTGAACGTCAAGTCAAGTACTTGGGGCGACATGGAGCCCTGTATGGCGAAGGTTCTAATGAGAAGTGAGAGTTTTGAAAAATGTATACACGCGTTACACCTCCCATATTTCAGCACATTTGATTAATTGTCATCTCTCTTAGGGTGGTTTTCTATCCTTTTGGCTTGAACTTATGCCCCAGCTTTAATTTGTTTTCTAACATTTCTCGAAGTTATGCATGAAGTCCTGATGAATGCACAATTTCAGGATAACCTCTTCATCCCTTCACCCTCAAACATAAGACTTGATTAAAAAAGTGATGCTTCCTTTTATAGCCCCCTGGAGGGGGCGCTAGAGGGAGAGCAAGTATCCCTTTCCCTGTGTAGACTTGGTCTGTGTGTGTGTGTGTGTGTGTGTGTGTGTGTGTGTGTGTGTGTGTGTGAGAGAGAGAGAGAGAGAGACAGAGACAGAGACAGAGACTGAGACAGAGACATGTTGGTAGGAATTCTCCTAAATATGTAGAGGAGAACTTCTTCTGCCCTGTCAGCCTTCTCTGACTCCTCCGTAAGGGGCTGGGGGTGACTTAGGTGGTCACTGAAGTTCAGAAAAGAGGCTTGAGTCTGTGTTGGTGGCCACTTCTCTGCTGCTCTCCCTCGGGGCTGCATTTTCTTCCCTAGGCCCCTGGTGCCCAGGGCTGGTCCTCATCTGGAATCCCACCTGTTACGGAGCTGAGCAGATATGGCCCATCCCACAGGTGGTCTCAAGATAAACAACTGTGCCCCAAACAAGAGGACTCGAAAGTGCAGTTTGGACCCCTTGTCCACCCACAATGCATCTCGAACTTAGGGTGACCAGCTACGTTAGCTCATTGATGTCATCTGGCGTAAAAATGAGCTTCTGGTATCCTGTTGACAGGAGGCTGTTTTGCAACTTGGAGTCAGGCACCCACGGAAGTTAAGCCCCTACCTTCCCACAAAACGGGGAGAGAGAGTGCTGTGTCCCCAGTGCTTGCATTTAGAGATGGCTCCACGGTCTTTGCACAAGCCACCTCTGGATGGTCACGTGAAAAGCCCTGTCTAGTATCGAGAAGGATTTCCATACATGGCAAAGAGAAGAGGTGAACAGTGACAAGTTTCCTATAGCTGCTGCCCTATGAAAAGGCATTGACCTTTTGGGAGAATGTGCCTGACTTGCCCCGTTGTTTCTCATGACGTTGCTTCTTGCCTTCTCTCCCCACTGTGTTTCCTGTGAAGAGGAAGCTCACTGCAACCGCTTCCTCAGGCTCGGATTTTTCAACAGGAATATTTAATAAGTGACACGTGTTAAATCATGTTGGGAGGCGCGCGCCTCAGTTGCCTCACTGTTCATGGTCTCCCTGTCAACAAGGCCTCCCTGCTGCAAAGGTGCATTTTCCCCTGCACGGTTAGCAAGTAGCCAGCGGGTGTGGCACTTAGCTCAGGGGAAATCTCCTGTTCTGGACCCAGCCTCCACCACGCCGCGATCTGGGTTAATTTACTCATTTCTTTGATGTTGCAGAATGATTTTTCTAAACTTCTTTCCTATTGCTTCTTGGCCCCCACCCCCACCATCCATAGCGATCAAATGTACTTAGTGTACATTTGTCAACCTTTTATCTGTTGCTGTTATCTCCGTTTATCCATCTACCTGTTGTTATTCTTTCTCCATCTATTAGTTGACATTCATGTGAAGAAGAGCTTTCTCTCATAATCTTCTCCATTAGCTACCAAAATTTAACATCAAGAATTGGTGTGAGTTATCTCTAATATATGAGGTTTCTTCCCCCCTTGCTTATTTTTTCCTAGTCCCACTATGGGCTGTTGAATTTAAAAATACTTCTTTCTAGCGCTATTCACTGAAAGCACCTAGAAGTAAAATCATCCGGTAACAAAAAAGCCCCCTAGCACTGGATCCTGGTTTCTAAATAACAATTCTTACTGGAAGAAACCAGTTATTTTGGGAGAAATGGCTGATTACAGGTGTAGGGCAGATGAAACACTGGATGAGTTTGGGGCATCACGTGTAAAAAAAGGACAATGTCAACATCCAAAAGAGTGACAGCTGTGCTTTGTGCATGAAGCTTTTTCTGTGTTTTGAACTTATTTCCTTAAATTACCTACCCACAAAGGGAATCCCTAAGTCCAGAGTATGACTATGTAAGCTAATGCCCACATTCATATACAATGCCACGTACATGTACATATGCATGTATACATGTGTAGATGTATATACATATATGTGTGTGCTTCTCTTTCTAAAGGATTTTTCCAACATGCAATCCCACCTTTTTTTTAAAAAGATTTATTTATTTATGCATACAAGAGCTGGGGTGAAGGCCAGAGGTGTGGGGAGGTGAGAGGATTCACCATAGACAGAGTGGGGAACAGAACAGGCAGACTGACTGAAATACACCGCTGAAAGGAGCAGCGGGCAAGACAGGAGAGGTCTGCCTCACCATGTGGGTAGCTCCCTGGCCGGCCAGGGATCAAACTCATGCTGCAGAGGCTGCAGATTGCTTCATAGTGTAGTGCTTAACCCTTTGAGCCACCAGGGAAGCCCACAATCCCACCTTTAATGTATGAGACTGTCCCATCTCATACCAGTGAGAGTTGTGCTTTTATTGTCTACAAGTACATCTACAATAATTTTTGCTGAAGATGATTGTTCTCTGACCAATCACATCTCAGCCTCCCCTGACATCCACTCTCTGGGCTCAGTGAGGTTGCAGTCCATAAATAACGTATGTGTTACAACAGGCCTATACTTTGCCAAGACCTTTACTTATAATAATTAATAAAGTTAATAAACAGTCTTCAAATTGTCCATTTTTTTCTAACTCTGATTTAAAATTATATTTGGAGACTGTTATTAATTAGCTTAAGACCGCTACTTGGTGCTTGGTTGAATAACAATGATAATTGAAATAAGACACAGAACCCTCTGTGCAGAGAGATACAGAATGAGGAGGGCGCTTATCAGAATGTCAGTAAGCATCTTCCCTAGTTGTGGGTGTCACACCAGAAAAAGCTTTGCAATTACTCAGGCAGGCCAGTGGAGCAGGGCCAAGGCTCTGCACGATATGAGCTAGTGACTCCTGTGCCTGGGGAAAATCAATTCCATATTCCCTGCCTTTCTTTCTTTGCATCTCTTTCCTGTGGGTCTCCTCTGGGTGGTTTTCTGTATAGGCAGAGTATTCATTATTTCCCATTAAATTATGTGTTTCCATCCATGAAATGGTGTTGAAGGTAACAACTATCATTTTTAAGAACTTGATGTTTACCAGGCACTAGGCTGAGCACCATATATGTGTTATTTCATTTATTTTTCAAAGAAAACCTATAGATACATGCTATTAACATCGCCAGGAGAGTGGGGCTGTCCTGGCATATAACTTATCCCAGATCATGCAGCCAGAGCCTGGTTTCAAATGCAGACCTGTCTGCACCAAATCCTGTTCATTTAACTCTTAAGCTATGTTGAGCCATAATATTCCTTGATGACCCAGTAACTTGGGCACAGTGCTCTGAAGAAGTACATGATTCACATTTTTCAAGAGACTATCAAGGGAACAGAAGAGAGGGGTACTAGAACAAAAGGATAGAATTCTGGAACAGTTAGTAGGGACCTCAAAAAATAACAGGTGACAAAAAGCCATTTGGCAGCTATGGGCCACACTCACCAATTTCCTCTCGAGAGTCTGACAGAGAAGAAATAACTCCAGTCACTCGTTCTCTTTCTAGTTGTTATTAAATTTTTTTAGTGAACATTGTTTCTTCAGATATTAAGTGATTCCAAGACAAATGGTGCCTGAGCCTGAGTAGATGATGTGTCTCCACACATGCGCAGAGCCCTCTCCTTGCACAAAACTCAACACTAACATTGTTTCAGGGCTTTCATTGTTACAAATAATTTCTCCCTGGACTGAAAAGTCCACATTAATTTCTCAAAGTCAAACAGCAGGATGGTCAAAATACTTCCTGGAGTTCTCCCACCTGATTACACTTCTTCTGGAAGTTGACAATACCTCAGCAGGTCTTTGTGCCTGGAAACCACAAGTCTCGTCTTTGTGCAGGGTAAGGTTGAAGCTGAATTTCACCTCGTTACCGCAGAAGAAGCTGAAAGAAATCCCGTTGGAAAAGCCCGGAAGGAGCCAGAACCCCTGGCCAAGCCCAAGTGAGTGGAGCCAGGGCTGGGAGTGCCAGAAATGGGGGAGGCCCTTTGCAGCCCCAGACCCCAGGACAAGGGTGTTTTTCTAGAGTCCCACTGGGAGAACTCAGAAAGGAGGAGCCAAGCTGGTAGTCTGTCCACCTATGTGGGTTTTGTTTCTACAGTGGAAGCATTCTAAAATATTATAGGATGTTTTGCAAATGTAGAGTCTGCGATTCTGTGAAACTGCCCCATAAACATTTCTAGAATAATTTATTTTTCCTACTCATTTTTCACATGAATATGAATTTCACATGATTCTTTTCAAGTCATTTAATCATTAATACAAGGTAGTCTTGGGCCTCCTGCTGCAGGGGTTAAAGTCTCAGTGCTGTCAGCTACTGTAGCACTGCACAAGTTCAATCCCCAGCCAGGGAGCTGACCCACACAGCAAAAGTCTTGCTTTGTTGCCATAGTTGTCAAAATTAGGATTTTTTTAATGGCTGTGGAATATTTTGTAGATAGAATGACCATTAAGTGCCTTGGTTGCCATCCCATAATTGGATATTGAATGTCCTTCTACCTTTTGTCCATTAGTATAATATGATAAAAAATTGTTTTCCCTTTAATTACTTTAAACTGCCAGAAGTAGAATTACTAGAAAGATTATTCAATTTAATCCATGGTACATTAAATTAAAAACTAAATACCTGTGGATATAAAGTATGTGTACAAAATACTCTTCCATATTTTATTTTTCCTCCCTGAACCTCAAGCCTCTGGAGGTGAGCAGTCTCCTCTCTGCACCCACATTTCATCTATCCCAGTGTTAGGAACATAAAAGACGTCTAGTTGCTCATTAATTGAAATTATTTATTGAGCTCCTACAATGTGAACCTACTAAAAAAATTCAAAGACGCAGAAGAAATGTAAGAAATGAGCCCTGTCTTCCAAGAGCTTTGATCTATCTAGGGAGAACACCCAGACTTAACAAAGTAGGGTACAGAAGACACGTGCATTGGATTCAGAAAAGTGCTAAGTAGAGTGAGAGTTGAGGAGTGAGAGAGAAATTGGGCATGGAAGGGTTGTCATGGACTGGGCCGGGGCAGACCTTGGGGAAATGGTACTGAGGGGGTCAGGGCTAGGCAGCCAGACCTGTGTTTGGGTTGTAACTAAGCACTTGCCCCCCAATGAACACAACCTTTACAACAATGCAAGAGTCTACAGACCAAAGTGCAGATTGCTCCTGCTTTAAGGCTAGAGGGTCTCCTCCTATTCTCAGTTCTTTCTCAGTGGATCCCCAGAAAACAGGAATCAGAAATATTTCCTGCAGTCTTGAGAATCCAGTGTGTTGTCAACCAGGCCCCTTCCCTGACCTTCTTTTGCTTCCCTCTCAGCCGCCCAAATACCTCCTTCTCCTGGTTCGTGAGCCCCTTCAAGTGCCTGTACCACCTCATCTGGAAGAATTATAAGAAGTACATCATCATTGCTTTCATTCTACTCATCCTCACTGTCTTCCTGGTCCTCTTCATCTATACCTTGCCAGGAGCCCTCAGCCGAAAGATCGTTGGCAGCTCTTAGAGGATCCTGGAGGGCCAGGAGGTCCCCTTTTCCTAGTCTTCTCCACCTCATCATCTGCAAACAGCGAAGAGTGTGTGCTGGAGGCCAAATGGGGATGCCTGAGGGCCCGAGAACTAGTGTCTCTTTTTGGATAGATCAACTCTTTTTGGAGGACATGAAAAAGGAAAAGGAGCTTCCCTCCCTATCCAACACCGCCACCACCTTTCAAACCAATAAGCCTTAAGTGGTGTTTGCACCTACAGGCAGCACGAGATAAGGACTTGTCTCAGCGTACTCACTGTGAACGGCAGGTTGACTTCGGTGTTCTCTTTACATGACTGGTTTTATTCTGAAGAATTTCATTCTGGGTCTGAGATTATATAGAAAGTACTTTCTTTTAAATAAAATTTTTACAGCAAGTAAACTGAAAACATTTTAGCAATTTACTAGTAGTTAACTTGTCCCACTTAGCTTAACCTTGTTTGATCCTTACGGTTTAGATAACAAATTTACATATTTGGGATGTGAAAATGCCTTGGAAAAAATTTCATATTAATCATCTAAAACACTTTGTTATTTTGTTTGGGAATTGTTGAAATTCCCATCGCTAGCAGAGATGTTGCTCTTTTCCCACTGAAGTCAACACTTGCAGAACATGTTCAGTTGTAGTCTTAATGAGTTCTGGAGAAATCCATTTGGATTTATACTAATGGCAATTTCTACTTGAGAACTTTGTAAATATGAAATGTAACTATGTAATTGTTGTATAGGGTGTGGGGAGGCAAAGCTCCATGGGCCAGTAGAAATTCTCTTTAGCCAGATATGTAGAACCCACCAATGTGAGTTCCCACAGACAATGGCACCATGGCCAAGATTGCCCCAGCATTCCTGAGCACTTAGTGTTGCCACCACAGGTGGTAGCTTCCATCATGAATCACAAGCACAAACTAAGTTTCCAAACAGTCTTAGAAACAACATCCTATGCACGTGTCAAATGAAGTCACTCTTTGTTGAAAGTAACCTACCATTCTTCAAAATAACATAGTCCAGGCCTGCTACCCACCCTAAGTCAGGCAAGGGATGTTAAGGTCTGGTATTCTCAGTTCCAACAGGAACAATGGAATTGGGAGATTTGACTTCAGTTCTAATGCAGATGTTTTAACCTCATGGACAAATAAATATGGCAGCTTTCTTGTTTCTATTATCAGACTACTCAGTAGCACTGGGAGGCTGAATTGTGGTTCCCCTCTTGGCAACAGAAGTACCAGCACTACTGTTTTCTTTGGGTAGCCTTGTACATATGTCACTTCTGAAATGAAGGCTGTTTACTTCTACATGGCAAGTCATTCTAGAATGTTCTTAATTCATCAAAGAAAGACTGAACATGTTCTGTATGATCTTAGATTTAACATTGTTCACTGAGGGCCTCCCTGGTGGTGCAAGGAATTAAGCACCACACTATGAAGCAGTCCGCAGCCTCTGCAGCACGAATTCGATCCCTGGTCGGCCAGGGAGCAACCCACATGGCACAGCAGACCTCTCCTGTCTCGCCTGCTGCTCCCCTCAGCAGTGTATTTCAGTCAACCTGTCTTTTCTGTTCCCTGCTCTGCCTCCGGTGGATCCTCTCACTCCCCACATCTCTGGCCCGTACCCCAGCTCTTATATGCGTAAGTAAATAAAACTTTAAAAAAAATAAAAAATAACACTGTTCACTGAACTCTGGTCCTAGGTGCTTATTCTCTGGATATCATAAAGTTCTACTTTCTGAAATACTGAAAAATAGAGTATTTACAGTATTGGTGATGTTTTATAATAGGATTACTTACATAAACTGCAGCCCATTCCAGCAGTGTAATAACACAGCCACCAATAAAGTATTTGATGGCAGGGAATATATCCATGGACTACATTGCAACTAAAAAATGTGTGTCTCTGTGTGTGTGTGTGTATATATATATGTATATACATATGTTTTATGTATATATATGTATATATGTACACATAATGTATGTGTATGTATACATACATGTATACATGTATATGTTATGAAACTGCACAGCATGATGTAAAAAAAATATCTACACATACATATAATGTCTGGAAGAAGATGCTAACAATGTTAATCTTGATTGACTTTAATAATATCTTCTCTTTTCCTTTTTGTTTTTCTCCTAAAGCTTCTAAAATAAACATGTATTATTTTTATTGTAAAATATCTAATAAATATAGCATTTAAATGTATTCATTTAAAAATATTTATTGAGGGTCTCCTATGTGCTGGGCAGGGGGCATGCAGTAGAAATAAAACAAATGCTACCCTTGTTGGATTTTGCAGCCCAGCAGCTCCTCAAGATATTGTTTCTTCCAAAAAAAATCAAATACTTGGGAATAAACCTAACAAAAGAAGTAAAGGACCTATACAAAGAAAACTATAAAACACTGTTAAAAGAAATAGAAGTAGACACAAAGAAATGGAAAGACATCCCCTGCTCATGGATCAGAAGAATTAACATTATCAAAATGGCCATCCTACCAAAAGCAATCTACAGATTCAATGCTATTCCAATTAAAATTTCAATGTCATTCTTCAAAGAAATAGAAAAAATATTGATGAAATTCATATGGAGCCACAAAAGACCCCAAATAGCCAAAACCCTCCTGAAAAAATAAAGAAGGGAATGGAGGCATCACTCGCCCAAATTTCAAACTATACTACAAAACCATAATAATCAAGACTGCATGGTATTGGAACCAGAACAGACACACAGACCAATGGAATCAAATAGAAAACCCAGAAATAAACCCACAGATTTATGGTCAACTAATCTTTGACAAAGGAGCAAAGAATATGCACTGGAGCAAAGAAAGTTTGTTCAATAAATGGTGCTAGGAAAACTGGGTCGCTACATGCAAAAGAATGAAGCTTGACTACTATCTCACACCATGCACAAAAACCAGCTCAAAATGGATTAAAGAACTGGACATAAGACCTGAAATATACAGAAGGAAATATACAGAAGGAAATAAAAATATACAGAAGGAAAATATACAGAAATATAAAATATACAGAAGGAAATAGAGGCAAAACACTATATGATATGCACCTCAAAGACATCTTTACAGACACATCACCCAAAGCAGTGATAGTGAAGGCCAAATAAACAGCTGGGACTACATCAAATTAAAGAGCTTCTGCACAGCAAAACAGACAACAACAAAAACAAAGAGAAACCCCACCAACTGGGAGAACATTTTTGCACACAACACTAATGATAAAGGACTGATCACAAAAATCTACAAAGAGCTGATGAGACTCAACAAAAACAAAGAAAATAATCCAGTCAAAAAGTGGGCAGAAGAACTAAAAAGAAACTTCTCTGAAGAGGAAATACAAATGGCCAACAGGCATATGAAAAAATGTTCAACATCACTTGCAATCAGGGAAATGCAAATCAAAACTACCATGAGAGAGGGCTCCCGGTGGCGCAGCGGTTGAGCGCTGGGTTGCGAAGCTGCCCTCAGCCTCTGCGGCACCGGTTCGATCCCGGCTGCTCCCGGCCACCGGAGGAGGGTCCACATGGCGTGCAGACCTCTCCTGCCGCCCGCTGCTCCCCTCAGCAGTGTACTTCGGTCCCTCTGCTGCTCTGCTTCCCGCTCTGGCTCTGGTGAGTTCTCTCACACTCCCGCGCATCTGACTGTACCCAGTGCTTGTATAAATAAATAAAATAAATAAATAAAAATAAATCTTAAAAAAAAACTACCATGAGATACCATCTCACACCAGTGAGAATGGCACATATTAAAAAAACTAGCAACAACAAATGTTGGCGAGGATGTGGAGAAAAAGGAACTCTCCTGCACTGCTGGTGGGAGTGCAAACTGGTCCAACCACTATGGAAAGCTGTGTGGAGATTCCTCAACCTACTAAAGATAGAGCTCCCATATGATCCAGCAATTCCACTCCTAGGTATTTACCCAAAGGACACAGAAACATCAATTCCAAAGAGCACCAGCACCCCTATTTTATAACAGCACTATTTACAATAGCTAAGCTTTGGAAACAACCCAAATGCCCAAAAATAGATGACTGGATCAAGAGGATGTGGTACATATACACCATGGAATATTACTCAGCAATCAAAAAAGATAAACACATGTGATCTGCAGCAACATGGATGGAGCTGGAAGGGATCATGCTTAGCTAAATAAGCCAGGAAGAAAAAGAAAAATATTGGATGGTCTCACTCATAGCAGGAATCTAGAAAACCTAAATAAGGGACCAGGAAAAAGAATAACTATAAGAAAGAAAAAATCAAAATCAACAACTATGAACCAGAGACACACTATGGGGGGTGGGGGGCGGGGAAAGGAGGGAATGGGGTCAAAATAAGGGGTTGCAACTGTATGGGGAATATAAAAATAAAATTAAAAAAAAGAGATATTGTTTCTTCTCCAAACAATGGGTCATCCAAAAAAGAGCACCAGGTGTTACATGAGTTTGTGGATGAGATTTAATAAAAACCTAACATATGCAGCGTGAAGGAAAAGAAAAGAACATCATTGTAGATTTGGAAGGAAATATACTTTCTGCTGGATTCTGGGCAATAAAATAACAAGTCAACTCTTGACAGAAACAACTCATGTTGTTCAAATCCACAATAAAAAGCAAAAAATTGAAGTCCGTATAAGTCCTGCTCTGATGTCATAAGATGTGCAAATGCTGAAAAGCCTTTAGCAGAAGTATTTGAAACACTTTTGGATCAGATGGCATCATAAAGAATGTGTGAGAAGAAGTGGTAAACAAAGATAATTTTGGAATCAGCTCTGTCTGGTGTTCTATACATAGATTATCACTTATGGCCCATCCTGCATTAAAACAAATAAAATAATATTCTAGGCCTAATTTAGTAGCCTTTGTCCTAAAGATGTTACCATTTAAAAATAAAATTTTAAAAAGAATATATCTATTTCCCCAAAAGTTGTCATGAGTCCCTACCTGTGTTCTTACATAAGATTAATTTAAATTTATTCATCAAGGTTTTTCATCAGACAGTAAGAGTTTTTCTTGAAGCTTAAGTCTGTTTCAGAGTGGTTTTGTTTATATTTTTTATGTTTGAATCCCTTCCCCAAATTAAGCAAAACAAAATTAATATGAGCAACGGCAATTCTGTATCTCCAGCAACTGAAATATTTAGTAACTTCTTACTCTTACCCTTAAAAGATATAGAAATGGGTATTACAAGATTGTCTTCAAAGTTGGGGCCATTTGGTGTTTATCCTTTGCACAGATAATTGTGGTGCTCCAGCTATGTTCCAGGTTTTGTATCAGCCCAGCGTCACAAAAGCACAATCAAATAAAGTAAGTCACTGCACTAATGGACAATAGAGGTGATGAAGAGAGGACATTAATCAAATAATCACTATATAGATTGTTACAGGTCAATGGATTGAACAGGGGCGAAGTACTGGGA